CTGCCTAACATCAACCCTCTTTGGGAATGCATTAATCAGTGATGTTTAAATACTCTTAGAAAGTACATATGACTCGGAAAAGTCACATTGGTACTTGTCAGGGCCAGGATCGAATCCGCGTCCTCGTGCTTTATTGGCGGGCCTTTTAACCACTAGGCCATCACTGACTTTTTTAACTTTATGTTTAGTTATATTAATTAATTATTATTTTTTATTCTACCTTCTTATCGAATATTTTAATCGTGCTTTATTTGGCACTATATATTAAACCGTTGTTTATTCTGAATAAATAAAAAAAATCAAGTTTTAAATAGTTTCTACATTTAATACTTTCTCGAAATAAAAACCTTAGATAACTTCCGATAGCTTTTCCGTTGAAATGTACTACAAAGGATATCCTTTATAGTGTACATTCGTATTCATAAAAAAAAACTATTTGAATATAAAACCTTCTTTATATAAAAATGAACGTTACAATACTCACGGCCACGTTATTGATAAAAAAAATAATTGAAATGAATAAAATTCGTGTCTTGCCGTTTGGATTAACCGAATCTACGTGAAACTAATGTTGGCAATATTTAATTAAATATTTGTATATAAACACTACATTATATATTAGATTTGTCTAGTCATACTTTGTTTTGCTAGGATTAAAATATAGCTTGGAAGATTATCTAGATCGTACAAGATATAAAAAATATTGAACCATATTCGATATTCATAATTAATTTATAATCTTAAATGTATAGTATATAATATTAAATAATGTCTACTAGTTTTATCCATGGTTGATTAAAAAATAACTTTCTGCACGATTTCATCTCATTACATAATCTGTGTCGGACGTGACTAAAAATGAATCTTTTTAAAAAAATCGGTGAAATCATCCGTTAGTTACCGATTTACGACATAAATATACTTTGAGAGTTGTATATAATGTGATATTTAATTACTGTCTTCATATTAATAAGTTATATGGCACATAAAACCGTTATTACGATTCGAGATGGATTCTTTGAGGTCGCTCTCTTTGGAAGCAACAGATAATTAACCGATTATTTTTATTGTTACAGATTATACAAGACCAACTATTTTAATAAACCGCAATTTGTACAGGTAAATATTAATTTATTTCTAATAATTCTTTGCTTTTTAATATGATAAATTTTTGGTTGCCTTAAATTTTTTATTTTAAACTATGTATTTTTAAAACGTTTACTTTGAATATCGTTGTTGTAAATTTCAATAAGAGATAAAATTAAACATGTGTTATATATAATATAGAAATAGTTCTCACGAAAAGTATATTTTTAAATATATGTATCTAAAAATAATTTTAATAATTCTCATCCATTCACGAATATGGTCACTCTACGTCTACACGAATAAACACTTTTCATTTAAAATCAAAATATAAACCAAAATACTCATATTTTTTTATCTTACTAATAAGTTAATTCCGCAAAATAATTTGTAATTTAAAAAGCGATAAGTTTCTCTCGATGTAAAACTATTTAGCAATTGAAATCTCATCATAAAATTTATTTTTCCGTAATGTTCCATTATCATTAAAATTCAGTAATGTACTGTTTTGCTCTACTTTCCATGTAAGCCGTATAGTGAATGTCTGTTGGTGAATGCTTTTATTTCGATACAGAGTCCATTACTTTCCCACGGATGTTCTAATTGATAACTGATAAGATTTTTTCCTTTTCCATTATTAATATCTCACAATCTTTATCAACAGTATTCATAAAATCTTTCGGTTAATGCAAATATCCGACTCGACTTAGACACGATAGCTTAGTTCGAAAAGAAACTGAAATGTAATATTCTTGAAGTCGTAGATTCGTATACGGTAATTTTTTGTAATTTATAATTTCCATTTGAATTTTTCTTGCAAAATATTTTGGCTTATAAAAGAAGTTTACTTTTTTGTCTTCATAGAATTTTAAAAAAATCTGCTTCAAAATTAACTCAAATTAGGTTTATTTCTCTGTTACTTGAAATTCGTCATTAGATAAAAGGTTTTAACTGTATGTATTTAAAATTTATTTTTCATTAACAGCGTTAGTAAGAAATAAATATTTGCAATAGTATCAACTAAAGTTTGCTAAGAAATTTGATATTATTATAAAAACCTTGATAACTCATTTTATAAATTCAGACAGGATTAAACATATATAAGTATGCTTCATATAAAGGGTTAAAAAAATATATGTATGTATTTTCACAAATATTCCCGTATTCTAGTCTTCATGCGGATTATTGAATGAGAAACGGGAAACTATGCGTTTGTAGTGACATGGCAAACTTGTGCTAAGCATACAGTGATAAACTATTTATCATCCACGTAGCTAAGTTTTGACTACTTACGATCTTATTACTTAATATGAGCATATGAGTGTTTGCTTATCAATTCCCAATAACACCTAAAGTATAATCAGTCCATTAAGACCAGTAAAATCATAGTTAATAATAATTCAATACAATTACAAAGTTGTGCACAAATTAGAACTCTTGCATAACACGAGGTCAATGACACCGTCTCACTGAAATCGATCGCTGAAAATATTTTCTACTTTTCCATTAAAATATTTATTTGTTCCTAATTTTATTAATTAAATTTTTCTTTGAAGTATCGAATTATGAATACGTACAAGGCTATTTAAAGTTAGTGAACGTATTGCAGAAATGTAATACTAAAATATTATATTATAGTTATGATACCTTTTTAATGTATTTTAAACTAATATTTATGCCGATATAATATTATTGAGAATTTCATTAACATAGGCTTAGCATTCTCACTAGTACTATAGGTATAACAAGCTCAGAATAAATACTAAAAATAAAAATAAATTTGATGTGGGTAATATTAAAAAATGTAATACTTCTTTCAACAATGTACAATAAGTAATAACTAAGCCTTAAAAGAAGACTTTATATTACTGAGACTACCAAAAGCATATTATAATGACAAATTTTGTGACACGTATTGTATAAAACAAGAAATTATTGATTATTTTAATATCATGACTAAATTACTAAATTAAAAATACAAATAAGAATTCTAAAACAAATTCTTATTTTAATATTTATCAACCGTCAATTGAGTTATATCGGTAAAATTTTAATTGAGTGAAAAAGCGTTAAACGATTTTCTGCTTCGTAGTTTATTTTTTAATACTTTTTTTTATTTATCTATGTTACCGTTAATATCTGTTGCATAAGCTATAGTGCAGGGCTGCAGTTGACGCCGGTCCGCGCTCGGCGGCGGCCATTGCAACTTAACAAAAAAAAAAACAGTGCTGTGTTAATGTTGGCAACATTGAGTGATATTTTTTTTTTATTTCCGTAATCTTTCTTTACGTTACCAGCCAGTATTATACGGAAAGTTTTCTAATAGTTTTGTAATGAGTGCATATTTTATTGACCGGTGTATATAACTTGTTTTTCTGCTTCTGTATGTCGTAGTGAAATCAAATTTCTGTATACACTAAGTAATATCTGATGAGTGAAAGCTTTATAATGTATCTTCTTACGATATCAGTACAATTTCTTTATGTAAATATAAATTAGTTTTTATACCGGCAGGTAATGATAGTGTAATCTACATATTTGTCGTTGTTCTGTTTCTGATATTATCTAAGTGTGTTAACGTGAAGTTTTTATAGTTTATTTTTTGTGAAATCAAGTTTTTGAGATTTATTTTTATCATTCGTCGTCAATATTTACTTACCCTATCTTTTGATTGTATAATACCTCTAAATTCTTTTCATAATAACCAAACCAACTTGAAACTATTTCTTAATTTAATTCGTAAATGCAGAGAGATAAAATAGTATATTTAAAATAAATATTTTAATTAGGTTTTTTAATTGATTAGTATCGTTGTATTTTGATAGGAAATCAAAAAGTCTTAAAGGATGTATTATTGATATTTTACGTAAGTAGAGGATAACGCAACGTCGGTATTTTAACACACTATAATTAAATGCGGACCACAAACGCTATGAACACGTTTCGAAACGGTCTACCTGCAATATTAGACCAGCAGTTCAATATAAACATACTATCAGTGCTCACGTTAATACAGATAAATGTATTATTATAATAATAATTTTATTTCATAATATTCAACAACCAAAAAGTTTTTATTACCAATTAAAAAAAAACGATTTCTTTTTTAATAAATTAACGTTCCAAGTTCAATTAAGTCTCATACATTTCAATGTAACGTCAATAAATATTAATGCAGTTTTAAATTAAAGTGCAAACCGAGTTAATAGAAGTTAATCAGTGCGATAAGTGACATGCCGGTGGAGAGAGCGGAAAAAAAAAACAATGTAACGTTTGACAAGTAAAGATGGATTTGACAGAAATGTTGCTATCGCTGTGAAAGTGAATTCGTTTATAAGAACATTGCCTGATTTATCACGCACGAACACAATAAAACGCTTTTATCGAATTAAAATAACCTAAAGACTTATAAAAATCCACCAACTAAGAAAGTGTTCCTTTTTTAAATTTAGATTTTTTCGAATATTTGCATCGACCAAGGAGTTTTAATTACAAATAAAACAATACTTTTTGGTGTAATGTGTGGATTTTAAAAAAAGAACTTTTATAATGATATAGAGAGGTTTAAACTAGCTGTCACCTCAACATAAAATCGAGATTACAACCGACATCTGAGCGATAAAGAATTATATTCGCGATCACAGCATGAGTGTGACTAAAAACGCTATCGGCATTCTTACCTACTGATTAAATTCATAGATTACAACATACGATTGGAAGCAATCAAATAACTTATACTAGAATTGAACTTGTTCTATTTTTAAACGGATAAAAAAAAAACAAAAAAGTTTGTAAACAAAGAGGTTTTAAACTTATACTAGAATTAAACTAGTTCGATTTTTAAACAGAAAAAAAAACAAAAAAGTTTGTAAACAAAGAGGTTTTATTTTAAATATAGAACTAAATGTCACCGAATGTTGCCGTTATTTTCGGATGTGGTGGTTGTGTTCAAGAGTGATGTTTTGGATGTGGTTGGTTTATTTGAGTCGTGGTGGCGAGCGTTGGTGCTGCTCGCTAGGCTGTTCCTATGCTGCTGCAGGCTACTCAACCAAGTCATATATGGTAGGCATTATAATTAAAAAGATATTTCTTTATTAAGAGATATTAACAAGGAGTTTGGTACTAATGATATTTTCTCAGGAATTTAAGAGACATTTAAGGGATAACAAGGAGTTTGGTACGAGTGAAATTTTCTCAGGAATTTCACGATTTGTTTATGACGTTTTTGGTTTTGCAATTCGTATAAATATGAGAGATTATAGTAGGTAAAGTAGAAATACAATGAAATACGTATAAACGAATAAACAATAAGCAAAAATACAAATCACTGACGACTTGGTTTCCGCGTGTTAATATGAACAAAATTATCTAACACAACTGAAAATAAAAGTGAAATATAGGATAAATATGACACACATGATAAGTAAAATAATCTTAATTGGAATGACAATTATTTGTTAAGCGAGTGTTCCGATTACAATACATTACAACGGTGCAGTGATTGTGATAAACATATCTTATCGGTCACCTGATAACATTTTTAATCGCTCGTAAATTTCGAAAAAAGATCCAATATAATTAATTCGTCTTAAATATTGTCACGCAAAAAGTTGACCGCTTCCTAAGTTTGGATTCGTTGCCTTTTCTTCGTAAAATAATTAAAAAAAAATATTCTTATTTCTCATAGAAAATTATAAGTTATCTAAAAAAGTATTAAATATTTTTAATTAACATATAGGTACATATATTTGTTTGAAGGAAATTAATTTCATCACAATGAAAAGTGGAAGTTATGGGACCGAATATTAAAATAAACTGGGAGGCACTAGTTTATTATATAATGCCAATGTTATTTATATAAGAACTTTTTTTATTTCCAGAGTTAAAGGTGCCTAAGGTCATGATGGCGCCCAGTGTGTTCCAGAGAACCAAATCGCCGCGATCCTCGCCAGGGAATATACCTAGGAAGCTACAGGTATTTAGAAAATATATAATAGTATAAAACAACTGCATACTTTTTTTTCCTTTAATATCTAACACAGCAATATGCTAAACCCCTATCAACAACTGGCTATTAGAAGTTATGTTCTAAATTTGAAAATTATAAATAAATTTCTTTTATCGAATTATATTTTAAATACATAATACACATACATATTGATGTTAAAAATGGCTATTAGAACTCATGTTCTTAATTTGAAAATTGAATATAATTGTTTTTTATCGAATTATTTTTAAATATGTAATAATAATATTGATGTTTAAATTTTTTCTGTTCCAATTTTAAAATGTCGTGACGTCATCGATACTTCCAGAACGGCACAGCATCGGTTCAGTCGACCGCAGACTCCAGCCCGGGGAACTCGATCTCTGACGCTGAGAACTATGAATGCTATGGGGAAGCTGATGGGGAAGCCGCGCCCGCTGCGACGTTAGTATATAATAAATAATAAACTAAATACTCATACAATATTTCGTAATCTGTAAATGTTATGAAATAATCTCTATATATATAAAAATGGATTGCTGTTCCTTAGTCTCGCTAAAACTCGAGAACGACTGAACCGATTTGGCTAATTTTAGTCTTGAAATACTCCTGGAAGTCCAGGGAAGGTTTAAAAGGTGAGAAAAATTGGAATGATTGCCGAAAAAACCCTAAAAACAGCCCTTCTCTATTTCCCATACAAACGATTTTTTGACATTAGACTTGACAACTAACTAATATATCAATCATGCTGTTCGATTGAAACAGTAGAAATTTAATAAATACCAATCCCGGTTATTGAAGACGGAATAGAGTTCGCCCGGTCAGCTATACCTATATTACTAATGACGAAATTAACGCGGACGAAGTCGCGGGCAAAAACTAGTACAGCAATATAATTTGAAGCTCATATAAAATCGTTTATTTTATATCGTGTTGTTGATACGAAATAATATACCTTCTTGCAGTTACATATTACACGAAAAACATATCTTATTTGTATGAAATATTTAAGGGTAGTTATGTATTATTTCATAGGTATAATAGTATGTATATTTTAATTCAATATATGTTAAGGATATAGTAATAAATTGTTTCATAGGAGTAACATCTCTTCATATCAAATTAAAGTAATATGTACATCTTAATAGTACTATAAAATCCGAAAGTATCTTGAAAATTTATTTATATCTTAACTTATCTTTGTTCGAAAGTATCCCGTTGTATCTTTTAGCAAAACTTTTTTCTTACAAGAATAATGAAAGAAAAAATATTCAAAAATAAAGTATTGTTTTAGTATCCAGCTATAAGAAATAAGGTTTAACTAACTACTATATGACGATACAAATAGATATTCTGTACGTTTAAATATTATATTGGGTGACTTAAGCACAGAGAAGAATTTTTTGAGTAGTAGGACATTATACTAAGACTATGGGGAACCGGTTATAAACATTTTATCCATAAAAAAGACTCAAATTATGACTTTTCATCGGAAATTTATTTAAAGAACAGAGGTTTTCAATAAATAAAGTTCTATTCAAATTATTATGAAAGATTCATCTATTCAAAGCCTTAGTTATTTGATCAGAAATATGTATGAAATTATTTGCATTGCAATAAATATAATAAAGGTACCGATATTAATCTGTTTTTTACGTAATACTGAAATTATGACAACTAAAAATAAAATATAAACTCCGTGATAAATAATTCGAAAGTGACGATAATGTTAGCGTTTATACAGATACAGATTTTTTTGGCTTTAAGACAAGAAATGTTAAGATCTAATAACAATTACATTACCAATAGGTTCCAAATATTTTTTATACATATACTTATTACAAAACATTTAATTAAAAATATACCTTAAATTTATTAAAATAAAGTCTAAATTTAATTATAAATATTCTTAATATACCAGGTTGGAAAACGGCCATAGAAGTCCCGGGAATCAATTGAACAGACATTCATGGACCAGGACCAGTCTAAGAAGAACCCCACCAAGGTACAATCGTCATATAATATATCTTACTTATATATCTTACATATATATCTTAATATATCTTACAAGTAAAACATATATTTCACACTATCAGCACATTTTTGCTATAATTTCATATTAATTTTGTTTTCTATTTATTCGTAGTGTAAGTAGTAAGCATCATTATCGCCTATGTTTTATTTTTCCGTAGTCACCAAGAGAATCTGCCGAATCGAAGGTGGGGTTCTATGAGACAGTGAGTATTTTATATTTATTTTATAGCCTATATACTTTATATATATATTTAATATACGTGAAAACGTTCTTACAAACTATGACATATTAAACTTGACTCACAAAACGTATATATAATTTTTAAATACAGAACTAATTTCTTTTGAAGTCCGTTAAATGTGACATTCTTATAAAAATAAATATAACTAGCTTTATATCGCGTTTTCAAGAGGACCTTTCAAAAGTGTTTGATAAAAACTATCCTATGTTCTTTCTCAAGGTCAACTCTATCTCTGTACCAAATTTCATTAAAATCAGTTCAGTGCTTTATGCGTGAAAACGTAACAGACAGACAGACAGAGTTACTTTCGCATTTATAAAATTAGTAGGGATTGACATTTGATTTATAGCAACATATACTGTCATATGTTTTCATTAACTAGAACATATTGGCATTTAGTATCACGCTGAATCTATTTTTGGAAGCAACATATTAATATTGACCTTTGACATTAAGTATGAATATAACTATTTCTAGTTTCGACCTATTCTGATTATTTAGAACTTCAAAATCAAGTCTCAGAGGTCAATGACCTAACTACAATGAAATTAACAAATCTATTTCAAGTTGATGAACTGATTATAAAAGAAAGTAATTTCTTTATTCCTAAGTCTTTCTAGAATAATTTCTGAATTGTTCTAATTATTAATTGTTTTATGGAAAATTAGTTACATTCTTTTTATTGGATATCTTAAGAATATTGTACAAAACTAACAATATCGAGGTTTTAATGCTGGTTTATTGAACTATTATAATATATAGCAAATAATTGACTAAGGTCTAAGCCCCCTATATGTATATACATATATGGTACCTAAAAACCCTTATTAAATTTCGTAAATTCATTATACAAGCCTATTAAAGCGGATTAAGCTAGATAAGTCTTCTCTTTCCGGCGTCGGGACGTGACGACCCCATCGCCCACTGGTGTATTCCGGTGCAATCAGTCACGGGGGGGAGGGCTGGGGGTACAGCCCTGGGAGTAAGACGGTCACGGATCTGGCAGGAGGCCGTCCGTGGCTGTCTTGGGGGGGAGGGGATACTCGGGTCTCTCCGGAGGCCTGAGTTCGCTTGTGGTCGGTCGGTTTCCTCTCTGTCTGCCGTCGGGCGCTTGCGCTCGTCGGTGGGTGGTTGGAGACTGGCCGCGTGGGCTTGGGTGGGAGGGGTAAGGGGTTAACCCTCTCGCGATTAAGCAAGCCCGCCAGGCGGGGGGACACTCCTGGTCACTTGGAGTGAGCCCTCGGGGGGGGGAGGTGGCCGTTCGCGGCCCGCCGGATCGTCGCGGATGCATGCTTCGGCGTTTCCCGTGGCGATCCACTTGGCGGCAACGGAGAGTGACCGCTGGTGTTTTAGTGGGTAACATGGGCCCTTCTGGCCGTGAATCCCACATAACCGCCTCTGTCTCCCCTAGACGGAGGGGTAGGTATAAAACCTTTCACCGCGATAACAAAAAAAAAAAACATAAGTCTTCTCTTAATCCTTAAATAACAAAAATAATTATTAAATCGTCCTAACATTCTCATTTTAGTTTAATATATAAAATTTTCTTTATTTTATAACTGCATTTATGATAAATCCGTAGGTAGTTGTTAGAAAAATTAACTTATTTATTGATCTTTTGGAAATTTCTTTTTTTATTCATTAGAATTTTTGGAATAACATGAGTTCTATCGGTAGAAGTTTCCTGACTAAAGTTATTTTAATCAATTTAATACATCTATTACGGTAGCGTCTGCGATTTCAAGTTTTGTTCTTTTCGTAAGACTATTGTTGTTCTAATAATAACCTACATATATTTATTAAGCAAAACTAATTCAGATTGTATGGAACTAACTTTATATTTTATTTTAAATCTTAATAAGTACATATTATGCAAAATGTTAATCAATTTACTCTTAGTTTACAAATAACTTTTGGTAGTTTTTGAATAACCCAAAAAAATGTAAATACATGTTCATCATCATTACCATTTATATACATACATATATACATTATGGTGATTAGCCCACATCCTGAGAAAGGCCAATACATAGCTCATCAATGATCTTAATCACTTCAACCTCACCAACCAAGAGATGAAACTTCTCATTATTCAATGTATTCACCGTGCGGGTGCCGGGTCCATCGTTGTAGTGAGAGGAGCTTCAACAGTGCCTGGGACTTGCGACCCAGGTGTAGGTTTAAGGGGCCCCTATCTAACGCGTTATACGCTCACCTCCACTGTCCAAGCTCTTCTCTACCTTACAAAATTTGACACGAACCTATTAAGGCTGCCTTGGAAGTACGTTTCAAAAACGAATTAATATTAGTTCTGGACAGTCCCAAGTCTTTTAGTAGGTTGAAGAGATTTAGCTGTTATACCTCTCGCTGACACTTCTACCGCCTACATATGTAAGGTTACCTTATATATTATTATCTCATCAAACTGTAGTTCTTCCTTCACATAGATTATTATATTCGTAATCACAATTCTTGAGCCATTAGTTCAAAAAGCTATCAGAGCTATCTTTCCCTTCACCAAAGGTCAATACCATTCTTTAATTCCTCTCTTTTTATATGTTCATGTTTGTATAATTTCTGTTCTCACAATCTCCAAAACTATTTATTTTCGCCTGCTGTCCTTGCCGCGGCTCCGTTTGCACAACACAACGTTTTACGTTCGAACAATTGTAATGTTACATTGCAACATTTATGGTCAAACTGTTATAATTTGTGGTCAGAGAAAATTTAACGTTTTTATACGATTGAACGACTTCGAAGAAAGAGGTTGTGTGTTCTAACATTCTAAGTATATTTATATTTGTCAGTTATCCTGAAAGTACTGATGCTAAGTATACAGAGTTCTATTTAAAAACCTTTAAAAAGGAAATCTTACAATACTTTGTTTAACTTCATCTTATTAATTTCTTAATTTATCAAATAGCAAAAATTATAATTCATGGCTTATAAAACTATCTCTTATAAGAAATTTTCTATTTCTAAGTCAATCACTTATACGAAAAACAGATTTTTTACGTCGATTATTTCACTATGTTAGTCAAATCGTTACTATCACATACAATATAAAGTATATCTAAGAAATTCTATTTCTATGTTTACACCCTGTATAACATATATACCGCTTCTCACTAAAGCTTCCTGTTCTAATTCGCATGATTTGTGAACATTTAATGTCTGTTGTAATTAGCTTTGGATGCTTGAGTTCATGCAATGTATCATAAAATTATTATATTACGCTTGTATCACGATCTATCGTCTGTACATTACACCCCTACCACGTGTTTTGTACTCGAACCAAACAAATTTTATCTATATATATAAAGATTGATTGCTGTTCCTTAGTCTCACTAAAACTCGAGAACAGCTGAACGGATTTATCTTATCTTAGTCTTGAAATGTTCGTGGAGGTTCAGGGAAGGTTTAAAAGTTGAAAAATTTTTATTAATTTCCGGGAAAACCCTAAAAACAGCGCTTTTTTATTTCCCATACAAACGGTTTTGACATTAGATTTGACAACTAACTAATATGTCAATCATTTTATCGCACTTCAGAACACGGAGATTTATGACATAGGTAAACTCCAAAAATATAAATAAAAAAATATTTATTTATTTATTGAGGCAGTACGAAGTCTGCCGGGTCAGCTAATCGCTTATAAATCTTCACACGTGATAGTATCAACATAGTTCAATGAATGAATGATTAAAAACTCAGTTTGACGTATACCCGTACCACGAGTTCTCATTGTCGAACTAAACACACTCTAGTTTATCGCTTATAAATCTTCGCACGTGATAGTATCAACAATTGAAAACTATCTGTTGAATGAAAATTCATGTGAATAATAAAGTTACTTAGTCCCTGTGTCCAACCAGCCGTCTTCTTTAAAATACTAGGTGTATATGTATCTTGTATAAAGATATATCAAGTCATTAACAATCAATATGTTCTCATTATTTTCAATGGTAATATTATTGTTATTCTTAAATGATACTGCTTAAGACATCTTGCCTCGTAGTTGTTTTAATATTTTTTAAAATTAAAAACCCACTTATAATTCCTTCGCTGCTATTATTATATAATAAGTAAGTAAAAAAATAATGTATAAATTATTACTGAAGTTTTTAAACACTCGCTTTATATACATATATTGCTGTATACAGTATATGAGAACTATCTTACAATAAATTTATTGTTAGTTGTTTACAATGTAACACCAAGCATATTCATCATCAGCGATTAATAGAAAGATATGGAACGTAATATTAACTTGTACATATAAAACCTATGGCTGTATACTTTGGACTGTGGGCAAATTTGGTTAGATGTTTTGACAACCTTTGTTTGATCAAGATGCATAAATAAAATGTCCTTCTAACACGCAAACGTGAGCGGCCAGCAGTTAAAAAATATTTATAAATGTATCTAATTTAAGGTTTATATATATCTGTCTTTGCTTCACGTCGACAACGTGATCCTAATATGTAACTTGAGATTAAAGTAAGACCCACGTGTAGTCAGGTGTCACGTGAAATTTGTTAAAAGGTGCTTATACTAAAATTAAATCAAGGCATTATACGAAAAAACTAATACTTCACATTCGTAAAAAAAAAAAGAAATTTTTGAAAATGGAATCACTTTATATTTGAGGATGTTTAAAATGGGATTATATTTTTATGATTTAGCAACCGACATTACAATAATCGTGATGAGAACTGAACGCGAACATAATACGGCCTGCAACTTAATAATTTAATAACGGTTTGTTTGTAGATAATTCATACCTCAGTCGTGATGGCCCATACAAACGCGGACACGGGACCGTCAGTAAGCCGTCGACCGTCGTGGTAGACGCACGTGTTATTTGTTGTGTGATGTTAGGTTAACGTGTTAAATTTGTTCATTATTTTAACTGTTAAATATTATTGTTAAACTGGATCGTTTTAATACACACATGCATTACAGAAAGCGACCTTACAGGTTTGGATATTTTAATTTGATGGTATATACATTTTTTTTCTTGCAATCGGCGTTCGATTTTTGAATAGACACAAATATAAACAACAATTTTGACACAAATTTTAAAGCATTATTGCGTAATAAGATTCTATAATATTAAAATTCCTTCATGCTAAATTAAAAATGTTGAAATTCTATTATAATGACCTTACATTTCCTTTTTTATGCTCCAAATAAAGTATCTCGTTAAGGCTAACCAGTTACCAAAATCTATTCCGTATAAAAGTTATACACATTTAATATTAATTAAATGTATTTTATAAGAAGTTATATTATTATTGTCAGTGTGAATACAATGTGAGCGTTGGTGTTTTATAGTGGCCATTCCATTGTTCAAAGGTTCGACATGCGACGGCAATGGACTCGTTTATTCAGCCGTAAGCTAAAATGTTATATGAAAACAATAAAACTATTTTGTAACATATTTCAAATATGGCGCCAACAAATAAGAGGCGTGTATATAATAATAATTATAATGTTATATAGAAACTTATTATATTTTTAATAAATATATTAAGTACTTATTGTTAAAAATATTAAAAAGTATGTATTTTGTTATTTTTACTTCGTTCGTCACAGACTGTTTGTTTGAAGAGAAAATCGTCTAAAATACTGAAAGTATTTGATTCATTATTTCAACACACGACAATAAACATTACATACCATCTTAATTAATAGTATATAAAAACATTGTTACTTAAAAAACAATTATTATTTATTATAGAAAGAAATCCTTTTTATATGTATATTGAAATTAGTATGAACAACACTGAATACGGAACATATTCTAAACTTGCAACAAGCATTTTTCATTAAAAATATATAAATAAGTAAAATGAATTCAATTCTACCTGTCGGAAGAAACATTAATTAGGTTCATACCAAGAATTCTAATTGTCCGTTTTCAAGTCAACATTACATGTTTATTTCATCAATCATATGAGAACGGAACTTCTTTAAATACCATTTTCATTTGTCAAAAACTATACAATTTACTATATACCAACATATTCAATACAATTAAATAATATTACTTATATTAGAAAATAGATTATAATTTATTTTTAAGCTTATTATATGTATATACTAGAAGACCCGGCGAACTTCGTATCGCCCTATAATCAAGAAATATCTGTTACGTTTTTTTTTATATATTTGGAGTTTACCTATTAAAGCTATAAATCTCCGTGTTTTGAATTACGACAGAATAATTGACATATTAGTTAGTTGTCAAATCTAATGTAAAAAAAAACGTTATATATATATAGACCTATAATATATGTAGTAGTCTATATTTAAGAGTATATAATACATCACAATTACGAAGCCTGAACGCATTAAATGCATCGCTTTCTTATACAATTTCATGGCGCGCTGCACCCATGGTTTCACCATCGTGAATCGTCCTATCTTTATGTAACACGTAGAACACGTAACAACTTTAATTATTAACAAAATATTACATACAGAATGTACTTTCGACTTGTTATTTAGATACAAATGATGATTTAAAATTTATGATAAATAACAAAGCTTTACATGTCAGTGGCGGCTCAGTGGTTAAAGGGCCCGCCTCTCGTCACCGAGGGCGCGGGTTCGATCCTGGCCCGGGCAAGTACCAATGTGATTTTTCCGAATCATATGTACTTTCTAAGAATATTTAGACATCACTGATTAATGCATTCCCAAAAGAGGGTTGATGTCAGGCAGGCGGCCGGTCGTAAAAACAAATAGCCAAAAACGATTCACAACATGTAAGGCAGACCCTGGCTGTAGCTGGGAAATTGCCAGGTAGAAGAAGAACAAAGCTTTACGTGTTCTCGGATTATGTGAACATAAGAAATATTTTGGTTTGAATAACTTATACAGATGCGTTTTAATATTATTCTAACTTCATTGTTAACTTGTTAATTTGAATTATTGGTAATGTAGTCCAATCATTTGGTGCAAAAAAAAGGGGTTACCAGGAAAGTTTTCCAGCATATTTAAAAAATGACGCCTAAAAGCGTTTCTTTTTTTTAAATTTCTTTTCCGACGCATTTTACGAAAAAATATTTATGTAATTAAACTATGTAGTAAACGTTTATGTAGTTTTTCACAAAAATTAACCACGTAGTATATCGAAAAAATATTATTTTCATTTAAATTACATTATTATTTTTCATATGTAGAAACGAACGCATCTTTCTCTCAAGCACTATATTTTCAGTCGGCTACGTAATTCAGTAATTCAATTCATATCTCACTTATCTAGCCTACTTTTACAAATCGCTACACTGAGTTTGAAAGATCATGCAATTTTAATGTTTTGTACTCACTCTTTTGTATCATATTTATTTTCTTGATGTTACGTAAAAATATATTCAGTTACTTTACAAAATCATTTCTTAGAAAATTTGCCAGAGTCTAAAACTCAAAGCGAAAATATAGTTTTAAGTATATATTAATTTCTGTCATGTTTCTATTGATTCTTAAAAAGTAAGAACTCAGCAAGAATTTGTTACCATTTTCTCAAATTGCCTCCTATTAAACGATTTTCTTATCTTTCTGTTTCAGTTCCGGAAAGCGTCAAATAGGCTCCAATGTCTTAGCCAGGTAAATATTTACTTCATATTATAACAACTGTACTCAATTTTATAAGCTAACATTTTTTAAATTCAGCGCCATCTATCCACACCAACATAAACTATTACGCCGAGCGTGTATTAACCATAGATGGTATAAGTTTTCTTTCTTTACAACAGATGTCGCTACTAGTTTTGAATGAAATTAACACTAAACTAAGGTGTCTCATATGTGTATTAAGAAGTACGAACATTATTATATCCTTAGCCAATTGTATCGGTCGTCGTCCTTCAACTCGTCTGGCTGCGGGTCGGGGGGCGAGCCGGCTGACGACATGTACTCCGATGTATCACTTGAAGAAGATGTACAAGGACTCAATTATAAGGTGAGTCAATACATAATGAGATCTAAGATTTTGAAACTAATATTTTCGGATTTTACTTCGCGTTTTATTTTTAATTAGAAACTAGGTACATACTTCCGACTTTTCGATTACTTTTCAGCAACCGTGATCACGGGCAGACGAGAGTCAATACAACTGATACTGATTCATACTTCATACATATGTCATCACACTATTTTAGGATATGGTTAAATATAACATGTTTACTCTCGTCTTTGTCTCCTTACAGAGATTTTGCTTTGATTATAAAGTATGGTTTTATTGTAATTCATTAATTTCGGTTTCAAACCAAGTTATTGAAGTCAATATGGGTATTAGCCCAAAATGTATATTCATTCGGCATAAATAGGCACATATCTACGAGAACTGGAAAAAATCATGAACTAAAGTGAGTTAATTTTAAACTAATTATTTAAATTATATAAAAATGAAATGACAGTAATAATAATTATTTTTCTTATTTGAATAATTATATATCATAATGAAGACGGTAACTAAAAAGAAACAATTAACTACTCCATTAATTGAAATAGAATTCTTTATAACATATTTTCACCTCTGTTATGATATACATACATTTCTATAAATACTAAATAGCTGTTAAAAGTTAATTGCTAATTGACCATTATATGTAATATACATTTAATGCATGTTTGGCTTTTCATGCAATTAATTCGCAACACCACAAATTATATTTCAAGTATTATTAGAAACTCTTTTAAATAAAAAAAATAGTTTAGACAGGCTGCTGTATATATAATTCGGTTTAATTAAATATATTTACGAATCACCTCTTAAGATGGAATATCAGCATCATTACTAATAATTACTATGGTTTTTGCTAAAAAGACGAAAAAATTGTCTTGGTTTTAGGTTTAAACGATGTTAAATGATTTATGTAAATAACTAGATTAGTAAAAATTACCAAATCCCCACACCATTGTTATTCAACATAATTACACTTGTTTTCATTCATAGAATTTTCATAAAAATAATACATGTTGAATATTTGTATGTTATATTACGATTATTATGTCTTTATGATCCCATCTCATAATATACTCATGAAATTTTTCCTAATAATTATATTAACGTTTCATAAAAGGTATCGTCATTGAATTCATCTTGTACATAATTACAATTACGTCTGTTACATTCCTCTAATAATGAAAATTGTGTTTTGTTGTACATGTACTACGTCCTAGGAATGTTTGACAAAATATTGTACTTTTATGGAGATGTAATTTAGTTTATTTTGTAACGAAAAAATAACAAAATTTTTTCTTGTCATATACGATGACACTTTTATAAATTTTGGAACCCTGAAGGTTATTTGAATCTTCATTTTGTGTTCATGTAAAGAGGACTTGTCACTATCGAATACAAGGTTAATCAAATGAAATTAAGTCAAGTGACTGTGACGAACTCATTTAGTTGCCTAATGAACATACATTAAATAATAAGTCTCAGCTTTTCTTATACTATAACACTCAGTATTACACAAAAATAATGCTTTGTTATTGGAGATTTTAGAATACTGATAATTTTGGACTTTTTAAAGGAATTAAAGTAGGAGCAATTGAAATAGAAATGTTTCATCCAGCCCTTGAGTTAAGCTATTCCTAGTGCCTCCCAAAAGACATACTTTATTTATGCATAGGAGATTAATGACGCTGATGATTGCAAAAACGGACTACGAAATATGCAGAGAAAATAAGGAGTTTATTCTATAATATAAATTAAGAATATTACGATCTGATGCTTTATATATATTTAGAAGATAGAAATATTCACTTATTACGCAAACGTTAAAGTCGAGAGACATTCTCTTCTAGCTATTTATCGATTAAATGACTTTATTTTCATGAAAAAAAAAGTATATATCTTAAAAATTCTGAAAACTCTCCATACAAACATATTACCACTGTTAAAATAACACTCAATTTATTTAAAACCTCCTCATAGGACACGCGTGTAATATGCCTTAATTCCTAAGGAGACAAATTAAACCACCAACTAACGCCATCTATTGGCCGTATCATATATTATTTGTCACGTGATGCTCACAAAATACTAGCGTTATGACCCACCGTCTAAATTACCAGGAACTTCATAATTCTGATGTATCATCTTTATAATTATAAATCTTTATTGAAATAAATTAAATAATTTTTAATATTAAATGCGTAAAGATAATATTATGGAATTTCATTCGCTCCATAAAAAGTAGCAATGCAACTCGTCATTCGTAGTACAATTTTAATTTATGTAACAAAGTCAAGTCAGTCTCTTGATAAGGAACCAGTTTCCCTGAATATAATGACATTGTACAAGAACTAGTTCGTATTATCGTGTGTCATTTGAAAGTCATTGTTTCTCGATTAGCATTATTACCTCAACTTCCTTCCTTACGACGCTTTGATGACGTCACTAGCAAGTAGCGTCCTACCTTTTAAGGCCGTGGCTAATGTCAACTATAATACGTTATGAGATTTGTTACGTGTCCAGAAACGTAATGTCTATTTATATGAAAATAATATTTTTCGGATATACTACGCGTGCTTTATCTAATATTATCAATGCGAAAGTAAATCTGTCTGTCTGTCTGTTACGCTTTCACGCCTAAACCACTGAACTGATTTTAATGAAATTTGGTACAGAGATGGAGTTGACCTTGACAAAGGACATAGGATAGTTTTTATCCCAGACTTTTGAAAGGTTCTCTTGGAAACGCGATATAACCGAACTCCACGGAAAGCTAGTTTTTGTATAAAACTACATACTCCCGACGTTTCGGTTACTTTTCAGCAACTGATCACGGACAGACGGAATGGCTACATAATGTCTAGCTGTGACTTGAGGGCTTGTTTTTATATCTGGAATTTGTATTGAAGTTGCAATAACTTTTTTTTTGTATTACATATCTTTCGCTGAATTATTATCGATGATTATTTCAGAAGAACTTGACACCTATTACACTTGACATATACAGGGTGACTGGTGAATTACTATCGATATTTAAGGAGAATACTCGGTACATGATTCTCATTCGAATTATGTAACAAAAATAGGTACTTAATTTTTGTCCAAATTTCCGTATAAATAAATAAAGCGTGGACACGTTCCAAGTGTTCCAAGTGTGGACGCGTGCGGCGGCGTGCTGATACAACACCACGCCGCCGCACGTGTGTGTGTGTGTGTATGTGTATACCTAAACTGTAGGGTGTTCACTACGCATCGGTAATTAATTACATAACTTTTAGTTACCTTATGTTATATTAATTTTTATTTTGTCATATATGATCGTCAAATATCACGTCCTCAAGTCTCGATAGTAATTCACCAGTCACCCTGTATATTGTCTCTTGCGTCGAAATAATACAAGTGGATACCTAATTAAATTCTGAAAATGTATGCCAATATATGACCTTGATGACTCTTAGTTTTTAGATAATAGTTAGAAAGATAAATGTGTGTTGCTAGAAATGATCTTTATAACTTTCATTTACTGTTTTTAATTGTAATTATTATAATTAATTTATACATTTGTTTACGAATGTTATAAAGTATACAAATAACAGTTAACGTAATTAAATTTAAATATTCATTATATGATACAATGAAATAATAACATTGTATATTAAATAAATATTTTATTTATGAATTAGTAATAATTTAATAACTAAACAAATAAAAGTCATAACCATAATGTCCATTGACCCCGTACGATCAAGGAAAGCTATCAAACAATGGCTGTCCCGGTTCATTTGATACAACATGGCGGACGGAAACGCGTGCGCGGCTTCCGGTCAGATGCGTGCCTCATATCATAAACAATATGGAATCATAATTAATTTTATTATGTATTTGTTTTGAAATAACAAAATTATTTCAGTTTGGATTTTATTATAAACAAAACTATATGTTCACGGGAGCTAAGACTGGTAATATTACTTTTAGAAATCCAAAGCTTTCTATGTATGGAGTAGTAATAATATGTAGATATATATTTCTGAACTCAATGGTGCATTTTTTATTTACAAAATGTCGATTTTTTATTTATACCTTAAACCAAGCAAAGCTCGATACTGAAGTTAAGTCTATTTAACTATTTGGTCACAACCTGCAATATTAAAGCTCACCGAATTCTAGGAATAACTATCAGTTAAGATACTTGTATTGCAAAACGAGTTAGTTTAGTTAAGCAAGGTTATTGCTGTTTTTGAAATCAGTGAACAAAATCAAACTTGTTTCTTTATGAGACTAGTAATTATATACTGAAAATCACTATTATTATATACAATTATCGTCTATTTGACTTGAATAACTATAAAATTGAAGTATACAAAAGATTCTCATCTCGTTGGTCCTAATTACGGTTGCAAAGTAACCGAAACGTCGCAAATATGTAGCTTAAAAATACTTAAAAACTCGTAGTAATCCGAAAATTACAGTTTTATTTAGTTTTATCCTATCTATTCTTATAGTAAATGCTAGTTAAATAAACTATTATTTATATTGCTCCACCATAAACTTAATATTGAAAAACATCATTCAAAGCAATATTCTAACGAAACACAATTCTACAAGGGTTATTTTGTGTATCGTGGGCGTATATCTTGTCATTTAAAATAAAACCTTAATCCAATAAAATAAGATACAAAATAGAAATCGTTGCACCAAGTACACAATGTCTGGGAGAAAATGCACGCAACATTACCTGTATAAGCTTAAGTTATGCAGAACTAACGCTGTGAATACCTGAATTAATTTATCATTACGTTTTGTAATGTCATTCGTTCAAACAAATATATAACAAAGACATACACACACACACACACACACACAGACACACACACACATATTTAAAATACATAACAAAATCCTAACAAAATTTTATCTCGACAATCTGTTAAGTGTTGTATCGATTAACTGTGTTTTATCTAATATCGATAAAACTGCTTTTATTAATACATATTAATGTCAAGCGTTTTATTACTGTGTTATTATATAAAATTGTCTATAAATATTTTTATTATGTCTCACACATAGCTATTACCTTATAACTGTATTTTAAAATACACCAAACGATTTTTATTTCATACTTTTGATATATGTATATGTATAGATTTTGGTTACTTATTGTAGATAGAAATATTGTATGAAAGTTTTCATCATACAGAAATACGAAATGTATGTATGTTCTGATAAATAGTAAATTAAGCAAAACAATACGCGTGGGCTCGTGTGGGTAAAGCATGTCAAGGATGATGGTAGCCGAAATAGTTTAACGATTAAAACTATGAATTAGAACTATCGGATATAATACACTTAATGAAGGAATGTATGAAAAATATTTTGATATATATAATGAACAATGCGTTCCTAAGAAATCGTATTATTTAAATTGCTCAATACTAAACTAAATAAAACTCACTATTACAAGATAACGACAAATTTTAGTCAACCTTTCTAGCAATATTATCAATAAACAAATCACATTAGTATCGATTACAAAAGATATTATCTTTAACATAGATCATTAATGGATGTCGTAGTTCATGTTAATATGTAGGAAATCAATAAAACACCCATATTTTATATTCCATACCACATGAGTTACCGCTAATACAATTTAATGGGAAACCATACAGGTGTTAGACATAAAATTATCTAACTGCAAGAACATGTGAAAATGAAAGTCTCTAAGAACAACGTGCGAATTCACCTGTACTGAATGTACGAGCGGTACACAATTAAGATATAATGATTATCTACACTTGATTGAGGATTCCGTGTTTTAAAACGACTGGAAGATATGATCCATTTAATATATGACCATTGTTTATTCTGAACACAATATATACATATATTGCTACTACTATACAGGGTGACTGGTGAATTACTATCAATATTTAAGGAGCATACTCGGTACATGATTCTCATTCGAATTATGTAAAAAAAATAGGTACTTAATTTTTGACAAAATTTCCGTATAAATAAATAAAGTGTTGACACGTTCCAAGTGTTCCTAGTGTGGACGCGTACGGCGGCGTGCTGATACAAAACCACGCCCCCGCTGCGTATGTGTGAGTGTGTGTGTATACCTAATCTGTAGGGTGTTCACACGATGCGTAATTAATTACATAACTTTTGGTTAACTTTACTTAGAAGTTTATTAATATTTATGTTATATTAATTTTTATTTTGTCATATATGATCGTCAACTACCACGTCCTCAAATATCGATAGTAATTCACCAGTCACCCTGTATTTACTGTATATCCGAAAAATATTAGTTTCATTTAAATGTAAAAATTGTATAATAATGATAGTAAATATCGTTATTTTATTTTTGCATAAAAAATTAATTATTTGTTAACTCGCGAATAAAATTTTAAAAGTCTTTTACACAGTCTTAGCAAGGAATAATGAACAAGAAAACAATTATGTACTGTAAAATTTTTAAATATTTATTTTAGTACTAATCTCTATAGGGGTGTTAGTAATTCAGGTCGCCTAACAATAGAACTATTTTAATTTGAAGTAGGCAACACGTTTCCATCATCTGGGATTCAAGTCATGTTTATAATTAGATTTAAGTGGAACGAAATTATTATACTCACATACATGTATGATGTAGCAAACCTTAAAATTTGACCATTATATGTATAATTAATATATGTATAAGGGATCTTAATACATTTATCATATCTTCTTCTACCTGGCAATTTCCCGGCTTAAGCCAGGATCTGTCTTACATGTTGTGAATAGTTTTGGCTATTTGTTTTTACGACCGGCCGCCTGTCTGACATCAACCCTCTTTGGGGATGCATTAATCAGTGATGTCTAAATACCCTTAGAAAGTACATATGACTCGGAAAAATCACTTTGGTACTTGCCAGGATCGAACCCGCGCCCTAGTGCATGAGAGGAAGGGCCTCTTAACCACTAGGCCACATATATATATGTTATATAAGAAGTTAAAATCTACATCGTAAATTTCTTTAGCATTTATATCAGTTACGTTATTAATGAACAGCTTATAATTTTATCTCATTACGTCGCCACGTCTGCTTAAACCAAAAATACAGATGTTTTCTTTTAGTTGGCCCTCCAATCATATAGAACATGAAAATTACGTACCTACATTAGTAAAAAACTAACTATTTAAATACAGATTTTATAAAAAATATTAAGATTATTTATTAATAATAGTATTGGACGTAATGGTTTATATTATAATTGAAATATTTTATTGCATTAGTTGTTGAGATGCAATCGTAACTATTGCACATTTGCTCAGTATATGTATTAGAATAGTTTCTCAGCGTAATATTACTAATCTCAATAATCTTATAGTACACGAAATAATAATCTAATTCAAAGAAACAAATGAAGTAGCTCATCTATCGCATGACTCAGTGGAGATTCCGTTTAGGGTCGATGTCGCATGTTCAATAAATATTTAACCAGTCATTTCTGATGAATTTTCAGGCAATTTCAATGGAAATCACATTTGACTAACATGCGACAAAGGAAAAATAATTTATGATTCCAAAACTCACTTCCATCTCGTTTTATTTAGTCCGGGACACTGTATAATAAATCGTCGGGTAATATCTAAAATTAAACACGCGAATCATATCTGAAAATATACATTAATTTAATATGAAGATGGTAGTAAAAATATTATTGTTTTAACATTTGTAATACATATGTCAAGATAGCAGGAACAGGAACATAAAGATTCATTCGAAAAAAGTTCTGAGAAGCGGAAACTAACAAAAGATTGAAAGAGGTCGTATTTGGAGGTACATTCTCATCACAATCCTCAAGTATTCATCTTCAAAGCAAAGTCTAATATAGGTCAGTCTAGGCATTATCATCTAACAAACACTTTCTTTACATACTTACGTAAAATATTTTGTAAATATATCGACCATAAATCCGTTTAATAAAATTTTAACTCACTCTCAAAAATCAACAAAATTGAACTTATTAATTACGCACTAAATAAAAATAATTAAAATATATTTAACTTGGTTATGTAAGATCGATGTATTGGCATCATTATTTCTTGTATGCCACTACTGCCACTGATTACGAAGTAACAAAACACATAATGGCTTATTGTTCTGTTATTTTTGTGTAATATAAAATGGTAGATAAAATCTAGAACATCCCACAAATTAACTAACAGATTATTATTAAGATATATATATAGAAATGGTTTGATTGTCTTTAATTATACATGTAAATTTTGTAAGACATACATATTTATTTGTACGTGATTACTTAGTCATGGTATATTTAAAGAATTTGGCAAAGCCAGTTACTCTCATCTGTATTCTGTAGTACCAACAAGATGTAATTCTATTTCCGGAGATGAGTACGTAAGATGACTGCGGCCATATGGATTTCATCTTTGTTTATTGATAGAAGACACTTGTATTATTCTTTCATTTTACACGTTGATTAGTATGTAATGTATGGAAAGTTAAAAAAAATCAGTAATAGTTACTTATCGACCGTCCGTTATCTGTTTAATAACATCACAGTGATACAATTCAATCTTAGCAAACATTTCACACGCTCTCACTAACAATAGCTTTAATTTCGATGTCGGATTAAATGTTACCGTCTTATTTACTTCTTATATTTCTCCATTTAAAGCATAATGAGTTAATTATTGATGACGTGACTTGCTTTCTCAATATTTATTATTACAATGATAGTCAAACAGGAAATGTTCACGATCTCTGCAATGTTAATTTACTCCAAAAGGAAGCAGAAACAAATCTCATATAAGAATAATATGCGACGTTATTAAACGGGGCCGTTAAAAGCTTCACCCAAATGACCTATCATTATGGTGACCCCTGGTGCATAAAATAAAGAGATGAAGCCGGCTAGGGGAGCGAATGCAAGGGGTTATTGCCTTGGACCCGTCCGTCAGCGCATATGTGCAAGAACGAATAAAGTTTATTTGTATGACGCCTCCCAATAATTATCACGGGCCACAGCGGGCGGAGGGGGCGCTTAGTTCAAGCCGCGACTTCAAATCGTACAGACGTCTGCACGATTCTTTCTCTCTATCACTTAATTTTCACTTGTGATTAATTATAAATTAATTCAATGAAGCTCTGACAGTCTCGTTGGGACTCGACGTTTCACGAAACGATGATAAAAAAACCGTTAAAAGTTTTGAATAGACTCCGACACAGTCTGTTCTTACCGGATATTTTGATTCTTATATACGACAACAATTAAATAATTACATACGAACTATACGGATGTTTTATGTGTTGTGGATAACTGTTTTGACTGTGTCATGGAAGTTCTTATGAAATTTTACTTTACATATAAATATTAACGTGCTATCGTATAATTCAGTGCCATTTTCTAACTTATCTGTACTAATCTAATCCGTTTTGAAAGTCAAATTAGATGTTGATTAGGTGTAATGTGTTCGTGCAATAATAGGAATAACCAAAAAAGTGTTCCGTGGACATTTTAATGTTGAAGTCCGGGTTTTTCACTCGCTCCAGAGATATGGGTGAATCAATTGATGTTGAGGATAGTTTGGAATTGGAGTATGATATGTGGGACGGTCAGTTCGACTTCGTTGGACCTCAGGAGACTCCTATACGTGATCGAATCACTTCAGACACGAGTGTCCCCGAAGACCTGTTCACCGGTGGACCACTCACACCACATCTGACCAACGGTGTCAACGGCGGTAAAAAGACACCAGCACATCAATGGTGCGACAACCTCTCAGACCAAGTAAGGATACACACCATACAAAGGTCTAATTACGTCCAAATATGACCCCGTTATTGTCCTTAATTGAATCATATTGAATTTACCGCTTACGATAGTACTCGACGTACAAAGTAGTTCCAATTACAATAAAATAATGTATTATACAATTGAAATTTTATAGTATGGAATAAATAAATTAGATGTAAATAAAAATCTATGAACCGCTATAGAAAACAAAAGTGCTTTATCGAGCGATTGGAGCGAGACGTCTCGGATCCTGAGGTTGGTAGTTGGTACCATCACCGATTGTCATCACGCGATCCACGACGTCTGTAAACAGATCCGTTATACCGTCACGCCGATATCTCACCTAATAATACCGTGATAAGGCCTAAAATGTTCTGCATGATTTTAAACGCATTAAATACCAGCAGTGTACACGCGATCTTGAATACTTGTTCAAACTATTAAGACAATTCGCCTAATAACTATGTTTACTTGTGATTTTTTTTCGTTCGAGATTTTTCTTTAGTGTTTGTTATAACTGATAGGATTGATATATTTGAAATCACTATCAGCATCCACTACTTACCGTAGAGATTATGAGACAAGGCAACATAAGGTTATCTATCAATTGATATTTTTTTCAACCCACTCAAAAAATATCTCACTAGTTATTCAACAAAATAAGTTTCAATATAACAGAAGGTAGGTATATATTGGATTGATTTATTCTTTGAAATTATATTGGCAAGCTATAATCACATTACAAAAACTCAAGTAAAATAGTTTAACGTTAAGAAACATTTAAAAACTTACAAAGATATAAATTTTATACAGAAACTAGTATAAAATCTATGAAATTAAAAAGTTGTATCGAAGTTAGTAAGTTTTTGATAAGGTTATTCTCGTCAATTATTACGACTAAGCTCCATAATACCAAGTCTTAATAAGAAGCCTACCACAAGTTCGCAACGACACTACGTACCGACAGTTAATAGTTTACATTCTATGTAACTAACCAATGGTTCATTGTAAAACTAGTAATGATCCTTATATTAATAGTAACACTTCTCTTTATATAATACATTGTGAGTTCCGTCACAGATAATAGAAAGCCTTGGAGCTAATTAAAAACTTTGTTCCTTTATTTTTATCTTATCTATCACTGTTGATAGATTTGTTACATAAAACACTCACTAGAAAATCAAAATGCATCAGATATATAGTTTTCATATTATTACTTTTTTCTTTCATACATATATAAATTTTGTAATTTAAAAATATTTAAGTATACGACAAGAAATTTATGTTACATTGAATTATCTATGATCGATGTCCGAATACTCAATACGATTTTGATTTCAAAGTATTTTCATTTTATAAAGAATCCGAGATAAATTTAACCAAAAATGTATATGTTTAACTTACTTTAGTAATTTAATCCATTTAAGTTAAACGTTTAACTGACCTCAAAGGTCGAGCTCTTGAAGATAAAATTCAGTATATTTTACACTTAAAATGACTTTCAAGTTAACATAACATGATTATTTGTCTTCATTATAATAAATTAATATATAAAAAAAATTATAATATTGTATTTCTAACAAATTATTCGACTTTTCTTGGTAACTCGTAAAGATAAAAGAATCTATGAAGTCATACCTGATACAGGTCATTATTTTTTCAATATTAGGTATGAACAACACGGAAAATAAAAGAAACTGTTTATTAACCTATTTATCATAAAACCTTGTAAATGAAAATTAAAAAACCGGGCGTTTTCATATAAAAACGCGCAGAGTTATATGAAAACGAGCGTGTTCACTCTCCATTTCTCATTGTTTTTTATCATCATACATATTTATACACATTACACGATCGATAAATTTTATTATATAAATGAAATACGACTTCATCGTTCTTATTTTTCTTGTTTTTAACTTTAACACGAGATTTTTATCTTGTAGATATGATTTCAATATTGTTTTGATAGACAGAACAAAATTTTTCTTATCATATTTCTCATGATCTCACGCAATCGAATACAAAAAGAAAATTGATTGATATATAAAAGGAGATTTAATAATTAATTAATGTGTATTTAGAAATTTTCTCATTCGTGTATATAAGATTATAAATAGTAAGAGGTCAATGACCCTTACAAAACGTTTATGCTTTAAGTGTTTGAAGTACATACACTTCAATTTCATTTAAGTAATTATTTATATCATAAAAGATATTATTTACTAACAAATGCCTAAAACTAACTAGGATATAAATGACAGTCTCATTCTTATTTAGTTATTTTTGTAATATAACCAGCAAAATACGTGAATTGATTAATTAATAACATGGTATGTTTTGATTATTCCCAAATTATACTTATGTCTATAACAGGTGTATAACGTAAAACCTTTATAATATCTATTAATAATAACGAGTATCAAATATTTTTCTGCATAACATCTAAATTCTATTGATTCTCAGTTTATTAAGTATAATCGGGGGATCTCACCGTTATCGCTTCCTATTGATTCGATCCGGTCAATGGGTTTGCTCAGATCATATCTCGTTGCTGGTACAAATTAATATCGTCTGTGGGAACATCCAATTTTATTCTTTTTTACTTAAATTTTCAAGTATCATACTATTTTCTGTCCAATCTTTAGTTGCTTGCACAGAACTATGTTTCATTACGCACCTTACCACGAGTTTTTCATTAAAGAATGTAACAGTTAATTTATATTTTTTCATTCATAAAACTTCCCATATGACAGTATTAAGGTATGTTTACTAATTAAAAACTAGTCTGAGTTTGATTCAATCATTCAACAATACAAAATCGTGGTAAACTACGTTCTAAATTTTACGCAATTGTTTATGATTTGTCTCGGTATCAAACTATAAAGCTAATATTTTTTATTATACATTAAAATTACGAAGGAGCAAATAATTGCAGTATTTATTAATAGTGTAATAATATCACGCGTATCTGTATACAGGATGTGAGATATAATTTCAGGACAAGATCGTCTTACTTACATAATAAATATTGATATATTAATTATTATAATCCTTACTAATATTATAAATGCGAAAGTAACTCTGTCTGTCTGTCTGTTACGCTGTCACGCCTAAAGCACTGAACTGATTTTAATTAAATTTGGTACAGAGATAGAGTTGATCTTGAGAAAGAACATAGGATAGTTTTTATCCCAGACTTTTTAAAGGTTCTCTTGGAAACTCCATTCAGGCGGAGCTGCGGGCGGAAAGCTAGTATGATATAAATACGAACATATGAATCTATAGTGATTTTAAAACACTTCACTTTCATGTACAGTCACCGTCAATTCGCTTGTTATATACAATATGTTATGTGTTTAGAGAATACATGAAAGTTGTAAGACGGGCTGTAGGAAAATACTCTGGGGAGTCACGAGCAGACATTCAAATGTGTCCATTGATGGCGCTTGGCGATACCAGTACTAACCTGCATTGTGTTTATTAATTCGGAATACACGGTTCTTAGTTTTGGATTGTTTACAGAATATAACCGATTTTAAATAGGTTTATACTGAGTTTGAATGCTTCTACTTTATATTGGCAGTTTAACTTCGATGGCTTTGTTATACGTTTTAAATGTATCAAAGTAAATCTAGTTTTGAGGCATTGAATGTAACTTTTTTTACTTTAAAAAGTTTTTTTTTTAACATACAATTTCTACTTTTCTCGTATTCGATCCGTGTAAGGTATTTCGTATTCCTTTCACGATATTGCTTTTCAATTAAAGTCAGGTTTATAATCGTTTATTATACTGTTTTTCTTTGAAATATATAAATTTCTTTGTTTATTTCTTATATTAATATGTACCGATACTAAATAGTCGCAGTAGTCTGTTTCCATTATAGTATTATTGTATTTATATATCAAATAACATTTTTTCTATATGACTAACCCATTTTAAAACGATATACATTAAATTACAAGAAAACTTTGGAACAATCAGTTTATAGTTATTGTACACATTGACATTAAATACAAGTTATTTTGTGATTTTTTTGAACGATTAATTTCATATTGCAATATAAAAAACAAATTATAATATAAAATACATTCTATTGGCAAAACTTTTAGTATTTAAAAAAAAAACTGTAAATAAACGAAACTGTTTTACAAAAAAATATAAATAAATTTACAAATACATTTTTGTTCTAAAAAATATTTATATACTTTTCTATTTTGTTATTGTTGGATGGTTACTATGTACCAAAGATATTCAACTGCAAAAATCGCTTCCTACATATATAGAACATCCAAATCAAAATAAATCATAACACAGACTTAAATGATCCACTTCAATATAACAGTTGAAGATTTAAAGCACTATAGGAGCACCATAAGAGCACCCATTAAACGTTATCCATTCTTAAACACTCATTGAACAAATTGACTGCAGCTGACTTATATCCTGTCTCCGAACAAACGCGAGGGTGACTCAAATATAAAACTTATTCATCAATCATATCCATAGAAATGTACTTAAGTCTTAACACTAGTCTTCAATGTGATTTTTCCGAGTCATATGTACTTTCTAAGAGTATTTAGACATCACTGATTAATGCATTCCCAAAGAGGGTTGATGTCATGCAGGCGGCCGGTCGTAATAACAATTAGCCAAAACTATTCACAACATGTCAGGCAGACCCTGGCTAAAGCTGGGAAATTGCCAGGTAGAAGAAGAAGATTTACGTATGAAAAACTGTGAATATTTTGCAGTATATAGATGCAAACTTAAATTAAGCATACTACTCAACTTTTACTCTATAGATAATAATTTTGGCGCTTTTTTTACAACAAGATATGGTTCATGAATTCATCTTGTATTAATTTTTTTATTATCTATCATTCACGGTACATTTTTAATCTATGATACCGCGTGAAAGTCGGACCGAATTATAATCTTTAATAGACATTTATAATTATTACACTATTAATAACTTTCACAGATAATAAATTAGAGTGATATAAAAATTTAATGAATATATAAAATGAGATCGATAGGATTTCATAGATTATATACGGCTTCTTCCTGGCAATTTCCCAGCTTTAGCCAGGGTCTGCCTTACATGTACATACATACATACGTATCGTACTAAAATTGTTTGTTTTCAAATGATTCATTTTTGGCGCCATTTCAATTTCTCGTTAAATATATTTTCATACGTTAATATATTTTGAAAGATATATTAATATTTAAATATTATTATTAGTTGAAGGGACATTTTCATTGATCTCCTTAACTTAAACAACTGTCTTCCTGTTTGTCATCAATGATTTGATAATACCATTATTACTCATACCAGTTTATGTACATACTACAGCCACGGGCAAAAGTATTAGGCACCCTACAGTAAGACAAGTTTTAGGGTGTTTTAGCATATCGAGTGTAAATAAAACTGCATTTATGATTAAAATGGTTTATTTTAAGAAAATAATTAATATTTTGTAGGTCCACCTTTTGACTTAATAACCGCAGCCACTCTTTTTGGCATTGACTCTACCAGCCTGAAACATTCTTCTCTTGATATATTTTTCCATTCCTGCTGTAACGCGGCCAATAGAGCTTGTTTATTGCTAATCGAGTGCCTGCGGATATTTTTCTTTAAAATGGACCAAATATGCTCAATCGGGTTGAGGTCTGGTGATTGTGGTGGCCAGTCCAAAAGATCAATATGATTTTCAGCAAACCACTTCATGGTATGCGCGGACTTGTGGCAAGTGGCGTTGTCTTGCTGAAATTTCAGGCCATCGGTGTTTGTATCACCGAAAATTTGCGTTATCGACGTTGCTAGTGCTGTTTCCAGAACTTCAGTGTATTTAACACTATTCATTCGTCCCTCACACAACACCATTTCGCCCACTCCGTCGGCAGCCATGCAGCCCCAGATCATTATTGAGCCTCCACCATGCTTAACAGTGGGAACCACACATTCTGGGTTGTATTCTTCGCCAACCCTTCGCCTAACATAAGTCACACCGGGTGTTCCAAACACCTATGCCAAACGAAAAAAACACATTTATTTTCAAAGTTATTATTTTTCATGCAGTACGTTATTTTAAAAACATTTATGTGTTTTAATATTGTACATAAAATAAATAACAATACCTCAAAGTTAGATTCGTCTGACCACAGTATGTTGGACCAATCTTCCACTGACCAATCTCTATGTTTGAGTGCCCACTCCAACCGATTTTTCTTATTGTGTTCTGACAGCCACGGCTTCTTCCTTGCTTTACATCCTTTTAATCCAGCTTTAAGAAGACTTCTTCTCACAGTACAAACACTCACTGAGCTGCCTTTTGCCTCAGATAATGCTGCAGCGAGCTCTAAAGCAGTTTTTTTCCGGTTTTGTAGAGACTGCCTAATCAACAATCGATCTTCCCGTTCAGTAGTAACTTTTCTTCTGCCTGTTCTTGGTCTATTTTCATGGGTGCCAGTCTCTTTGAAGCGATTTATAGCATATTGAACTGCACATCGCGAGCACTTCACTTCTCGGGCTATTTTAACCTGAGACATGCCTTGTTCATGTAAAATCTTAATTCTTAGACGCTGTTCAGCACTAAGTTCAGATTTTTTCGGCATGATTAACACGTTAAATGTTAGTCTTTAGAATTGTGATAGGAATAGTTGCGTAGAAGACGTGTATGTTCACTGCAAGCACTGATAACACACTATAACCCGAAACGCAAAAAAAGCAAATTCGAAGAAACACCGCTTAGGAGCACACCTGGATGTCATAAATATTTTCTTTTATCTTAATTTGGTTAAAAATTGCCGCTAATACAATAGCTAAACCATAAAACACAGACTTGACCGCAATATAATGAGATAGTGACTAACAATAGGGGTGCCTAATACTTTTGCACGCAGCTGTATATCTTCAGTAGATCGTATGGAGAATTAATAAATCTTTTAAATCACGAAATACTAATCGTAATTGAAATAATCAGATTTATGAACAGTATAGAATATTTAAAAAAAAAACATATATACGTTTTAGGTAATATCAATATTTAAGTTTTATTGTTGCTTACTTTATAAGAACAGTACGATAGAGCCAGTTATAGAAGCCATCTAAAAATTCTTTATTCTAATGTCATTAGGATAATGAGCTTAAGTATTAAGATGATAACAATAAAAACTTTTTAATTCTTGTAAAGTGTTCCACTAAATGTCAAGGACGTATTTACACAACCTTTGCAATATTTGAAGCCTTGAACACGCAAAGGATATATTTCTTACATTTTTAAATTTAAAACTATTATTTCATGACCACATTTTAGATTTATTAAAATAGAAATTTATTTAAAAGTACTTTATATTAGTCAAATTACATCTTTGTATACAGGGTGACTGGTGAATTACTATCAATATTTAAAGAGAATACTCTGTACATGATTCTCATTCGAATTATGTAAAAAAAATAGGTACTTAATTTTTGACCAAATTTCCGTATAAATAAATAAAGTGTGGACACGTTCCAAGTGTTCCAAGTGTGGACGCGTGCGGCGGCGTGCTGATACAACACCACGCCGATGCACGCGTGTGTGTGTGTATACCTAATCTGTAGGGTGTTCACACGATGCGTAATTAATTACATAACTTTTGGTTAACTTTACTTAGAAGTTTATTAATATTTATGTTATATTAATTTTTATTTTGTCATATATGATCGTCAAATATCACCTCCTCAAGTATCGATAGTAATTCACCAGTCACCCTGTAGTTTCAAGAAAAATAAATTCATCCAAAAATAAATTCCTTCTTAATACTGTGTTCTATTAAAGTAATAATTGGAAAAGTTACTTTTCTATTTTAAATTCGCTGTGACCTAAGAAAATATCAAAAAATATGATTAATTGCGAATCAACAGGATTGTTTAGCAAATTTTTTAACGCTTTATTTATGTATGAAAATATCGTATAGTATAATCAAACACAACATTTTGTTAATTTACAAACTCTATATTATAAACTTCATTTACTAGTTTTATAATGTTCTTTGCATCAAAATCATCGCTACAAATAAAGTTTATATATAATAAAACGTACGTGGAAAGTTATTTCCATCTCAAGTTCAGAACAATACAAGGTCAAGAACAAATGACTCGCGTACGAGCGAACCTTACACGCATCATGATCATGTTTGACAATCATTATTACGTCACTCAATACTCTATTAAGAAACTTACATCTATACGATATATCTTCTTCTACCTGGCAATTTCCCAGCTTTAGCCAGGGTCTGCCTTACATGTTGTGGATAGTATTGGATAATTGGCTAGTTGGCTGACATCAACCCTCTTTGTGAATGCAATAATCAGTGATGTCTAAATACTCTCAGAAAGTACATATGACTCGGAATAATCACATTTGTACTTGCCGGAACCCGCGCCCTCGTGCATGAGAGGCGGGCCGTTTTAACCACTAGGCTACCACTGACTCTATACGATTTAAGTCTGTAAATGTTATGAACATTAATTATATATAAGATTGTAGTAAGAATGCATTTTAAGTAAAACTACGTTTAAGGATATAAGGGGTTGTCCATTAATCACGTGATCTTTTTTTAGCATTTTTTAACCCCCCCGCCCCCATTGGTGATACGTAGTGAGGTTTAAGACCACCCCCCCTCCCGCTTCTCAACATTACGTGTATTTTTAGTACCTACAACGAATCTTAAAATTTTCTGAATATTATCTTAAATTAAATACAGGTATAAACTATAATCTTATTTTATTCTGAAATTAAGGACCATAATAAAAATGTCTACACCATGTCGGCGAGTCGAGGTCACTACACGCCGCGCCGTGCCGCTTAATATTTGTTTAAAAAGCGCGCGTTAGACGAAAAAATAAATACACGAGATATCTTACTGCACCCCCCTCCCCTTTGTGTTATTTTCGTGATTTTTATCAAACCCCTCCCCCCCTTTTAAGCCTCACGTGATTAATGGACAGCCCCTAACGAGACGATTTTACAATCGATTTTTTTGTATTCTTAGTTTTTACATTTACTCGACGCTTTGATTACAGCATCCGTGATCTTTCGCAGACAAAATGATTTCATCGTCGTTATAATTTTAAAGTAAAAAAAAAAACAATACAATCACGTTATATCTCAAAAATGTAATTTAATGTTTTGTTCGGCATAATTTTCGTAACCCCGTGATCACGGTTGCTGAAAAGTAACCAAAACGTCGTGAGTATGTAGTTTTCTACAAAGAATAAAGCACGCGTAATATATCCGAAAAATATTAGTTTCATTTAAGTTAGGCACCAATTAAAAAAGATAAAATAAATTTTTAAAATCTATCGATATTCTTAATAAAACATATATATAATGTTATGAATTCTCAATATAATTCCCAGCTTCAACTTCTACAACAGCAAGTGACTTCACTAGCGGACACCCAGAGCACCGCTGACGAGAGGTACGCCAGAGCTAAAGCTGAGAACGCCGTGCTGCAATCCAGAGTACACATGCTCGACGAACAGATAAGAGAGGTACTCATATATACGATAATTCATTTGGCTTGAAATATATGTTTAAAACTAGCGTTGCCAGGCGTCCGGATAAAGCCGGATATAGTTAGGCTTTTTGATTGTATATCCGGCCAAAATAAACGGTGTCCGTCTTTTGTTAGGCTTTTTACATTTCTCAAAATAATAAAGTACCTATCTAAGACTGATTTGGAATTCGATTTTATTTATTATTTCACTAGAAATTAACAAGATTTATGATTATAATCAAAAAGACTTGATTTTACATTTAAAAAAATTGTCGTACATATTAATACTAAGACAAAATCCTCAGTAATATAGGTGCGGCTTTTTTTAACCAAATGTTCGGCGAAACTGGCTAGTCTGTCCGGCTGTTAGGTTTGGCGACCTTTATTTAAAGCTATGTCCATATACTAGGAGTATAAAAGAAATTTTGCGTGGAGTCCTTCCGCGTTAAAGAAGCGAAACTTCGTAATGTTGGAATCAAAACAGGAAGGGGTAGAAATAGATTTTTAAGGAATTTAAAGCATTAATAAACATTGCTTATAATTTATAAGTTACAATTGATTAGCGCCACGCATTCCTTCTCGCTCCGTCTCTTTATTCTTTCTCAAACCCTCCCCCACTTTCGAGCGTTAAACGTTTAACGCAACCTTGTTGCATGTCACATAAGAGGTTTCACTTCAAAAAAAATCCTGTCTCTTATACAGCAAATGTTAATATATAGGAAAAAAATCACCTTGGAATAGCAAACATGGGTGTCATCTTAACTGACTTAGTTAAATATTTGCATAAACAATGCCTTACAGTAAGTAGAGGTAATACGTAAGATTATTTAAATGTCAATTTCCTTAACTACCAATTACCGATAATAATAGTATTTCGTTATATCTGTAACAGTATATTGGTAGCGTGTAATATAAGTTCAATGAGATCAAACGAACGCAAACGATTCTCATTACAGGAATTACGCAACGATGTATGAAAAATATGTCTGTTCTTGTTTACTCATACACAAACTACTGAACCTATTTTAATGGAGTTTCTATTTCATTTTTCTATACTTTTTTGAGCAAAAATCTATTCCAATCTAACGTTTTAGTTTAGTAGAATGTTTAGAATATTTAGTAGTAGAATATATATAGCTCGCGTTACGTCATGTGCTACTACGTATTGACTTAATTTTCATTTCCATACATGTATTTTTATACGAGAATCGTTTTAGAAAATCAAATCTAACCTCATGATTGTTCTATACTAAATCTCAATATTATTCGTAACATATTTAATATTCTATTCTAAGTTTACATCATACGAAGCGTTTCCCGTTTCACATTCAATAATCTACGTTAATATAATATGCGCGGATTTATGAATGAAAAACTGTTAATAAGTTAGCGTGACGATACAAACACAAAAAAAAATATACAAAAAAATAGTGGAATAGTGCTTCTGTTACATATTTATCTATAAGAAAAATGATGTACAAGTTTAGTGAAATCAATATTATTATTTACATCGAATTTCATTGCAATCATGAAGAAATTGCTTACATTTATACACATGCGTAAGGTATTTGTGATTTTACAACACGTTTAACAAATAGAGGATAGCGTGTAATTCTCGTACGCAATTAATTAAATTAGGCTCGTTTGAATGAAATTAGACAAAAAAAAATCGAATTATCGTTTTAAATTATACATTTTTTATCGATTTTACTTAATTACACATTTCAGTTACTGCGTGTGACTAATCAGTCATTGTTTAAAGTGAGCGCTGAACACACAAGCTGTACACTCACGTCAAGTGAACTTGTATTACGAAATTCACAAACTAAACAGTTTTAATATAGCTTATAACGGTGTTATTTGCATATATGGACATAGAAAATTTATTATATAATAATATATCTGCCATGGAAGTGACTGACCCGTCATCGATTTGTCAGATCGAATGCAGATGCGAGGAACGCATATCAGAAGAACAGCGTCGCTGTAGAGAAGCTATTTCACGCGTGGAGAGGGACAGGGAAGCTCAACTAGCGGCCCTCACAGACAGACTGGCCGCCGCTGAGGCTGAAGCATCACACCTTAAACAAGAGGTCAATGAACTTTTATATTATCCTTACCACTATAACTAGTATGAAACTAATTTAGATCTAGCTTACAGTTTGTGATTATTAACCTAACACGTATGATCATTTGAGTTAACAATCCAACTTAAGACATAATTACAGCAGAACTTTGACTTACCTACAATTTCTATTATAAAACAATAAATTTACATCCTTTATATATAAATAACTAGCTTTCCGCCCGCAGCTTCGCCGCGTGGAGTTCGGTTATATCGCATTTCCAAGAGAACCTTTCAATAGTCTGGGATAAAAACTATCCTATGTTCTTTCTCAAGGTCAACTCTATCTCTGTACCGAATTTCATTAAAATCAGTTCAGTGGTTTAGGCGTGAAAGCGTAGCAGACAGACAGACAGACAGACAGACAGAGTTACTTTCGCATTTATAATATTAGTAGGGATTTTTGGACGATATCTATCTATATCGTCCAAAAAAATACATTTGAATACAAATGAGTAACAAAAAGCCAACTATAAGCTTCCAAACTTTTAAATTTATATGGTATTAACGCTGAACTCCAATATAAATATTTATTCATTTAATTATAACATAATAACTGTTTAATATGCAGTTTCATTCCTCGTTATTATAAGTGTTATAACTTTAAACAACTTTCTCAATTCAATATCCGTCTTTAGCAATCACAATAATGACTTGTTGATATAACACTTACCTCATTGATTGTTCCTAACCATACATATTCAAATAAACCCCTGGAGTAATTAAAGTCATTGTTATGTCACTAGGTTTATCCTTAGCTATGTTGGAAGTTAAAAATATGATGAGTAAAGAAAAATAACCTGAGAAAATAAATTTTCCTACACTTGATACTGCCATAGGACCTTTTAAAATGATGAATATCATCAGACATATACCTATATGTTATGTGTATATGTGTGTATGTATAATATCTCATTTTCTACTATTATAATTTTCTTTGTACATATGCCTATAGACATACATATATCTATATTTTTTCCTTCTCTTATTTTATTGTGCCTAAACCACACTTTTTTGTAATTTCCTCTATCAAAAAATTTTCTGGTAGAGATATCTTTTAAGACATAACTTATCCTTTGTTCATCACACTTTTGGTACATATGACCTACACCTGGGTCGCAATTCTCAGGCACTGTTGAAGCTTCTCCAATCCATTGAATGCTAAGAGGTTTCCTTTCTAAACATATATTATATAAATCCAAACAGGTCGGTCGTTTGCGTGGTGTAGCTGAAACTCTCCGTGCTAACTCCGAAAGCAGTGCTCGTGTAGCTCGAGAGGCACAAGAAGCTGCTAGCGAACTATCAGCTCAGCTGAGTGCTGCTAGAGATGCTGAGAGGAAGGAGAGGGATGCTGCGGAGATAGCACGAGGAGAACTGGCGAGACTTAAAGAAGAGATACAAGACATGAGACAAGTGGCGCCCCCACCACCCGACCCGAGGATACGGGAACTAACTATGGAATTAGAGCTGCTACGGACACAGAACAAATGTTAGTTGATGTATATTGTATGGAAAAAATATTGTACTATAAGGTTGGTTAGGTAGGGAGAGGAGCTTGGACAGTGGAGGTGAGCGTCTAACGCGCGTTAGATATGGACCCCTTAAACCTACACCTGGGTGACAAGTCCCAGGCACTGTTGAAGCTCCTCTCACTACAACGATAGAGCCGACACCCGCACGGTGAATCCATTGAATCCTGAGAAGTTTCGTCTCTATAGTTTATTGTGGAGGGTAGTTGTTGAATAAGATGGATGAAAGTGTATGTTAGAGTTTGGATAGTGAGGTGAAATTTGTATGAACCAAGGTTCAGGAAACTTTAAGAAATAAAATATGAATATAGAATTGTAATAAAACTTATAGAATAGTTAACATATTAAGTTAGTTCTTAAATAACTATTTCTTACTTTGATATATTTTAAATTTTAACCATAAAATCATTTTGTTATTAATCAAAGTAATGATGGCTTCCATATTAAAAGTCATCAAATTATGTATTCATATCCAAAGTCAAGACATTAAATAAAACATCATCAATTACGTTCCAGCGCTAACTGAAACCCAAGAGGAGCTTCAAGCACAGATCCTCACGCGTGGTGTTGAAGAAGGCAGGAGTTTGTTAGACGGAGTTAGCGGACCCTTAGTAGCGACTAACTCACTGGCACACGAACTATCACAGATGTCTGACCATGAGGTAAATAATATAAATATAAGCACAAAAAATATCAATAACATAGGACAAAAACTTATTCGTCGGGAATAGGGCAAATCCGCGCAACTAGCATTGGATAATTCCGCACATCTGCTTTAGAGGCAGATTGATAGAAGGTTTAAGTTGAAATATTTTCTATATTAACAAGTTTTATGGTAATTTTTTTCACAATTATTTAATGGTTATTTTACTACTAATTGTGAAAAAATTACTTTAAAAGTCGTTTATATTGAAATACTAGAAGACCCGGCGAACTTCGTTTCGCCCTATAATCAAGAAATATCTGTTACGTTTTTTTATTTATATTTTTGGAGTTTACCTATTAAAGCCATAAATCTCCGTGTTTTGAAGTGATTAGGAATGATTAATAGTTAATATGAGAGTTACACTGAGCTAGCAAAATAATAATTGTCAACGTTACTACTATACTTGATGCACAAACAATAACGATGGCCGACAACTGTGTAGGGAGTGAGAGAAGTCTAATTGTGTGAGAGAAACAGAAGACCGGCTTCGTTCTCATCCCTACTCCGTGCTGTTTACTGGGTCAGAAGTGACACCTGTAGATATCTGGCGGGGATAACTTATTAAATGACGATTGATCAGTTATCGACCGGAGATGAAAAATGATTAAATTACTAAAATAGCTATTAAAAAATAAGGGTTGATCGTAGAAGGGTGAAAATTTAGGATTGTATGTATTTTTGTACGTTGTATCATAAAAAAATAGTAATTAAAAATATTGTCTAAAAAATAAAAAAAAAAATTTAGGGGTGGACTACCCCTAACATTTAGGGGGATGAAAAATAGATGTTGGCCGATTCTCATAGCTACCGAATAAGCACAAAAAATTTCATCAAAATCGGTCAGGTTGTTTCGGAGGAGTATGGGCACGAAAACTGTGACACGAGAATTTTATATATTAGATTTCAGCTTAAACCTTCTTCTGTCAATATGCTTCTAATGTAAATACGACGAATTATCCAATGCTAGTTACGCGGATTGGCACTATACCAGACGTATTCACATAAATTTCATTATGATTATTGAATATTCCATTAAAAATTTGCCATCACTAACAATCACGAAATAAATTTTTGTTTTATCATTTCTATAGTCCATTGATCATATTATTTGGGATCATTTAACGTGCTTTGTTGCTTTCGCTTAATTCTTTATTGACATATATGCGTTTTTGCAGCTCGTTGGTAGCAAACACACAGACAGCATAGAGTTGGAAAAGGTACGCCATTACTAACTTGCACTGACAATACACGCATGTCTTTATATACTGGGTGAATCATTATAACATACTAAAATGCATGAAACAGACTATCTACCACTATTAACAGACCCTTGACGTTATTTTGACCTTAATTATTGAAATAAGTACCTACATATTTTAACAGACACAAAAAATTAATATTGCTTTAACATCAAATTTATACTGAATTATCGCCTGTGCCTTTTCACGCTTTATGCTTCACTTAATTATTTTCATCCTAAATAAAATATCTAATTTATATTAAATTTTCAGTTGCAGAAAGCCTTAAAAGAGCAACAAGATGTTAACGTACAATTGAGAAATTATATAGATGGAATTCTGTTATCGATTGTAGAAAACTACCCTCAACTGCTCGAAGTCAAATATCAACAGAAACCGGAAATGAAGTCATAACACCGATTAAATTTATTTTAGACAAATATATCAATAGAAAAACCTGTATTAATAGAAATTAGCTAATATATCAAAATATCAGATCAATTTGTTGTATACAAATTAATGACAAACTCTTATCTGAATTAAATTATATTTTTAATAATATTTCATTCTAAATTATTCCCTGTTAATGTACTTTGTGTAACTTATTATTCTCTTACTTTCAATATATTTTCTAAACTAATAATGAATTTTATGAGAAAATTCTGTGATAATTAAAAATATATATCAAAACATTTCATACTTCACGGTTATATCATTCGAATATTTTCTTGTAACATTGTAAATAATGTATAGATTAGATCTAGTTAGTGTTTGAATGTTATTACTCCAGTTAAAATATAGTTTAGTTTAAAAAGATCTGGGGTTAAGTTTAGTTTCAAAGGCCTGGCCGTCCAAAAAACTTGTACATTTTAAGCTAAGACTGGAATAACAAACATGAATGGTGCAAGAATGTGTTCCAAAATTATATAAATATATATACTAATATTATTTATAAATCTTAATTATAAAGCCATTAAACATGTGTTTATTAATAATTTTATTAATATAATAGTACCTATAATAAATATATGTTACTATTTTTACAATGAGATATTGGATAGTATAGTTAAGTATTTGTGTACATTTTGATAACACAATTAATATGAAATATAGTATAGATGTTATAATTATCGAAATGAATTAAATGAAAACAATAATAATATTATAGTCAGACTTTTATTTTCACCCAAAAATTATGTGATTCTTGTAAAATTTAAAATAAACTTATTTTATTAATATTTAGTGTTCATACATTTATTTCATAATATGCAAATAATGTGTTATTTTATGACAATTAGTACTCATTGTTCTTGGTCATTTCTATCTTCAATTCTTTTCGTTTGATCCAAATTGTTAATGACTTGCTGAACGTCAAGACGCAACATCATTAATTTCGGATCCATGTAATCCTAAAGACAAAAAAATAATTAAAACAATATTTAATATATATTATTAAGTACAAACAAAGTACTCTCTTATATATCTGGAATTTGTGTAAAATAATATTCATAGAGAAAATCTGACCATCCAATTTATATTAATTGTCCACAATGTAAAATTAAAAACAATATTTTTATTTGTAGAACTACACATACTACTTTAATATTCAGAAAATATGGGGAGTAAATCTCTGTGTGAAAATATATACAGATCAGTATTTAAAACCTTAGCTATAATTATACTAAAATTATATCTACCTTGAAAGGTTCATGGGTCTGTTCTTGTACAGTATCATTCTGACCAGACCTGCCAAACATTTGAGCTATATCCGCCTCTATTACGTTTATGGGAGGGTTGAAATTCCCATACTCCCTTCCAGTGTAAGGCAAATATGCATCATATTGAGAAGTCCTGCACAATGAACATTGCTGTTTATTTTCCAATTCTTTCTTCTCATTGTGTAAACTAAGCCTCTCCCTTGATAAAGCGACTTTTTCTTTCGCGATCTGTTTCTCTCTATTGTTTAGTGAAACTACATGTTCTTGTATCCTTCGTATTCTATCTTCATACTTCCTCTGAAGGAATTCGGCTTCGGAATATTTTTTATCAGCTTGCGACTGTTTCTCCATAGCCGTTTTTGCGAGTAAATCTAGATCTCTACTCCTGAAATAAATATAAATTAATTGATGAATGAATCTTTTTTTTATAATTAAAAAAAAGTTTTATACTCTCACTTGGACATAACTCTCTGTTCTTCCATTCGGAGTTCTTCTTTATCTGCGTTTAATTTCGTTCTTTCCTCACTCATTTCTTCTAGTTGAGCTTGAAGTTCTGCTTTGGTCTTCTGTGAGAAAAAAAGAAATTACAATATCCTTATATATCCAGTAAAGAATCATTATAGCAACATTTTACCTCTAATTCCATCTTCAAACTTTGAACGGAAGCTTTCTCTTTAGCAACGAACGCACTATCTTTTAATGCCTTGGCCCTCTCTTCTTCAATCCTCGAAATCTTCTCGTGATATTCTTTTTGGATATCTTCTTTCAATATCTAAAATTACATTTATTTTTATATAGCTACATATTTTTGAACTGTTTCTTGTACTAAAACATTTTTTTACTTTAACTTCCTCATCCTGTTTCTTTAACATGTTTTTCGCGAACTCTGTCTGTTTGTTGAACGTCGCTTTCTCGAATTCAAACTCCATCTTCCTTCGTCTTAAAGCTGACGTTTCTTCTTCGATCATCTGTAGATAAACGATTAAAACATCACTACATCCAAAAAAGAATTCTAAGTAAAACTAGATTAAGAAGAAATTACGCTTGTCATTTGTTTAAGCCTGCCCTCTAACATCTTGACTAAGTCCTTGCTTTCAGATTTTTCCTTTTCAAATGAATCTCGTTCCTTTTGAAGCTGCTGTATCATATCTTTGGACATTAAAAATGAGTATCAAAAATATATCAATGAACACATTAAATGTACAAAAATGAATTCTGTTCGTTAACTTACCGCTGATCTGCGTTTCTCGTATTTGCAAACTCCTCTCAGAGTCGCGTTGATTCCTATTTGATAAAGTTTCCAATTGCTCATACAACTTTCCACATTTTTCATTACCCTCTCTAACATTAGCCAACAGTTCTTGCAATTCGGATGAAAATCCAGCCGAATCTTTTATCAGCACCTGTTCCTGTTTCACCGCGTTTCTTAAATATAAGATAGAAATTAGATCAAGAAATGGCGCCCGATATCAGGTTAATAAAAATCAACAACACACTTAACATTCTCCATCAATGCAGCGTGATGTTCTTGTAATACTTTAATATTTTCCAAATGTTGTTCTCTCAGCATATCGTTTTCAACTTTATGTCTATCTGTAAGTGAATTCAGATTGTCTTCGGACATTTTCCTATACAATTGGTGATGTTCGTTCAGCCAAGTTATCTTTTCTTTATAAAAATTAACAAGTTTTTCAGTTTCGTCCTTCATCCTTTCCTCTGCTTGTACAAATGAAAGTTCTATAAAACCTAATTGTCGTCTGTAACAAAATTAGTTGTCTATTTCCAAAAAATAAAAATGATTACAAGACATTAAGTCGAATTGTTTTTGGATTTCAAATAGTACTTTTCTATTATTATTTATAAGTGAAACTACCTGTAGGAAGTTTCCATTAAATCTACTTCCTTATCGTGATTTTCTTGCAGAGATTGTACTAGTTGTAGCAACTGTCTTCTCTCCTTTGCAAATGGACTTTCCTTCCGTTCTGAGTCTACGTATTGCGCAGTTTCTCCTTGCACCTCATCGTAATTTGGACTCGAATCACTTAACAAAGCCTGTAGGTATTCAGAAAAAATTACAACATTTTTTTCGTTGATAGACCCAACTCTGAGTAGGATAACCAGTAAACGCTTATAGAATATAGGAAAACTAATGAAGATCTTAACATTTATATAACATGAATAAAATGATTTTATTATCCTAAACCTATGAATGTATTATAAAACCATTTATAATTTAAATGGAATATAAGGATATTCATATTAGGAAAATCGTATTAGCAAACCAAATCTTTAATAAAATATGTATATAATGATAAACCTTAATTCTTTGAGTGATTCTCTCCTGATGTGAGGCTATGATCGCTTGCATCTGTTGTCGATGCTCAGCCTGTCTGTTTAACATCGCCTCCACTTGCTGGTGTTCAGCCATAGCAGCCTCATGCTGCACTCTTTGACTTTCTTTTTGACGCACTAAATTATGTAAATGTGGACATCACTTTTATCACAATATTTAAACTTAAGTTTGCAGAAAAAATACTTTTAAATAACTAGATAAAGTTAAGCATAAAAATCATGTTTCTGTATAATCTCAAAACCACTTCTTACTCTGCATGGCCGCTAATTTTTCATCCTGCGCTTTCAGTTGCATTGCAACCATCAGCTGTGACTCCTGTTGTTGTAAGTAAAGTGCAGCTCCTGCTAACGTTACGTCTTCTTGGGCAACATTTAAATTAAATGCTTCAGACGGTTCTATCTGAATTTGATCCTTTTTAACCTCTTTGATATATTTGATCTGCTTTTCTTCTGTTTCAGTTTCTTCAGGCTTCGGAATGTCATCAGGGACTGGCGCTTTATCGCTCTCAATTTTAGTTTCTTTGGGTTTTTTCTTTTTATTTGTTCCACCACCTAACCAAGCAGGTATATCGTCTTCTTCTTCATCAACGGCTTCATCTTTATCTTGGAATATACCAAGCCAATTTTCAGTGGATTTCTTTGTTTTCGAAGGTTTTTGAGTCTCAGTCACAATTGTAGGTTTCGCTTTTTCACTTTTCGAAGATTTTAATGTTTGTTTTGATTCAGTGTTTCCCAGAATAGAATCTAAATCAAAGTCATTTTTCTTCGATGCTGCTGTGGGCTTAGAAGACGGACCACCCAATATATCGTCTAATAATGAGTTTGACTGTTTACTCTTCTCTTTTACTTTCTCTTTCTTTTTGTCAACACTATATTCTTCTAAAATATCCAATTTATCAATATCAGTACCTGATTTGGTTTTAGCTGGAGATTTTAGTCCTTCGATTTTGTCAGACGCTGTTTTAAAACTGATATCTCCCTTACTAAACGAAATTGATTCCTTTGACGTAGTACGTTTAAATGGTGTAGGCGAAATACTGCTTAAATTATCCTTTCGCGCAGTAGACTTATCATCAACAATTGATGTTTTCTTAGTATTTTGTATAATATCAACGTCTTTCTTAACGCTGGTTTGTGGTTTTGTTTCACCCAAGTCGAATAAACTACTTTTCTTTTCTACATTTTGAGTTACCTTTTGTTTTTGAGGTTTCTTTTTACCTAGTATATCATCATCAAAGAAGCTATCATCACTACCATCACTTAATATTCCCGCCAGGGGATCTTCGAGATTAAAACTCATTGTTTGTTTAAATATTAAATAGAGCTAAATGAAATTAAACATTATTCAATAAACTATTTATTTAACAATGTCTAGCATTATTTTAGCAATGTTAGGATTGGTTTCCATAGCAACATTATAATATGTATATGCAATCCAATCATGGTATTTTTTTTTTCTTCACAACAAATTATACCTAAATTTATGTTCAATTGATTATTGATAACAATTAATGTATAATTTTATTCAATATTTAAAAAAAAACTAGATTTGTTTTCGTAAATGAATCATTTAAAGATAATAATTCTTTATTTTTTTTTCGTGTCACACATTGTCCTAAATATAATATCAAAATTTTGATTATATTTTGTTTTAAATACTACTAATTATTCTGTTTAAATATAATGAATGTTACATCATTGTATATTATATCCTATTTTATTATATCCAATGTAGTACTTATAGTAATTCTGAACGTAGCATTTTGTGACGATTGATGAAAAATTTGTTGCTTCACGTCAGCCAGTCGGCTATATTTTTAATTATTTTTCAAAACAACTGCAGCAAAACTACAGATTTTTTGTGTATTAATAATATTTTAACTTTACATTACCATCCAACGATGGATTATATCGGTGAGGTTTCATTCAAAATTAAATATCTGGATTTAAGAAACCTTTTGACAAATTTTAAGCGGCTCATAGAGTCCTTTTGTTCTGGATTTTGCTAAATCATGGTGTGTTTTTCAGCATCAGAAAAGGGTGATACAACAGAAAATCGGGATCCTAATTCTTTAATAGCAAATGGCAGCTCAAAGCCAAATTTAGAAACAAAATCTATCGAAAATGAAGGCCCTCACATCGAAGCTCCCACCGAGCGTGCGTGCACTTCAGAATCTGCAGAAGAATCTGAAGTCTGCGAGATCCCAGAACAAATCGAATTTACTGTAGTTTTTAATAAAAATAAACATGACATCACATTTGCATATGATGCTACCGTCTTAGAACTTAAAGCTCACCTAGAGCGAATATGCGGCGTTCCCCAATCTGCTCAAAAACTAATAATCAAGGGTATGGCTAAGGATAATGTGACATTGCGAAGTACTGGTATAGTCAAAGGTGGGAAAGTGATGCTTGTTGGATCTAAAATGGATGACATATTGGCTGTGAAAAGTGCACCAAAGGTATTTCTCTTTTGTTTCGAAATGTATAATGTTCCTCAAAGTAGTGTTTAATATCTTACTAACCTTAAGTATTTCTTTTATATTAAATTTTGATACTGCCCCTTAAATTTTAAATGTAAATATTCAAGTTCTCTAAGGTCTAACATGTCTATTGTGTTTAAGGAAATACTTGAAGAAAAGAATAGTAGTCAGACAAGTAAAGAACCGTTATGCATGCAGAAAATACACAGGAAGGTTCTAGACAAAGGTATCCCACCTGATGTGATGCCGGGAATCAAAGGAGTGAAGGTAATTAGACAATTACAAGCATTAAATTTGATTTTAGCTCTACAACTTATAATCAGTACTATGATCAGAAGTTTATCTAAGTTACAATTATTTGGGTTATTTATTAATATTATTTTCATTATGGTTAATAGGAGCCGTTGCCCCCAGTGCCATTAAGTGGAATGTTAAATAAACACGGTGGAAAAGTGCGATTGACTTTCAAACCAGAGCAAGATCAACTATGGCTCGGAACAAAAGAGCGCACTGAGAAACTTGCTATGACATCCATTAAAAGTAAGAATGTAGACACTTATGTATACTTTTTATATACTTTACTAGCTTTCCGCCCGCAGCTTCGCCCGCATGGAGTTCGGTTATATCGCGTTTCCAAGAGAATCTTTCAAAAGTCTGGGATAAAAACTATCCTATGTTCTTTCTAAAGGTCAAATCTATCTCTGTACCAAATTTCATTCAAATCAGTTCAGTGGTTTAGATGTGAAAGTGTAACAGACAGACAGACAGAGTTACTTTCACATAATATTAGTAGGGATAGTCCACAACTTAAATATAACAATGCATTAGCAATTGTTTTTAAGGAATTACTCAGTTTTGACTAGATTAGTAGTGCTACATATAAGCGCAATACTTGGTTGAAGTTAAAAAGTGCTTTTCTTTATTTCTTGAAACAATACTATAATTATTATAAATAATACATTTTTTGATAGTCAAAATTTTAGTTAAGTTACTAACTGTGATTGCACTTTATAACAAAAATGCTATGCAAAGTTAGGTAAATTATAACAGAAATTTTAAAAAGGAAAAATATTACCACTTAATTTTTATTTAAGAAAATTTATTGTCTAATAATGAAGGTTTTGAAATTATTATTCAATGTATAACAAATGTTACTTTTCAGGTATAACATCTGAACCAATTAAGGAACATGAAGAGTATCATATCATGGTAATTTTAACTTATAATTACAATTATTAATGAACTACATATTATGTATTGCAATCTTATAAAATTTAGAATGTCATAAATTTCTTAGAAGACTTTATTGTATTAATGTTTGTTTCAATGTTATGGCATACAATTCCTGAATATATGGAAAGTTTTTACCGAGTTATAACATATCTAGATATTTCAAATTAATTACTCTTTAAACATAATCCCTAAACTTCATATTAATATTTCTGCATAAGTATTAGACATAAAGAGTTAAAATTCTGCATTACATTTCAAATCCCCAAGTTTTTAAGATATATTTGCATATTTTTATAATATTTCTCATTGTTTTTCAGGGTTTACAGTTGGGGCCAACAGAAGCTTCAAGGTATTGGGTGTATTGGGTCCCCGCTCAGTATATTGAAGCCATAAAAGATGCTGTTCTCGGTGTTTGGCAGTTCTTTTAATACACACTTGTATCATATATCATCTGGAAAGCTACTTGGGTAGTTGCAATATATTTAAAATTATCAATTGCGTTCGTAACGCCCTAGCACAAATACGCCATATTAAGTACATATAAATGACTTATAAATTTACCATATAAATCTCTGTGCTGGGGCTATAAAAATTATGTGAAATTTTGTATACCCAAATTTGTTTTCAATTTTAAAATTATCTTTTAATGTATGCTCCGTACCTACGATGGTACTGATTTTTTTGTGATATCCTTGTGCTATGTCAATTAAAAATTGTCCATTTTAATTTAGCATCTGTCTGGTCAAGTGAGAATTATTTTGCAACTGCATAAATTGCATTTGGATTTCTTGAGCTGTACAATATTGCTATATAATGATAATGTGATATTATAGTATCTTTGCATTCATTGGAGCTTATTGTCCCTTGTGTTTTAAACCTGATCTCTATTTGAACTTTAAAAAAATCATTTCCCTCAAAGGATTGGTAATAACACGCAATGACTATGCCCTCTAATAAGTTTTTGAAACTGTTTTAAGTACTTGCATGTGTTAACCAATTCTATGTGGCGATATAATCATAGAATTAGATAAAAACATTTGAAGAAAACTATGGTTTTATTTATGCAATGAAAAACTCCTTTCATAAAAATGTTTAATCATCATAAAAGTCATGTAAATAATATAAATGAGTTGCTACACTTAAAATACAATAAAAGTTTTTTGGTAAAAATGTAAAATGGCACATCAGAATAGTAATAAATAAATAATAAAATATAAAAAAAATAATACTGTTTTAAAAACTTTCTTCAAATATAATATCAGCCATATTCCGATTGAACTGTGAGTGACAGTTGACCTTTTGGTATGGTTGTAGAATGATACCAAAGACGAGTATCCAATAGTACTGAAAGCAAATAAATTGTACATAATACAACTATTCAAAAGGATAGATTAAAATAACCATTAACAAAAATATTAATAAATTTAAATAAAAACTAAGTACATATTTATACAAGTGGCAATACAACATAAAAATTACTATATTATAAAATATTTTGTATTACCAACCTACATCGCCAGGTTCAACATAAAATTTGATGTCCCTACAGAAATCTTCACACTCCGGCACTGGTTTTATTAACCAGGTTTTATTTCCTTTCACTTGTCCTTGCCACATCAGTCTTGGTATATAATCTAACTAAAATAAAAATTAATAATATGTATGTACACTTAATGACAAAATATTACTTTGTATAAAAATTTAAATCAGAAGAAAAGTAAGTAAAATTAATTGATGTTAGCCAAATTCGAATAGCGACCTTTATAAATAAGTGGACCACAATTATTTTTTATTGTTTATTTTTTATTTGAACCTTTGATAAGATTCTGTTCAAAATTGCTTTAAAGTTAAAACGTGATTATTTTTGTTTGTATGTCTAAATAAAAATCATTTAAACAATATATTATATCAATTTTTATATTTACATGCATGACTGCTCCCATTTCATATCCTATAAATATATTTTCTGTTGCTGGGAACTCTGCATCTTCAGGCAGGAATTCTGGTATTGAGTAGTATTCACGAACTTTAGATAAGATGGTTGGATGACAATTGCCCCTGTGCAAAATAAAAATATATAGTACAAATAACTAATTCTTAAGATTTTATTTTGAAGCATGATAATTAATTTGTTAAGAGTAGAAACTAAAAAGATATATGTATATATCATCACTTACCAGCCAACATACCAGGGCTCTTGTCCAAACTGGTTTGAAATTCTAGCTTCAGGCATCTCAAACACTTCTTTCAGAGTAAATAGATCAGATTTGAAATTTAAAAACTGGCACCCATTCTCCAAACTTTCATAACTTTGAGGAGTTTGTTCATATAACGTCTTGAAAAATTTTATACTGAACACTTTTGAGGCACTCCAATGTTTTATGGCATTCTTAACAATTATGGGTTTTGATGAATATGCATATTTCTGAAAGAATAAATATAAATAATTCACACAGCCTTTATTTATTAATAACATAGAAGAACCTTACCTTAAAGCTATGTCTTGTAACGTTCCACAATATGAGAGGTTTTGTAACATTCTCACAATAGTCGCAATCAGCAAGAGGTCGAGTGGCTTCCCACACCAAGTGGTTAATAGGTAATAAACACCTTGCACTTAATAAATATTCTATTACAGAACTAGCGACAAGTAACGATATAAAAGCTACACTCACTGATATTAATGTTTTATTGTACAAAATATGCACTGATTTTTGTGAAATATCACAATTAAATTGCGTATTTAAAACATTTTCTATCCCTTTGTCAAAAGCGATTTTCTGTAGAGTTTTTATTTTTTGGTAAATAATAGATTTTTCTTCATTTTCAATTTTCATTATAACATCATTGCACTATAGTTATAGAGTGAATGAATATTTATTATTTAATGTAGTGCATACTATAAAAGTTACAAAAGTTTAAAAACAGTCACAGTGATATCGGCAGAGGCTGTCAAAACGGAAACTTCAAATTTCAATATTCTTTTTAATAAATTAGTAGTAGCAGAGGAATTTGTTTTTCAGATTATTTTTATTTTTGAAAAACTACCTTAGTAGAGTTCATTATTTTAAATATAACATCACCAATACTGTCGATACAATGATAACATCATGTATTTTTACTCTCCAAAGTAATTGAATTATGAAGTTCAAGCATTTTGTTGTCTATTGTTTGACCTGACGCTGTCAAGTCAACGAACTGATGAACTTGGCGGTTTTAGTAATAAGTTGGATAGATAAACCCAAAAATGCCCCCGAAGAAGCGTGAAAAAGAAAGCGAAACAAATAAAAACTCTAAAATAGATCATTTGCAAGCGGATCATGAGCTATTCTTACAAGCTTTCGAAAGTAAGTCTTGATTTCTTAGAGAGATAGTGGCATTCTCTCGTGGATAATTTACACATTCTAATTTATTGAAATTTGTTTTTTATTTCAGAACCAACACAAATATACCGATTTTTGAGAACACGTAATATGTTATCGGTGTGTATTTTAGGATGTTTATGCAGGTATTTATGTTAGTGCTGTAGCTATATAATAAAAACTGTTATGATTCTTGTTTTCAGCCCATATTTTTAAATCGGACGCTATCTTATATGAAACGAAGGATGTCTAGAAGCAATAAAAGCCGTATCGGCTTCAAAGTAGACTCCTTGCTTGAAAAGATAACATTAAAAAAGAGCACTGAATTACAGCTAAACAGTTTGGGTGGTTATATGACTTTAACATTTTTGGGTTTTTACGACAAAAGTTTAGAAGAACCTAGTGATTATCAAGTGAAAGTTGAAACATTACTCTTAAAGATATGCCACAAGAAAAGGAAAGAAAGCTCATCAGCTATAGTGGAAGTTTCTGTAAGTACAAATAGAAACAATTATAGTTAACTTATTATTTGTTATATTTCATTTCAAAATTGGAATAAAAAAAATTTTTTTTCTTAAAAATGTTTTTTTTATAGGTTGGCAGTTGTTCAGTTCCCCTCAACCCTTCTACTTCCGAGCCCCCAGCCATGGCTTCAGCTGTGAGCATATCAAGTGATACCTTCAGTCCTTCACATGGACCTAATGTTAAATCCTACATGCTCATGCTAAGGGTAACTGTCACAAAGGCTTCTATGAGCAATGGTGCTAGTACAACAGAAATAACTAATGGAGATGATGGTAATTTTATGTTCTAAATTATTATAATTTTCATATAATAACAATCTACTGTGTTGTTTATGAAAATGATATATCTTAAATTTTTTCATACTCATTTTATTAAAATGCATATTCGGTTGATCATCATATGTCTTAATAGTTTGTATAAAAATCGAAGTTTATTTTTTTACCGGTGTTCCTTGATGTTACTCTTTTCTATCTATTCAATAACAATTTATTATAAATAAATATTAATTTTATCCGCTGGATGTGGGTGGCACAAGACCGGTCGTCGTGGAGATCCTTGGGGGAGGCCTATGTCCTGCAGTGGACGTTTTTTTGCTGATGATGATGAAATATTAATTTTACTTGACAGATTTTTAACATCAGTACTAGAATGTGCAAAATGAACTCTTTCACATAGTGTAATATCTGATGATATTTTCTATCAAAAATTATTAACAAAAAATTATATCTCTACTGATGGTAACCAATGATTTTTGAAATAAAAACTTTTTTTCTAGAACCTCTAACAAAACGTCTCAAATCATCGTCCGATATAAATTCAAGCACTGACAATAAATGGAGCAAACTTTACGGCAGCGAGTTAATAGTGTATGACAAACATAACAGATGTCTTTTGACTAACGGGGAGTATGATTTAGTGCTGCATGATGTAACTCCGGGCGGTCGGAGTGCTACTATAGCCAGATCTCCTCACAAAGCTCTGATGGCACAATGGGAAACTATACCTAATGTAAGTACATTTATTATTGAAAATATTACTATATTTGTCAAGTTCGGGCCTTGGTAAAGATCAAGTTATATGGGACTTAGATATTTCATTGAAGTAGATTGGTTTTATATTTACCACTATACTGCTTTCATTTAGGTTTCTTTGCTAATGTATTATTTCATGTGCATAAAATATAGTAATTGTACTAATAAAGTAATAAATCATAATAATTTCCAGGAAAATGACCTACAAACAGAGACAAATCCTTTCGATATATTCAAAGTTAGACCGTTATTGAAGTTAAAGCTCAGTTGGAGTCAGGAACCCACAAACGGTTTAGTGAACCGACCGAAACTATACCAGCAAGATAGTAATGGTGTGAAAAAAGATAATACTGCCAAAGAAAAAATTTCCACACCGAGATGCTCCACTAGTGAAATTAAAAATGGTATGATAATTTACTTCCAGAGTACTTATTCAAATATTTCATGTCTAAAATTAATATGGATTATAAAAACAGAATAGCTAGATGTTATTTAATTCCTATTTAAATAAGATTACCACTTATTTTTTGGTACAAGAGTATCATAACTTGCAGTAAGTAGTGTTTTTTAACTTTTTCCTTAAAGTCTTTGTACATTTTGTTCTTACATAGTAATTTGTTCAATACAGGAAATAAATGCTCTGCTAAGACAAAACAAGTTTATAATAATATGCACTTACAAGGATAATTGTATCATACCTAAATTTCACATATTTACAAAAGTGATTTGCATCAATATGTTTGCATGATCCATAGAATAATTATTTTCGTAATAATACAATAAAATTCTTAGCATTTAATCTTTGGAAAACCATTACGATTAGTACCTGAAGCTCATTTCAGCACAAACGACTTTTTATTTCAACATAATTGTGCAGAAAAATGCTCCCAACACTAAATGATAGAATTTTAAAATATATATAAATGTCATGGTTTTGACATGTTCATTGTCATTTAAAACTTTGATATGTATTTTTTTTAATTCCAGGAGAGAAATCCAAGCAAGAATCAACAGATTCGTCCAAACGTCAACAGATCATCTATCAGTTCCTATATAACAACAATTCTCGCCAGCAGACCGAGGCTTGTGATGACTTACACTGTCCATGGTGCTCCCTTGACTGCGGAGCGCTGTACTCGTTACTCAAACATCTCAAGCTGTGCCACTCTAGATTTAATTTTACATATTTTGTAAGTTTTATAATGTGTACTCGACTTATATATTAAAACCTTCTTTCGCGACGTTTACATAACTAATATGGTTATGTAGACATATGAAAATTAGGAAAAGATAGTATGATTAAGGTCAACCTCTCGATTAATAAAACCCTAGCTGCTTTTTTTAAAATTCTTGTTTAGATAAATTAATTAAAATGAAAAATAGATTATATTACGATTTTTTTATTGTAAGCAGAAATTTTTTATAATACTATCATTAGTTCATAAATTTTTGTGTTTTAATTAATCAATTCGATATTTTATTCTTAGATTTACACAATCAGTTGCACACAAATCTACAAAATTGCTTCTCTAATATAAATTCTCTATTTAAAAATTTTCATGTATACCTATTAAAATAAGTCAAACACTTTATTTATAAGTAAAACAGATGTTTCCAATCTTACTACACTTATTTTCAATATACAAACTATTTAATTTTTATATCAAATTTAATAAAACCAACATCTGTTTCAGCCAATACCGGGTGGCGCTCGTATCGATGTGTCTATCAACGAGTTATATGACGGATCATACACGGGCTCCCCTCACGACCTGATAGCGGCGCAGGGGCGCTCCAGGGGCGGAGGCCCACGCGCGGGTCCCACTCGCAGGGCTTCGCTGACACACCTACTAGTGTTGAGACGACGAAGACACAGACACAGTCTTGCGGAGTTCTTGGAGCTCGATGATAATGATGTAGACGCACAGAGACCGTACCTCACTGGACATAATAGGTAATATTGGTATAATATTATAATAGTCCTATATCTGGAAGATATTTTTTGTTATAGGGGCCGTTCAAGTATTACGTAAGCACCATGGAGTGGCGGGGGGTCTTTGCTTTGCTTATTTTGGATGACATGGGGTGTAGGGGAGTCTAGGTAATGATTACGTCATCGGTAGTTATTTACTTTTTTATCATCACATCGAGAAGGTCCATTAAAAATATAATTATAATTTTTTTTTCTATTTATATGAAAAATATAATAATACAGTAATTGAAAATGTTTAAGTAAGCATGGGCGGAGGGGGTGAGAACTTTGCTTACTTTTGCTGGCAAGGGGGATGGGGGGGTAAATAATTGTAATAAATCGGCTTACGTAATACTTGAACGGCCCCATAAAGCTAATATTTCAGCCAATATATCTCTTTTGTCTATACAATAAAGAATGATATTATAAAGATTTGTATAATTATACTTATTTTCATATTAGTTTTGCTATATCTTATGTATAAAATTATCGTGTCGCGGTGTTAGACAGAGAACTCCAAAACTGCTGGACAGATTTTGATGAAAATTGTGAGCATATTGAGTAGGTCTGAGAATCGGCCAACATCTATTTTTCATACCCCAAAGTCATAAGGGCTGTTCACCCTTAACTTTTCTTTTTTTGCGGGCGAAATTTTTTGTTTTATTTTTTTGTAATGTAGCATTAAAAATACATATAACCCAAAATTTTACTTTTTATCACTAACCCTTATTTTTTATATGGCAAAACAAGTAGTCAGATAGTACAATATAATAATATTGTTTCAGATTATATCACCACACAATAACTTGCCTGCCGGTTTACCCTAACGAGTTGGACATCGACTCTGAGAGTGAGACGGACCCGCTGTGGCTGCAACAGAAGACTATGATGATGATAGACGAGTTCACTGACGTTAACGAAGGAGAAAAGGAACTCATGAAGATGTGGAACTTACACGTTATGAAGTACAACTACGTCGGCGACTGCCAGATACCGCTCGCCTGCCAGATGTTCCTACAGATGAAGGGCAAGGAACTACTCGAGAAGAATCTATACAGGAACTTCATACTCCATATGTGTTCACTACACGATTTTGGACTCCTAAGTCCGGTCGCGCTATATCAGACCGTACAAATGCTGAACCAAATGTTGGCGGACAGCGCTGACGCGAAAGAAAAGATGAGAGATTCTCTTAGAGCGCAGAGAGATCATTGGAACGCGGTGGGAAAATATCAACAACCTGTGATCATAGAACAAAAACCTAACAATACTACCGTCAAACTGAATGTTGAAGCGTCACCGTCTGTTAGACGGAAAACGTCGAATTTACAGAACGCAAACAGAATGGCCAGTGCTAGCTCGAATTTCAGCAAATCATCTAGTCCCGGACCCGCGAACAGCGAAACTAAAAGAAAAATGTCTTCCGGAAGCATTCAGAGCAGAAAGAGATCCTCTATATCCGAAAGAAAGAGCTCGGTATAGCGAATAAACAGTATTGAACCGGTTAATAGAACTGGTCTTCGTTCGAGGCTTTTAGTACAATCGGGATGTACGTTTTAAAAAAATATATATAAAAAAAAATTACAAGGATTTATCACAAACTGATGTTTTAACAGAATTCTGCCACGTGATTAGATAATTATTTCGTTACTGCCCAGTAATTATAAGATTAATTTAAGTCCATCAAATGGAAGGCGTGTAGTTAAGTTTCATAAGTTATGACATTTTTTTTGCCGATCCGGGATCTCTTATTTAAGTCTTTTTCGAACAGCACTTTGTAATCATTCAATAGACTGATTCAAAAGACTAAAACTTAATAGGAATATAAAGAATAGAACAAAACAATAATCTCAGCTTGATGTTAGTTTATTGTAGTCCAATGTTCCGAGAAAAGTTATCCAAGGATGTTTCAGAGTGACTAGTGATTGCCAATTGTGTTCCGGTTCGATTACCGGCTAAACACTTGCAATATGTTATCGATGTAGTAATTCAAGTGTTCACTGTCAAGACTTAAAATAACGGTAGACGAAACTACCTCTACGGAATTAATAATCAATAATGAATTATTTGACATTAGTACGCTAGTGTTTACGTTTTTTTTTACACGACGGCTAGTGATGTACCAATGTTCTAACTTTTTGGACGCCGCATAAGACTGTTAACTTCGATTGCCTTAAAAATCACCTCAGACAAATCGAATGTGATCTGTATTGTGTCACTATATACTAGTTGTGTTTACGTTAGCCTTTTTTTTTTGTATTTCAATGCAATAATGAATTTTGTAACATTTTGTTATTTTTTTAAAGATGTTTTGATTGAAAATTTCAGTAATTATTTGTACTTATGAAATGAAATATAATTAATATTTTCGGTATCGATTGTTTTAATTGACCTATTATTTTATATATTTTGTGATTTTGATGAAGCAAATACTTTTTAAATCGCCTTATCATGACAATCCTTTAAAACAACATGGCCAACAATATCAAAATTAGAATTGTCAAATGTGTGATAAAAAGAAAAATGGAAAGCCATTTGACAAAGATCACGAACTGAAATTTTTTGTTTAAATATGTCATACACGAAGAATGTTCATAAAATAACTGATAAAAGTAGAATAGACACCCAGACGACCGAGGACAATGACGACAAAGGTAATGATAATAATTAAATACGGTAATTTGTACTGAAAAGTAATTAAATAAAAAATAATTATCTCTTTTTAGATCAAATTAATTGTGAAGAAAACAAAAACTGTACATACGCTGGTAAGACGATGCTTAATTATTTCGTTATTTTGTACGGTTTTTGATGCACTTTTCATATAAAATTTTCAGTAACGGTGTCGAAAAAGTCTTCAGCGGCAGAGGAAACTGCTTTGTGTGCAGGACAAAAGTCATTTATAAGCATACACTCAACTGATTATCCGTGTCAAGTGTCAGATATAGAAAACCCAGCCAATCTCGAGGAATGCAACGTTGAAGTATTGAGTCTTAACGAAGTTTTCCCTTCAACATCCGAAGAAAGTCTATCAGACGATGAGTCTCCTGTACGTAGAAGACATTCGAAGAAGAAAGCACAAAAAGCACAACAGGATTCCGCTAAAACAGCATACGTGCCCTCAAACAGCAAATCTTCCACAACCTCTGGCAGACAAAAGGAAATCTTAGACGTTGGAGTGCCAGTGCATTCTGATTTTGACCTACCGAAAAACACTTTATACGTAACAGGAAGTAATCCCGGAGAACCGAAAATGGCGTACCAAGATCCGCCTAAGAAAATATCAAAAACTGTAATAATATTACATTTGCGTTAACTTGTTTTTCTTATAAATTATATTTTAACATAAAAATCTTCTACAGATGAAGAAATTCCTTCGCAATATCGACAAACATAAAAATGAACAAATGAGTAAAAGCACGGAAAAGGCTATAAGTAAACTAACTACTATGCGTGGGATTCTTAAAGATGGCCGCTGCGGCCCGGAGTGTACCGGTGACTCGTCTTTACACGATACAGAAGGATATAACGCTTGTAATTTGATTATTAAATAATAGAATACCTTTTAAATCATTGTTTTATATCGTAATTATAAAAATAATGTTTGAACTGTCATTTATTCTGGTTAAGGATAAATATTGATAAACAAACATTTTTGCAGCTGAAGACTTGACATTCACTATGGATTTTGGTCCACAAACAAATTATGCCAAGCAAATACCAGATAAGAATGTGTCATTCAACACGCAAGTTGTAATAATTCATTTCACCGGTGACCTTTGTGTAGGTCAGAGTATCGAAACACTAAGCAAGGAAAAGGACCAACAAGCGAGGAATTCGGAACTAAGGAAAACATTTTTAACAAAATACAACGAACTATGGCCCACCCAAAAGTAATTTTAATCTAGAATATATCACTTTTAGTATAGGGTGAGCAAGTTTAACTTTTCGTCGATTACGCGCGAAAGTTATTTTGAATAATGTTAAATTATACACTTTTTTGTACGTTTAAAAATTATGAATGGACGTTGCGTTTCGTTTGTTTATTTATATAGGCCAAATTCATCGGTCCAAATAAAATATTTCGCCCTTGAATTATATTTATTTTTAAACCTTTACGTAATTTGTTAATAAAATGATCTAGTGTATTTTTTTAAGCAAGCAGATTTTTTTATGGTTCTCATTTATATATTACTCAAATTTTATATTTAAAGATGTATTACAATACAAAATGGTTAAAACGACCTGTTTCCTTTACAATGGTCTTAACTCTTAAGGATAATCTCATGGTACCTACTTGGGATTTGAGTTTGCACCGTGTTGATATTCAGAAAGAATCATAGTTAGAAAGTAGAATGCATTCAAACACATGAATATAACATAACCCGAAGTATTTTATTTTGAATATAAAGATTGGGTAAATAAAATAAATAATCCTAAAACAAATTAAAAATTTCCAGAAAATATGATAGTCGGTTAATGCATCGATATATACTAATGGACATGCCTAGAGATGAGAATTGTGGCACTCCGAAAGAAAGAGGGGAAACGAAGTTTCGGTCTATCTTTATCTCTCTCAAAATAGTACCGTACTTAAGACGATATGAGCCCCTTCTGGATAATTTATATGCCGTGCTTGTAATCAAAACTGAGCGCCAATCATGTATGAGGAAAGAGATAGTGATACTGCTAGACCGAAAGCATAGGTCATCTCTCTCACTCTTTTCAAACCAAAAAAATTACTTCAGATTACCAAAACAGTACGGCACGTCCATTAGTATATGTCGATGGGTTAATGCACATAATAATGCACGTAATTAATGAAAGAATTTTTTGAACAGAAAATTTTCCGTAATTTAAAAATGTTATCAGTTAAAAATTAAAATACGTTATTTGCTTAGAATGTTTATTTTATCACAGTTATTTTGTTGTACTATTTGATGTGATTTTCCAACAGACCAGTTCCTTGACCCGGTCGTACGTGAAATATTTGGGAAAATCTAAAGGTATGTTTTCTATCGTCCATTTACTATTTAACTTCACTTTGTCTAACAATGATAGGAATGTTTCGTAACACGGCGCCACTGAGTCCATATGTTCTATCGTGAACACATAACGTTTTTCTAACACTATGTATATAGTTTTTGGCGGTTCTATATTCAATATCTTCTCTATGGTCGACACGAATGCTGCCGTTACATCGTCATCGTAAATCACTGAAAAATATTAAACATTAATCTTAATTAATTTAACTTTAACTTAATTGAAACTTAATTTACAATTTAAGTTAATATAATTTGTTTTTAGTCAGTTGTACTAGCGACGCAGCTCATGCATCGAGGGTGATAATCTCGGCAAACGAATGTCCGATTGAGTCGAAGTATTCTTTGTTCGACATCCCAATTATCTGGGGTATTATCATATAAAAAAAATAGATTTAATAGGGCCGGAGTAATAATAAATAGAGCTAGAAAACGGAACGCATGTTTAAAACAGTTGGCCCAACTTGCATCAAGAGTTTTTTTTTAGCAAATTGAGAAAAATGTATGAATTTTGCATTTCTTAGTATTAAAACTATTATATGAACACAAAGCAGCATCCGCGAAACATGGTGGATAAAGTTCAAATAGCCCTCCAAAGGAAACACATGACTTGTATTAACTTAATGTACATAATATATAGAAATTTATAATAACATTTTTCATATATTCTGTAACTTTTACCATTATCTTGCATTTATAAACTTAATTTTCAAACAAAACAACTATTAAGTTACCGATTATAGAACTTCCTGAATTATTTCAAAAAAAAATAAATAACAGTCCTATTTATATGTTAACTTCATAACTCACAAACTCTTAAAACTAATATAAACACAATCATATTACCATCTGCTGCAATAAAAATATCTGTTTTTCTAATTTCATTCAACAGAGCCCCGTCCCAATCAGTGTCAGTGAAATCCAGTGGCATAACTTTGAACTGAGATTTAATAAGTTTCGTATTATATTTCGCATTTAATTTTATTAAATCCAGTATACCTCCCATATTTATATCTAAAAAAAAATAATATTTTAATATGATTTAAATTATTTTTCGTTTTAATAAGCTTTTGCTTATAAAGAAATAAGTGTAGCAATTTTTTATACATCATGTAATATTACATAGAATATTTCTTACATACCAGTACAAACAACACTTTTAGCATAAATAGCGGCAACAAAGCTCGTCAATCCTGTACCAGCTCCAAGTTCCATGATTGACTTTCCATTCAAACTATCACCCAAATGTATTATGAGATCACCCAATAAGAACGCACCTCGCCATACTTGCAATCCCACCATAGAGATTTTTGTTTTTGAACTGTGTTCTTTAACATTTAATAATATATTAATATCTATACTAATATTATAAAGCTGAAGAGTTTGTTTGTTTGTTTGAAAGCGCTAATCTCCGAAACTACTGGTTCGAATTGAATAATTCTTTTTGTGTTGGATAGTCCAGTTATCGAGGAAGGCTGTGGGCTATATAACATCACGCTACGACCAATAGGAGCAAAGATATAGTGGTAAATGTGTAAAAAAACGGGAGAAATTATTTCATCTTTGAAGCCTTCCGTTGCGTGCGCCGTGAAAACGGTTCAAGATACACAAAAAATATGTATTAAAGAATAATAGCTCTTTTAATGATATATGTCTATCTTTTAAGATTAACTCACAAAAACCGTTTTTATGGTACCTAATTTGGTCGAAATAATATCTAAGTTGTATCAACATAATAATATTAATCTTTATTCATATAAACAAATAAATATGTTGTTGGTTAAGAGTACTTCATTGTGAATAAAAAAACATAGGTTTTATCCTGAAAATTCTACGGGAACTCGACCATTCCGAAAACCCCGCAAGAACGGGAACTATGTGGGAAGAACCAAAAATCTGCCGGAAGTCACTATTCCACGCGGACGGAGTCGCGGCAAAAGCTAGTAATAAATATATATAATTAGATGTATATATAAACTTAATTAATATTTAATCAGTAATCACCTATTTTAATAACTTCTTTATGTGGTCTTTCAACATCCAAGTCATCGTCTTCATCAAACTTTAAAGTATTATTCCTGGTCGGTAACCAAAATGGAAATTGTGATATTACATCTAAAACAATTTAATGCACAAAGAGGTTTGATGATTCAGTCATATTTGGTATATCTTATATTAAAAATCACACAGTAAAAGTTATGAAAAATACAATTGTGTATAAAAATTTCCCGCTTAAATCTTTAATTTTGGGAAAGTTTACAAATAGAAATTGTTTGCTTTGTAAAGAAATATTGCCACAGATAAGATAAAATATCAAATATTTTTGTATAACTCTAAACTTACTGCCTTCTTTACTTGGTTTCATCTCAGTTTTGTAGTTATATTCATCATATATTTCTGATCTCACTGTGAGTTCTGGCATCTGAAGAATGGATTTATACAAAATCAAACTTAATATACATAGTTCTTATTATATTCAAATGATGTAAGCAATCAATAAATATATTTTAATTAAAAAATATTTATACAATATACATCACCTTAAAGATTTGTGGTTAGCTAAGACCTACTATTAAAAGTGAACTATAAAAATGATCCAGAATAAAAATTGGATGGTGTCCAATTTTAAAATTCTAAAATATATTCTTTAGTTTGGACACGAAGGCCACGATTGGTGATTTACAGTAGCAAATGTCACAACTATTAAGCGCGACATTTTATCATTACTAGACATAAATATTTAATATAAACAATGTCTTATGCCAAACGAGATTATGATTATACGGGTTTAATTTTACTATAAACATTATATGGATGAACACTAAACTTTATTTATTGTTTCATGCACAGTAGTTTAGTATTTAATAAATTTATAAAATATGTGTCCATATCCATATAAATATGCACTTTCAAAATTAGTGAAAACAATACTAGTGAATCACAAATCTTTGGATATATTTAATTTTACAAAGAATTCTTTCTATCTGAATGGAAAAGTTATCTTATTAGTTTAAATTTAATTCTCTCGAGTTAACGTTGCATGTTTACATTCGAATTTGTCAAAGACAAAACTGACATTTGGCGTTTAGTGTATAAATAAATATTAGAACAAAAATTGCATAATGTAAATATAATAAAAGCAGTTATTGTTATTCTATTTAAATTAAAGTAGGCTTAGCAAATTTTTCTTTGTTCAGCGGTAAATTTTTCGAGCAGTAATTTATTTATTAATAAAAAAGCTTATCATACAAAGGTAAATACTTATATTAACACAAATTATTACCGAAGTATAAGCCATAAATGTGGGTTATTTGATATAATTTTAAAGTTTTAAAATATTGTTTTATTTATTGACGATAAAATCGATGCATGACGGACGGGTAAAAAAACATTCCACCAATCACAGCCAAACACACGTTCGACGCTGCCACGTCAAGTGAGACGGTACTAGTGTGAATGAAGTTGCAGTTTCGGCATTTTTATCAGTTTCGTCTTCCGACTGGAATCGGTAGTTTGAATACGACTAGAGGGAACTGAAGATGCGTGCCGTTTTATTAACAGTAGCGATAGCCCTTCTGGGTTCCGCTTATGGAGACGAAATACCCACTGAAGACAATGTACTTGTTCTGAGCAAACCTCTTTTTGATTCTGTTATTTCAAGCAACGACTACGTCTTAGTGGAATTCTGTAAGTTAAAGATGTAAGATGATAATATAACTTAACTCGCTTTGGTTTATTACTAAAAGTTGATTTAAACTTACAATTACTAAGTTATATTACCATTTTATGTTATTTGTATGTTTCGTACCGGGCGGCATTGTAAGTTTTTGTCTACGTCACAGATGCGCCATGGTGCGGCCACTGCAAGTCCCTCGCGCCGGAATACGCGAAAGCTGCCACAAAACTTGCCGAAGAAGATTCACCTATAAAGTTGGCTAAAGTAGACGCTACTCAAGAACAAGATTTGGCTGAGTACTATAAAGTTAAGGGATACCCAACCCTTATTTTCTTCAAGAAAGGCAGCAGCATTGACTACACAGGTAAAAAATTTCCTTAACCCTTCTAGTTTCATTTTAATTTGTAAAACTCACTAATTGATTGTTTTAATTCATGGCTATTAGTTGCATGAGTTACTCTAATCAAAGTTTTGAAAACATGTTCTAGTATAATTACTGATAACTGATTACCGATTTCTTTGGCTAATCATTAAATGAGAGAATTTAACTTATAATTAAGGAATAATCATTCATGGAAATTTTACAGTTATTGAGATGAATATAGAAGTAACTTGTTTTTAATTTTTGCGATTATATTTAATTACAAAATATAAAATTTATTAACCAACCAATCTTAACTGATAAAAGTATTTCCCCAAATTATCTGTAACTAGAATCACGGCACTTATAATTTTTTAAGTGATAAATTTTGAGTAGTTATTTAATGATTATATTATATTTGATTAGGTGGACGCCAGGCCGATGACATCATAGCATGGCTGAAGAAGAAGACTGGTCCTCCCGCAGTCGAAGTTTCCTCGGCAGAACAAGCTAAAGAACTCACCGTCGCCAACCTCGTGGTCGTATTCGGTTTCTTCCCCGACCAATCATCCGAACGTGCATTAACTTTCCTTAACACCGCTGGAGTAGTTGACGACCAGATCTTTGCTATTGTATCTGACGAGAAAGTCATCGAAGAGTTGGAAGCTAAAGCCGGCGATATTGTTTTATACAAGAAAGTAAGTAACGCTTAATAATTAAGTCAAAAATAGAAAAAAATTGTGAAATAACTAATTTAATGTTTGTTTTAACAGTTCGAAGATCCCCAAGTCAAATATGATGCTGAAGAATTGAGTGAAGATCTCCTTAAGAACTGGGTGTTTATGCAGAGCATGCCCACAATTGTTGAATTCTCACACGAAACTGCTTCCAAGATCTTCGGCGGTCAGATCAAATACCACCTCCTTTTATTCCTGTCCAAGGTAAGCTTTACATAAAAAGAAACCCATTTTTTATATTAATCATTTATCCAAAAAAGTTTTATTATAATCACACATATTCTTTGATATAATCTGTTATCTTGACACCATGGGGTCAATATAAGATTGTGTAACTTAATTATTGCTTTTACATTATCTATTGAACAATATCAAACTACAATATTTAAAACATTTTTATATGTCCCTCTCATGAACTGGAAGTCGTGAACTTTTAATCTACCGATGATTAAAGCTTTATTCATGCGCCTAGTGAAAGTAACTTTTACTATAGAGATGAAATCTATGAAATGACACAGTTAGTTGAACTTTCAATTAGAGGTCAAATAACAGTTGCTTTCTATTTATTATTCATTAATAACTATATTTGTATGAACTTATATATTGTTTTATGCTTCATTTAATAGAAATCACATTTCTTTTCTATGAAAAAACACATTTTTTATATATTCAAAGTTGACATTCGCTCATCAGCTACCATATAGATAATAGTTGAATGACCTCTACATAACGGAATTTAAGCGTCCTATCGCGCGGATGTGTTTCACATTAGAATTTTTCTTAGAAACATTATGACCGTTTTATATTGTAATAAAAATAAAATTCTATATAAAATTGTAATTATACTAACGCTTTTGTATTACAATACGTAAAACTAGGCTCCGTTTGCGACTTTGCGTTTATTTTGTGAAATTGTTAATTGAAAATTACTCATTCAAATGACTTGCGCGTTGATTATAATTATTAAAATTTAATTAAAATTATAGAAAGACGGTCACTTCGAGAAATACATCGATGAGTTGAAACCTGTTGCCAAGAACTACCGCGACAAGATCATGACTGTCTCCATCGACACAGACGAAGATGACCATCAGAGGTAACTAATATATATAATACTAGCTGCGCCCCCCGGTGTTACCCGCGGATTTCCGGGATGTAAAGTAGCCTATGTGTTATTCCTGGACGTCAGCTTCCTGTATACAAAATCGGTTCAGCCGTTTGAGTGTGGAGAACTAACAAACATACACACACTCACAAACTTTCACAATTATAATATTATATAGTAGGATGTAATATTTTTTGATACATAAAACATTAATCACTATCCCATTTTACATATATTTCTAAATTACAGATAAATATATGTAAGTTTTTTTGGAGTTTTTAATTTAATTACAATATATAACTGCCATAAAAATTTTAGATATAACGGGCTATCTAGTAGAGATCAGTCTAGTAATAAGAATGCCTTTTATATATATACATTTTATTTTATTGTCTTTGTTTTATATGGAGGTAGTACAATAAATATTATTATAATTCAGAATCCTGGAGTTCTTTGGCATGAAGAAGGATGAGGTGCCGTCCGTTCGTCTCATAGCTTTGGAGCAAGACATGGCCAAGTACAAGCCAGCGGCCGATGAACTTAATGCTAACACTGTTGAGGTAATATATTTAACATATTACTATTTATTTTACATATTACTATTTATTTACAAGTAATATATGAAAATATAAAGGTTATAACCTTTATATTTTCATATATTACTTGTGACTGCAACTTACTCTACATCTTATATCTATTTCTTCTATATAAATATTAATAATATATATATTTTTTATATTAAAAGTAGCCTAAGTACTCTTTATTTACATAAGCTATTCAGCCGTTTTAAAGATTAGCAAGAACAAACAAACAGACAGACTAAAAAGGCATTCAATGAAAACCAGTTATTATATTCAAAACTACTTGTCTACATGCTCTTTAGTTATTCAAAGCTTTCATATTTTTAAGATTTTTTTCTTTTAAATTTCTTTAACTTTATATTATTTTATTCATGTAATTTTTATATTCAGTTAAAATTTAAAATATAATTTCTATGTTCATTTTAATTATTATAAGTACATCGAAATGTAGAAAATTTAAAATCTTTTACAAATTTTGAAAGCAGTGAAATCCCTACTAATATTATAAATGCGAAAGTAACTCTGTCTGTCTGTCTGTCTGTCTGTCTGTCTGTCTGTCTGCCTGTCTGTCTGCTACGCTTTCACGCCTAAACCACTGAACTGATTTTAATGAAATTCGGTACAGAGATAGAGTTGACCTTGAGAAAGAACATAGGATAGTTTTTATCCCAGACTTTTGAAAGGTTCTCTTGGAAACGCGATATAACCGAACTCCACGCGGCGAAGCTGCGGGCGGAAAGCTAGTAAGAAATAAATTAATGATAATTATTCTAACAGAAAGTTGTTTGTGTGTTCTTTGCTTTATATGGAAGGTTGCAATCATAGCATTGATATGAGTATATATACATACAGGCTTGAAAAATATATGAGAAAATAATTAGTAAGAACAGTATTTAAAAGCATATATATAATTCTATATAATATTAATTTGTTTGTTCATTCTTTCTTTGTTTTAATGTAACACGTCAGACCTTGACATTCGTATTCTTGAAAGGTGACTCGAGTTTAACATTCAGTTATTATTTTATTTAATAAAAATTATGAAGAATATGAAAAACGATACGGGAAACTTATATAATCATAACGCGATGGACCCGGCACCCGCACGGTGAATCCATGGAATGCTTAGTAGTTTCGTCTCATTTATAGTCTTAATTACCATATAAGTATATTATATAAAGTAGGTTAGCATATATTATATGTATATTCTATTTTCAATTATAATTAATAACTAGTAATATTTCACATATTTTGCTGTAGCAACACTAAACATGTTGTATAAGTGGAACCAATAACTTTAATAAAAATAAAATAGTTATATTTGATAGTGTAACAAACATCTACACTTACACATATTGCATCATGTTTCATTTTTAATATTTAATTCACAATTTTCTTTCCACTTCCCGTATATTATCTTTGGTTCGTGTAAATTTAATTTGTTATCACTCATTACCCTATAATCGTGTTTAAACGCCGTCTACACGGCTGTCATTAATTGATTATGTACTATGTATGTTTGTACTTTGATTGATTATAATTACTGACTTAATAACTGTGAAGAATTAACTGGTTTATCTCATAAGTTAGATTTGTAATTTATTTCTATGTAGAGCTTTGCACTTTTTGAAAAAAAATCGCTTAGTCTGACTACACACGGAGTTTTACCAGTTTTTCGTTCATATAGGATTTACCAATGTTATACAAACGCAGTATGTGGTTTGACAATGCATACGAGTAACTGGGAAGCCTTTAGAATGCTTCTTTTTGTCGATTATTTCTTATTGTTAATATGATATTTTCGTGTTAAGAATTATAACTTACAACTAGTTAGATTTGTAAGTTATTTTTATGTATAGCTTTGCACTTTTAACAAAAATTTTGCTTATTAAATTAATTAATCTAACTATACACGGAGTCTTTCGTTCACATTTATGAATCTTATTCAAATGCACAGTTTTGTAATGCGAACTAGTAATAAGCTATTAGAATATTGATCTGTGTTGATTATTTCGTATAGTTAATGTGTTTTCTTCGTGTTATACAGGAGTTCGTCCAATCTTTCTTCGCGGGTACTCTGAAGCAGCATCTGTTGAGCGAGTCTCTCCCCGCGGACTGGGCTGACAAACCCGTTAAAGTTCTAGTCGCCTCCAACTTCGATGAAGTCGTCTTTGATAATGAAAAGACCGTTCTCGTGGAGTTCTACGCGCCTTGGTAAATATTATATACTTTATTTATTCATATACATAAAATTTAGCTTGAAATTCTATCTCTATAGAATAAATTTTCTTTAAGGAGTAGTTTGATTATAAACTATAACATTTTTGATACTTCTTCTTATTGATGAGTAGAAAATAGCAATATATTGTCTGTAGAATATATTATATATGTATAAGTATGTAATTTATTAATTATAGAATATTTTGGTTGCAATATAGTTCACAAGTATACTATACTAGTACTATTTCTATAAATAATAATTGAACACAAGCGATAATATAATTGAAGCAAGTTTTTCTCACAATATTGCAGCCTTGAGATGTATAAATCTTTTTATTCGATTATTATTACTACGGTATTCGTGTTTTTCAATATTATGTTAACATGATATTAATAAAAAGTTTCTAGAAATAGAAATAGAAATTTCTAGATATACCTAATCGACGACATTTACGTTTCTATGTTTCATCTAAATACAATATCAGAATGGCAGATATTGTAGTAAACGTATATATATATATATACTAGCTGACCCGGCAAACGTTGTTTTGTCATATAAAAAATGCTACATAAAAAACATCGTCTGAAAATAAAAATAAAAAAATTAAGGGCGATCAACCATTATGACTTAGGTTTATGAAAAATAGATGTTAGACCTGCTCAATATGCTCACAAAATTTTATCAAAATCTGTCTAGCCGTTTCGGAGGAATTCTCTGTCTAACACCGCGACACGAGAATTTTATACATAAGATATATACAGGGTGACTGGTGAATTACTATCAATATTTAAGGAGAATACTCGGTACATGATTCTCATTCGAATTATGTAAAAAAAATAGGCACTTAATTTTTGACAAAATTTCTGTATAAATAAATAAAGTGTTGACACGTTCCAAGTGTTCAAGTGTGGACGCGAGCGGGGGCGTGCTGATACAACAACACGTCACGACACGCGTATGTGTGAGTGTCAGTGTATACCTAATCTGTAGGGTGTTCACACGATGCGTAATTAATTACATAACTTTTGGTTAACTTTACTTAGAAGTTTATTAATATTTATGTTATATTAATTTTTATTTTGTCATATATGATCGTCAAATATCACGTCCTCAAATATCGATAGTAATTCACCAGTCACCCTGTATAATATAATCTTTTTGGTATCAAGAAAGTAAATTATAACACAGTTGACGTAATTCGCGTTGTTTATTCAAGTGTTGAATGAGATTCATAACGACAAGCGGTGCTCTCAGTATACTCCAATGATTTCAGAACACGTCTTTATGTAAATTATTCGTCTGTCGTCAACGATCAACGAGTTCGATGACTCATGAATTAATTTAATAATTGCTTTTTAGACCGAATTTATTTAAAAAATACCTTGGTTTTATCATTAATAAAATACGCGTAGTATATTATTAAATCCCGAGAAATATTACTTTCATTTAAATGAATAATCGTTAGTATTACTCTCATTATACTTTGATTTTAAAGTCACTAATATATGAAAAATGATTAATTGAAACATCAAACAAAATCGATTCTAAACGATTATCAACCAAATCGATTAGTTTATATATAAATAAATATTATTGTAATACATTATATTGAACTTTATATGTCTTTATAGGTGCGGTCACTGCAAACAACTGGTGCCTATCTACGACAAACTTGGTGAGCACTTTGAGAAGGATAGTGACGTCATCATCGCCAAGATAGACGCGACCGCCAACGAGCTGGAACACACCAAGATCACCTCCTTCCCCACCATCAAACTGTACACCAAGGATAACCAGGTATTAATATACTATATACAACCATACACAATAATAATAAGTACAGAATCCGTTTATTATGACTCCGCCTGTATTGACCAACCGGTTATTATGACGCAATTACACTAAAAAGTTTGGTTTTCACATGAAATCTTTATAAAAATGTCGGATATAATGACTTCCCTTACAGTGACATGTCACTTATTATGACCTAATTTTAATAAAATTTAATGATATTGTACCTAAACCATAAATTTGTATTACAAATTATCTCCACTATAATCTCCACTATAATTCTGGAAGAGATCTCTTGTTAGAGATAAGTTATCACTTTGTACACATCTGTAATTAAATAATTTACTGTATACGTTGTTCGTACAAAAATAAACAATTATATATCGTGGGAAATAGTGCAAAATCCGCGTAACTACCATTGTATAATTCCGCGTATCTACATTGGGAGCAGATTATCAGAAGAAAGTTTGAGCTGAAATACATATTGTCTATGTTAACGACTTTTAAGATATTTTTTTCACATTTAGTAATAAATTAAACACTGAATAATTACTAGTCGTAATTAAATAAGAGTGATTTAATGAAAGTAATTATATCATGTAGTAATTGTACATTTGTTAAAATATTTGTATTTATAAAACTCGCTATAAGTTAATTAGCATAAACAATTATATTTATAGTCTTTTGTTTATCAGTTTAATAAATTTAATTATATATATCAGTTGGAAATTAAAAACAATTTCGTTCGTTTATTAATAATAAATTTAGATAGGGGTTACTTAAACCCATCGACATATACTAATGGACATGCCTTAGAGATGAGAATTGTGGCACTCATAAAGAAAGAGAGGAAACGAACTTTCGGTCTATCTTTATCTCTCTCAAAATGACGTATGGCGCCAATCATCTATCAGGAAAGAGATAGTGCTAGACCGAAAGCATAGGCCATCTCTCTCTTTTTTTAAACCAAAAAAATACTGCAGATTATACGCGTACGGCATGTATTAGTATATGTCTATGCTTAAACCTACACTTGGGTCGGGAAACCCAGGCACTGTTGAAGCTCCTCTCACTACAAGGATAGAGCCGACATCTTCACGGTGAATACATTGAATGTATGAAGTTTTAGTCTTAATATAAATATTATTTCCAGGTTCGTGAGTACAACGGTGAGCGTACTTTGAGCGCGCTCACTAAATTCGTTGAGACAGGCGGAGAAGGCGCCGAGCCTGTGCCTGTAGACGAAGAATCAGACAGCGACGACCACGAACAACCGCGAGACGAACTTTAAACACCATCTATATAACTATTATAATACTAATGATAATTAATACAAACGCCACTACGGCGTCTGAACATCCTGTATAATATATGTATACGACCGGTGCGGTCTGAACACCCTATATATATTGTAATTGCATTTTTGCTCGACTGTTTTTTTTTTATAGTCGTTGTGTCTGTCTATTCCATAGTCGGTAGGAGTGATCTTTATTGTCTATGATCTATGTCTATGATATTTTCTAAGGAGATACTTTGTATTCTTCCGATTCAGATCCAGGAAGATAATTTATTGATCGTAATTTATTCGACAGCAGCATAATTCGTTTTATGTATGTCTTAAGCGTATTTATAATTTCTGTATCATAATAGTTTTGTTGCATTCGTTTTGATATCGATTGAAGATGAAATCGAACAAGTTTGTTAATTTTTCTATTGGAGACGATTATTTTTTTACGTTTTCTATGTATCGTTATGTACATCACAAGAGATATGTTTAAGAATGAATTATCTCGACGGTTTCATTTTATATTTTTGTATCGATTTTATTGTTTTGTTTACATTTGAGAGTTTTCGAAAAGGTGCTTTTATGAAATTTCAATATATTTTCGTATTCCCTTAAAATTTTATTTGTGATCTTAAGCTCTATGTAAATATCTACATGATTATCGCCAAATCCACATTACCTGTATGTCTGTTGTGGATACAGAAATTGATAAATAAATAATACTAGAAATATATTGTCTTTTATTTATATGTCTTCCCTTTAAAATTGGTGTTTGGTGAACAGAAAAGAAAACGATTTCATTGCGATAATTAATTTATTTTCTTAAATAAAACGATTAAAACATAAAATAACTCTTTAAATTAATTAACATTAAGCTTGTTCCGTACATTATCACATTAAAACGAATATATTTTTAAGAGTCGAAATGGAATGAATGTTTACAATCTACAAACACGAAGTCTAAAACATTACGAAAGCTTAATTTTCGTGTAGACATATATTAAATATTAATAAACAAATGCGTTTTAGTTGTGTTCAGGATTCTAGGCAAGCGTTACTTTGGTACACGAAGGTAACGAGGCTGGAGAGTTCATAATAAAAATAAAAAGCAGGAAATGTCGAGACGTTTGATTACTAACAAAAAAAAATACATTTGTATGAATACAATCACGATCAAATTAATCGTCGAAATAAAATAAACTACAAAATGTATAATACATATACATAATATCACACGTGTAAAATTTTCCAATCATAGGCAGTTTATCAGCGACAATTATTAATTTCAAACATTGTAAGAACGTTCCGTTTGATTGCAGACGTTTGTTTATCAAATTGTTTGTAAAACACCAACATTTTTCATCAGTCACGTGGTCGAGCTTACAAATATAACAATAATAATATATACTTAGCCTAATAGCTAAGGGTCACCGTTCGAGCCATTAACAAATGTCTTAGCTATAACTTTTGCGTATTTCAAGTCTGTGTGTAGCGACCCTTACACTCTATTAATATGCGAATTATATTACGGTGACATATAACACTTAAAAACTTATATTATATAAATTTCATAATATATTTTTTGAATATATAATGTAATCGTTCACTTCATATAAAAGCCAGGCACCTGTTGGAATGAGTTAATCTCGTTATAACATTAAAAATGGTTATTATAATTCGATGCAAAAACAATGTTATGATACACTAAGCGGTCTCTTTTTAAATGTGACTATGATTGAGGCGATCTAATATTGTGTTATATACCGTTACATGTGGAACATTCGATGCAGATCATGCGAGCTAGGACTTGCATATGCAGCCGAGTCAATACATATCAATACTAAACAAGTTTACATACACTAGCCCGCACGACTTACACAAGTCTTCACCACAAGCTTGTATCATCAAACTAAATAAACACACAGTTTCTATTAAATCACACGTTATATGACGTCACAAACTTGTGGTAATACTACTTTGACGAACATAAACATATATGTGAAGCTACATAGAAATAATTAATAATGTGTGAAACAAATCATAGCGCGAACATCGAGTCCTCGTCCTTCTTGATGTGGCGGTGGCGGGGCGTCGCTTGACCTTGAACTTGACCCTGACCTTGACCAGCATTCGGCAGGCTGTCAGCGGCAGCGGCCCTCTCAGCCAGAAACTTGTCGAAGTCACTGCTAGTGACACTCTCCTGACCGTTAGCTTCTGTAGCAGCCTGGAAATTTGAATTAAATGATATGAAAATTATATTAAAGACATACATACATATATTGTATTAGTTACTAGCCTATGTTACTCATGGATAATATAGCTTTCGAACGGTGAAATCATTTTTAGAATCGGTCTAGTAGTTTTTGAGCCTATTCATTACAACCAAACAAACAAAGTTTTCCTCTTTATAATATTAGCAAAGATGAGTGCTAAATTTATAATATGGATAAATAATATTAAGCTATGACAAATTAGGCAAGATATTGTAAGTGTAACTTAGTGCGTACAATACATGTGTTAATATTTTGAAAGCGAGTTATGAATTATTTTGTGAATAATAGCATGTCTAGTGTAGAAATCAGTGAATTCTGTTCAAGATATCAAAATCACCTTCTCTTGGGCTAACCAAGCTGATATTTCATCAAATTCCCTTTGATCCATCCCCGTCGGCTGTTGGTAAGAAAAAAATAAAAAAAAACAAAACATTTGTTTACCATAAAAAGAAATATTAAAATTAAAGAACAAATAGTTGTGTAAACAAACAAATAATAAATTGGATACTAAATTAAATATACTATTTTATAAATGTAAATATTTTTTCTATATAATAACAGTTAATATATAAACATATATAACTAAAATTTAAATACTAACCAGTGTATTATGAGCCCTCATAGCAGTTCCAAGACCTCCAGTGGGAGCTTCTGCATTATCGGCATAACTGCTACCACTGCAATGAAAAATATACATTATAGTATATAATTTTACTTATAAATTATGGTAATTTATATTATAACAGATCATGTGACTAAAGCTTTATTTTTAGTCAGTATTACTGAAATAAATTACTTATGATCTATACAACTAATCTATTTCAAAGCAATCCTACTAATATTATAATTGCGAAAGTTTGTGAGTGTCTGTGTATGTTTGTTACTTCTTCACGCTCAAACGGCTCAACCGATTTTTATATTTTTTTTATACAGGAAGCGGACGTCCAGGAATAACACATAGGCTACTTTACATCCCGGAAATCCGCGGGTAACACCGCGGGGCGCAGCTAGTAATATAATAAATAAGTTATTGTGTCTTTTAATGATACTCATTACTGGTTACTAACCCTGTTTTAGTGGTCTCATAGGTAACGTTCCTAGACTGAGCGAACATATCAAACTCATCCTTAGAACTGCTTGGAGATTTATCAATCGGATCGTCTTTAACGGCTGAAAAATTAAATATTTATACATAGTATAAAGGAAAATTATGTTAGAAAAATTTTGTTTTAAATTTGTAAATTTCTGCATATTATATCGTTTTATTTTACAATACTTCCATCATGTTTATTAACAGTATCTTGTTCACAGTAAATATATAATTATTTTGTCATTATATAATTTTCATTTGTCCTATAGTTATATGTTGTATATTTAATACATATTTATACTCACATAGTTTAGCAACATCGGGTACGTCATCACTGAGATCAATTAAGGCGTCGTCATCCTTTTTCTCAGCTGAAAAAAATGATACAAATTATTTTTCTCATAGCACAAAATATAACTAAAATGTTTTTAACACGTTTATGTTAGCTTGGGCTGTATGTATATATGTAGCGGAATCTTTGAGCACGATTTTAACCGGTTACTAAACATCTGATTAACTTGAAACTTTGCTTATGTTTCAAGGACTAAAGACAATGCAATAATTCGTTAAAAATTTCAATCATCCTTGTTAGGGCAGCTAGGATTAATAGATATATTCTTTTCATTTACCCTCTATGAGAGTGAAAGGGACAGAGCTGCTGTGCGATCTGCGCATGTCCACGAAAATAGTACTAAAAAATATAAAATAAATAATACCTAGTTTAAAATATAAAAGCGTGTTTTTAACTATTATTTTTTTTGTAATTTATACTAACGTGAAGTAGTTCCCGGCACACCCATGGCGGCTCCCAAGATGGCGGATGGCGTCGCCCCACCAGTAGCGGCAATTCTATAAAAATAATAATTGTTACAACAAAAAGTTTTCCTTTAATTCGTGTGTTGTACTAGTTTATGTAAAACTTGAGATAGAAATTACTAGTTAATTAAATATAACATACATGGTTACGGACAGTCAGCGACATCTATCATCTGTTTCAAGTGATTTCATACATACATGATACGATTATTATTATTAATATTCCAGTTGAGAATATACCGAATAAGTTAGTTAAATGGTTGTGCACATTTTTTTAATAGGTTTGAAGTGTATTAAAAGTGTCTACAATATTTATTAAACCACACAGAATAGACGAGCATAATGTATTCGTGTCCATTCTAAGCACCCGAAAAATTTTCTACTATACTTCACTTTGAATTTACCTACTTGAAATACTAACGAATAATTCCTGATAATCGATAGTTTGTGGGTTTAAATAGCAAATTTTACAATACCATAAGGTATAAATATCGATAGTATCACCACTTTCAATAGTATTGTTTAAGACGTGCCATTGATACTATCTTTTACAGTGTGTTCACCTGTTATTGATGAACCTGGAGTGTCTCAGTAGTAGGTTGTGGAGACGGTCATTGGTCAATAGTAGGTCGGCTGTCAACGGGGATTCCCCTAAACGACCTACTAGCTCAGCGACACGAGTCTGCATCGCCTTCAGAGTATCTGCTAGCTCCTGAAATATATACAAATATACGTTATAGGTTTTTTTTTATTTTTTACAATCTGATTTTATTTAAGGACTTTTTAACGGCAAAACTAAACGTCAGTCAAATCGTACCCTTAATAATAATCCCACCACCAACAATAAACATAAGCCTTAAAGTATCTAAAATAATTCTAAAATTTATAAATTATGTCTTATTTTAACTTGAATTGATAAAAAGTTTTCGCTATCTCAGAATTTGGTGTGGATAACGCACTTTGAAAAACTCCTATATGCTTTAAATTAATGCCAAATCTATGTATTAACTCTCTTCTTTTGGCAGCATTTCAAACACATTCAACAAGAAAATGATATATGTCATCCTGAATCCCGCATAGATCACAATTCGGAGAATTTAATTTCTTCATTAGAAATCCAAATTTATTTGCAGGAATGTGTCCGGAACGCAGATTTTATAGGTGACCTATAATATATAAGTCAATATATATATCGTATGAAGATTCATACATTAAGTAGTTCGATGTCTTGTTCGTGATGCTGCGTGTAAGGAAGGCTGGTGAGTTCTGTCAGCATGTCGTTCATTACAGTCATGTTGCCTTCAACCACTGACAGATCCGCGCGCAGCTTACTGCTCTGGCTGTCTGACAGAATCTGGAGAAATAATATAGTCTATTGTATAGAGGTTTTGACATGTTACAGATAAAAAAATCTATGGTTCATTTAGATTATGTTTATTGGTAAAGATCTTACATATATGTAACGATAATAATATTATTGTTTAATATCTATGGTAACATCATATTGACTATTAGCTTGGCCATAAAATTTAGGAGATTTCTAAAAAGTTATTTTTCATATGTCTTCTTTTGCTTCTACTTGACAGCTTCCCCGCTTTAGCCAGGGTCTGCCTTACATGTTGTGAATAGTTTTGGCTAATTGTTTTTACGACCGGCCGCCTGCCTGACATCAAACCTCTTTGGGAATGCATTAATCAGTGATGTCAAAATACTCTTAGTAAATCCATATGACTCGGAAAAATCACATTGGTACTTGCCAGGATCGAACCCGCGCCCTCATGGATGAGAGGCGGGCTTTTTAACCAGTAGGACACCACTGACTTATGTATGTATTTTTTTATATATGAAATTAGTCTTACGGTTCCAATGGCTTGTTCCTGAGAAGGTCGACTTGGAGAATTCTGTTGAATGGAACGTTGTGGTGAACCAACTACCGCTTCCCCGCCGTCCATAACGCTCTGAAGAAATTATTATATTTAACCCATTAATATAACAAGTACGAGTATATTAAGTCATCAAATAAAAACTATTTGACTAGAACAACATATACTAGTAATTTCAATATAATAAATGAGGCTAGTTATTGCCGTATTTCATCGACTGTTAATAGTGAAGCAATATAAAATACTTGAACAATGATCAGGTTATAACACAATATAATTTAAATTAGAAATATATAATGAAAAAATTATATTAGCAGGATAAGAACTAGCTAATTTCGTAATATCGCGTTCAAGTAACTTTACCAACTTGGATGTCCTTTTAAGTGGTGTCAATGAATTTTTCATTCAATATTTAACAATCAAAATATTAATTTATTAACTCAATATTACTTCAAAATTAAAACATAGCATGAATATAATATGAAAAACTTGTTGAAACATAGAAATATAATTATATGTATTACGTACTCTCTGCGGTGTGAAAATTGGCGCCATAGCATCTAGATCAGTCATTGGAAACTCGACACCTTTGTTGCGTAATTCATTATACACTTGACCAACGCCCTGTAATTAAATAAGTATATTACTGTTATATATAATTTAAATGATCTAAAAAGTAATGAAAAATAAATAAAATAGTCTATACATATTTTTTCTTTTGTTAGTCATTAATGCAATTATTAAATTTCGTTTTTATGAATTGCAAATATTTCTTAAATCGACGTATGAGTTACTTAAAAATTATATCAATTTTGTTTCATTTTTATGTCGTGTAGATGCTAAAATAACTACAAAAACCCTGCTACTGCATAAATATGCAAAGCTAATGGCCTTGATGATAAAATTTATATGTATAAACTATTTAAAATAAAGAAAAACAATTCAGAAATATGAAAGTACGATTAAGTTCCACTTGTTCTGTCAAGTGTGAAGAATTCTTTTTCAGCCAGTAAACAATAGTACAGTAGCAGTCATACTTGTAAATTTGACCTTCATAGAAATAAGGTGACAAAAAGGCTATAGAATACATATAAAAGCGATCGACTTTACTTATATTTTCTTGGCTATTGATACTTTTTGTCTTATATTTGAATTTGGAATAAATTATATTTAACTAGCTTTCAGCCCGCAGCTTCGCCGGCGTCGAATTCGGTTATATCGCGTTTCCAAGAAAACCTATCAAAATTCTGTGATAAAAACTATCCTATGTTCTTTCTCAAGGTCAACTCTATCTCTGTACTAAATTTAATTAAAATCAGTTCAGTGGTTTAGGCGTGAAAGCGTAACAGACAGACAGAGTTACTTTCGTATTTATAATATTAGTAGGGATATATGATAGAAAAGAGTTTAACATACCTGTAATTCAGGTTGGTTTTGGAAAGCATCTGCCCAACATTGAATTAGACTCAGAACTTTTTCTTGTACAACAGTTGGTGGGTCATTTTTGGGTCCAATGAGTTTCACCTGATGATAAATTAATTTGACATACTATATTATATATATACAGAAAAATATGAGATATTTTTTAAAAATATAATCTTTTAAATTACATTTTAAATGCTACTTATGTATAGAATTCATTTAGAATATGGTAATTAATAAAAACAATAATTCTTTTTGTCATTATGAGGTGGATTTTATATCATTTTACAATTAAATAGTTTCAATTTATACAGTGACATATGATTAGAGAAGTTTAAAAATAATATGTATGCACAGTTTATAAAATATGTATAGTAATAACTTTTTCTTTTTCTTGATACATATTTAAATTTAAAAAAACAGACACTAAAATACCATGAAGTTTTTACATATATTAATATTAATGTCAGTATCTTAATAAACCAGTTCAGTGTTGTCCTGTTGAATATATAATTAAGAAAATGGTGACATCACGCAGAGAAGTAGTTATATGGAATAAATTATATTTAATATTTATGTATAAGTATATAAAGTTGTAAAATATTTAAAGTATTTATATGTTTTAAACAGAAAAAGACTGTGAATTGAATCCATTGTTTTAAAAACCAGAGGTCTTAATTGTATAAGAAACATATGAGATATTGACATTCAGTTAATGATTAATTTGGTTAAACCTAAAATATTTAGTCTTCTATGAATAATACTTAGTATAATAATATATTTGTAGTATTTATTTGTTAATAATTATGTATATATATTTATATGTTAAAATGTAAAGAAAACAATTAAAACACATTGCACACAATTGCATCATATTATAAAATAGGAATGTACTGAATTGTACTCTATACAATTTATATTACAGTTAACTATGAATGAGCATTGTTAAAACCCATTAAGGTAATATATATTTAATGTATGAAGAATAATTAACAGAGAGACAAAAGTTCTTAACTGTGAGCATTTTAGATCTATAACAATTGTATTGGAGACTAAGTACCAAAATACCGAATATTCAACCAATCTTAAACATGGATAGTTGAATATCTGACCAAACATACTTTAAAGGCAACTGTTACACAACTTATATAGAATCACAAGTGAAAGCGTTTGTTGCTTTTCACAATGAAGAAATTATTATTTGTTGATTTGTATAAAAAAAAATCTGTTATATTTTTTTTATCTTAAATAAAGTAACTTCATCCTTTCTGTCACCTATTTTTGATATCTGATTAGATACTCATTGCTTTCAGTATTAGAACAGACTTAAAATTTGAGTCCAATAGTCTGGTCATCATAGAAACATAGTGTAATGTATTAACTAAAACTTATAATAATAAACATTATACAGTTGAAAGACATTCAGTGTTACAACTCAGTGTGACATCACAAATATATCTACAGTGACATTACCTTATGATATATTGCAAATAAATTTACTATAAAATGTTTATAGTATACTTATATGATAAAAGCATTGCTTTGTTTTAAGTCAATAAACTGTATTCTCGAGAGATTAATTTTCAGTGAATGACATTTTATCTGATAGCATAAAATTTTGATAAGTTATGTATTCTATAAAATAAGACAATCAAATATGTAGAATTTTATAGCTTAAATTCAGAATTTTAATTATAAATCACAGATAATCTTGTGTTATATTTATAGGTTGCAGAATATCAAGTTTCTAGCCATATATTGCCAGATAGAATTGGATCAATGTAATCCGATTAAGAGGTGAAATCAAATTTAAAACTTACCAACTCCGATATAAACTCCTTATTGCATACTAGAACATGAAATGTTTTGCTGCAATTTTTAACACAGGTTTCCAATACAGTTAGTGTATACATGACCACGGTGTAGTTTTTCCCTGCACTCTGAGTCAATCTCTTTCTTATGGCCTTGATTGCATCCTTTGGTCCATCAGTGCTACTATTTATTATGTCACATATCTCCATATTAAGGGCCCAATTCTCTGATGGTAAAGATCCATCGGTAGCTTGCTCTGAAACAAGTTTCGTCAATAGTATAGGTATAGTATACTATAGTCGTTTTAATTTACTATAGTAAAGGTCAAACGTATTGATTAAAGTCAATCATTTACGATGACGCTATGTGTTTCAAGAATTTTATTTCAAATTCAAGGTAGAACGCTGATAAAAGTTATAACAAAGGTAAATTATGATTTCTTAATGCGCAACAAAAGTAAATGCAATCTTTAACGAAAGATTTGTTACGTTTGATGTTCTATTTTTTTAACTATTTACCTATCTTCTGACCAACCGGCGTAGCAAATGGGTTCCCTACTCCAAAAAACGACATTTTCGTGATCTATCCTATGATAAATAAATAATTTCCACAGATTTCACTTGTCACCTAATTAGACGTAGAGCTAAATCCTTGTGACAAAATATGTCATTTGTCAAATCAAAATAATGATACGATTATTTTTACGCTGAGTTACTTAAAAAAAACAGATTCTGGTAATATTATTTTTATAGAAAGAGTATGTACGCGTTATAAGTTGGTGTCGTTTTTTATTATTATTTTTTGTAATAAGAAATTTCTTGAATATAAGTAATGTACTAAAATTTTGTTTTTAAGGTATTATAAATAGCATCTAGGCCCTCCTAACAGCAAAGTAGGCAATTTCTTGTAATTTTAAAAGTACATAGAACTTGCGAAATGGCCAAGTAACATTAAAAGATTAGTTTTCGAACATATAAGTTCCACATCAATTTAACAACGGTAACCAAGTAACAAGCTAACCAATTTTAATCAGTTTGATTTCTTCAAACAATTTAGCTTATTTTTGATTCATATATTTATTTTTTGCCAAGATGACCGAGAAATCATCATTAAATAGTTTAATTATACTACCAGATATAGAACCTGGTGTGATAGATAATGCGATGCTAACTCGTTGCATTTTGGAATATGGTGAGAAAGCTATCTTAAAATTGGGATAGTAACATAAAATAAACAGAACTGAAAGTCACAACTACTATAAAATGAATTTTGTTCCATAGGACCCAAGGAAGAAGCAGGAAGATTATTCGCAGAAGAAGGTGTTCATTTAGACGAAGCACTCGTAGTACGACTTGAGTTTCAAAATATTTTAAGAATTGATCATCTATGGATGCTTAAGTCATTGAGAAAGTTAACCCTAGCACATAATCTAATAGAAAAGATTGAACATTTGGAGCTTTTAACTGGTCTCAATGAATTGGATTTATCATTTAATAAAATTGAGAAAATAGAAAATTTAGACACTCTCGTTAATTTAGAAGTTTTGACATTATTTCACAATAGAATAAGAAAACTGGAGAATATGGAAACTCTCCAAGATTTATTGGTGTTTAGTATTGGTGACAATCTCATTGAAGATTATAAGGAGGTAATCGTATTCTGTATTGCCAGCACATGATGGCTTACCTAAATCTACTATTTTATGAATCAAATTGGACTAAATAAGTTATAAAAGTAAATTAATAATTTAAATTTTAGATGGCATACGTGAGGCGTTTTCGAAAACTAAGATCGGTGAGTTTTAAGGGCAATCCGTGTTGTGACGACCCTATGACTTACCAGTTCTTAAAATCTGCTCTCACCAGAGTAACATATTTAGATTATAAATTAGTGACCGAAGAAGAAAGGGAAGCTGGCGTTGGATTTTTCCGGTTAGTAACTTAAAAGATTGCAGAATTCATATTTTTGCATACACAATGTTACCAAAATAAATTAATAAGTGCGACTGTAATCGGTTATTTTTAGAGGCCTTCTGAGAAAATTAGATGAATCAGATGAAAAAGCTGAAAAAGAAAGAATAGCTAAGGAGGAGTACGATGCTAGAGTCAAATTTTATGCCCTTTCTTTTGTGGAATATTTAAGTGGACCAGAGCTTTTAGAGTCAATGTTCGAAAAAGATCCAGATGGAACTTTATTATTGAAAGTTGGCGGAGAGCTAATAGGATTTTTTGATCAGTAAGAAGTTTTTAATTTTATTTGTCACACTATAGGTGTGGACAAAGAGGCAGGAGAGTTATTAACATTATATATTCATTATACATTCCTTAGGTACAAGGAACAATACGTCGAAACCATGGCTGACTTAGTCGAGTTTGCTCAAGAAGCATACAATGCGAGACAACATGAAATTAAACTATTCAAAGATCTCGTTGACAATGCTCTGGCGGAGAGTGTACAGAAAAGCAAAGAGTAAGTCATTTATGTAAACTTATAAAATTTTCTCTATACTTTCTTTTGATATGAGTCAAAGGGACTATTGTTAAACATTTTCTTCCAGAGTGGTTTTTGAATTTGAAGAAAAAAAGAAACCTTTGGTGGAACAAATGAATCAGATTATAGGAAAATTTACGGCCAAACAGGCTACAATGGAGCAATTAGAACCCAACATTATAGATGCGGGCGAAGCGTTTAACGATCTTATTTATGACCTATGGAAAAAACTGATGACCCTCGAGATGCAACTCTATGAACAATGCGAGGTCTAAATATTTCGAATTGATAAATGGCATCATTTAATGACAATCTCGATTAGATTTTTAATTTTTCTTCAGTAAAATCTCACATAATAATAAATCCAGGAATCCCGGGTTCAATTCGCTGTGAACATGACGGAGATGATAACAAAACTGCTCGAAGTTTCGAGAAATGCGTTCGGAGCGTGGCGCGAACACGAGGGCATGTGGTCCATGCGTCAGTTCGAGACGCTATCCAAGCTGTTAGGAAACAAAGTTATGCTCGGAGACGCACCACCGGAGCTGTTTGAGGTCATTTGACTTTGTCGATGTATTTATGTTAAGAAACGTCCATTAAGTACTTATTTTATACTAGCTGCGCCCCGCGGTTTTCCGGGATGTAAAGTAGCCTATATGTTATTCCTGGACGTCAGCTTCCTGTATACAAAATTTTATCAAAATCGGTTCAGCCGTTTGAGCGTGAAGAAGTAACAAACATACACACACACTCACAAACTTTCGCAATTATAATATTAGTAGGATTTCTATAGGGGCCAAAACTCAATGCCTATATGATAACTTAATCATGTCGTTCCCTAAAATTACAAGAACCCTACTATATGTAGATATACTGAAGAATTATCGATTTCAAAGTATTTTAAATAGTAAAATTATGTACAGAAGTAGTTGGAAATAGTTAAACTTGAATGCCTATAAGTAAATCGTGTACTAATTGTTTTTATATTATTTCATAGAAAACCTTGTATTTTTGAACGAATATTTTGTCAATATTGTATATATTTTACTTTTTTTAAATACTAGATTATGATGGATAGAGATCAAATGATGAATCTTGTTGCTCAATCGTCGGACAATCACATGAGGTTCATCGATGCAAGGGAGGATCTTCTCATGTCTCGTGCTAATTCCTGGAGAGATGAATTAGTACAAGGCACCAACGAGTAAGTCTTTCTTTATAGCCATTAATTACGCTGACGTTGACATATACCTGTCAAATATTTAACTGTTCAAAATATGGCGGTTCTATTTATGATATAGATACAAATTCTTAAAAGATATTAAAATTGAATTTGAGATACATACAAGATTTTTTTTTATATTTTCAGCAATGAGATAAAGAGAAATAGGGATAGAATTTTGGAAATTTATTATTTCATTGACAATCAGCGAGAAGAATGGACGGACATGCAAATGAGCATGACAGTAACAGTGGACCCAGAAACAGCTGCGCTGTTGGGAGATGATTTTTGAAAATATAAAAAGGTTTTATATAATTTTAAATCATTCAACAACTAATTAATATGCATGTATCTTTGGCCTTCATTTAATTTTGTCCTTAATATAAATTATCTAAATTTAATAACTATATACCTACTAGGTGAACCAAAAGAAGTCATCCAATGTTATCTGGTTCTTTTTTCTCAATGAGAACTTCGTCCTGTTGTTTCATTATGTTTATTTGAAACTGAATTTTATTGGTTAAGTCGAGAAGATTATATCGGCAAAATGGGCGCCGTTACAATTTATTGCCATATGGGCTCGTTTTAAGGCATTTTCATCACTTCGGCGAGAACTTTGGGCGACAAATTCTTGTACTCGTGTCAAATGTTGTCCTTGAGGTCATTAGAGTCTCGAGCTTGTACATGTAAAAACGAGACTACAATAAGCCAAAGTCTGAAAAGCTTAAATCGGGCAGGCCAGTGTAAAATGCCAAAATAAGAGATGAGGGGACCTGGGAACGCTGCCTTCAGAATACCAGTTTTGTCTCGTTCAGTGTGTAACGTTTCTTCGTCCTGTTGTAATTATTTAATTAATTACATTTCCTTCCTTCCTAATTCGTCTAATTGCAACAAAAAAAAAAAACAACTCGGTCAACATGGCCCGGTAGCGCGGACTGTCCACTGTTGTCGTTTAGCCAGCGACATTATCGAAAAAAAAAAATATGATGCTGTCAGTGGCGGCTGGTGGGTTATCGAACTGGTGGTGCACTTTACTAAAATATTAAAATTAGAAAATGCTACAAAACAACAATTGACATAAAATATGTTTATTTATTATACATTAATTAATGCAACGACATTTTTCCGAAGCGAAATGTTCAATCACCTATTTATTAATATCGGGTATTGTTTGTATATATTTTTTTTATTCAATACTAAGCACAGAAAGTGCATTTAGCAACTGCAAGGTATTTCGGAGAAAAGTTTTGATTCTTTTCAATTCCAATTCGTCATACATCGGGTGCTCTCGGTAATCTTCGGCCACTCGTGCGGCGCTCGATAACCGACTCATTACTCGGTACATTTCTATGAACTATCTTTTGACTCACGCGTCAGGCGTATTATTTCGTATCTCATACAAAATGTATTAGCAGTCCTCGTGCACTCGCTGAGGCGCACGAGATATTAGTTTAGTAAAGCGCACAAACTTTTTGACTATAATTAGAAATTTAATTTTTTATACGTTTTTGTATGTTTAGAAAATAACTATTAAAATGTTAATTTAAAAATAAAGATGAAGTAATATTTCGTAATTTTTAAATCTTTTGAATTGGTGGTTCAGCGCACGAGTGCACTTAAGGTACAGCTGCCACTGGATGCTATCACTCCTCTTTTGGTAACAGAATTCGTGTTGCACCAAAACCGGAGGCGAAATTTTATGCAAAAAAATGAACTCGATTATTCCGCGTTCTTTTAATTTTATGGCTGCATGGATTATTCACTTGTATTCTACATCTATTTCATTAACGTCTAACCATATTTGACATTGGCAGCCATTTGCAAAAATGAGAGAATTTTCCAATGGGGTGATTTCTTTTGGCCCACCGTGTATAAACAAAATAGTTTTATGCATATAAATAGTCATATTTGTCAAATTTATTTTGTTAAATGTAATTTTTAATGCCAGATGCATTAGTTTTAAGCATTCAGTAATGCCTCTTAGTACATTTCATACAGTATTTAATACCAGAGAGCAAATAGAGGAAAATTTGTTGGTATAAAAAAAAACTAATTCTGTTAAACATTTATTAAAACATTGTATAGTATTATTATGTCATATTATTTGTATAATATATTTTTATTGCTATGATAGTTAACAAAAAAAGATGACAGAGATATAATAAGGTCACTTCTAAAATATGTACTTATGTATAAAACTTATTTTTATAGACACAAAAGTTGTAACTTCTCTCTGGTCAACTTTTTCACATATATTATATTACGTCTATTGATTTTTCAATATAAAACTGGCCGTAAACGGACTAGTACAAACAGTTGTAAAATGTTTAAGCTTTCTTCTTCAATGATTGTATATACATTTCAAGGCTCTTCTGGATTTTAGGATTTTGGACGAATTGCATAAACTCATTCAAATCCTCACGTCTACCGTCCTGTAATCTCTTTATGGCGGCTTGTCGCATTTTCAATTTCGTGATAGAACGAGCCAATGGCGGGATTCTATCGAACTTTGCAATAAATCCTTTGCATTTAGCAATAGCATCATCTTTGTCAGTTGCTACTTCATCTATAAGTCCAACCTGTTAACAAGACTCAGTATTAAATTATAAGAATATGAAAACACATTAAACTAAAATTATTTTTGGATAAACTATAATGAATAATTCCATAATTAAGGAATTCACATAGTTTCCACTGGAAGGCCACCGATAGTCTTGAAAAAAGTCTTAAATATATTTAAATATTCAATTGAGGAAGAAAATTCATGACTAAATTTACGTACTTATTTTGAACAAACCGATATAATAAAGCTTATAAGTAATATTAAACAATTGGATAGGGATTGAAAAGTTGTGACAGTCCAATCATTAAAAACCTAATATCTACGAGGCAGACTTCATACAGGCAGGCAGCTTTCATACTGTAGTAAATTACAAATTTTGACAGTACTTCACTTGGTATGTCAAATGATGTCATTTGTAAGCAACTATTAGCAGATATTTAAAAAAAATATATATTAATGTGATACTAAACATTCTAAGATTTTGTAAAGACAAAATATCTCTAACTAATACAAGTACTAGATTAACAACAGTACTAAAAACGATAATGCTAATGCGAACTAATTATGGAAGAATAAATAAAGAAAAATGTTGTTGATTCTAAATACCCAAGTATTCATGAGGAACATCTATAATACACAGGCAGGATAGTCTTATTATTGGTATCATTTGCCATTATCATTAGAATGATTCACATTCAGCATCATGCTTATGACCAACATATTTCAATAAAACTGCCTCATAAATTAAAACAATGTATGAAATCAAAGTAAATAATTTCTTCTAAATATATAGTTGTTTACTAAAGATGATGGGATCAGCTATAAGATCTTTGTTTCACTAGCCTTTTTATTACTAATCCATTTTAACAATGACTTGTGTGAATAAAAAATGATAATATTGTAGGTCAAACACTAATTGCTCTTATACCTTAATATTATACCGATATATATATTCTATACCTTTAAAGCCTCTTCAACATTGAACATTCTGGCAGTTGTGAGTGCATATTCAGCCTCTCTAACAGGTATAGTATTAGTCATGGTGTCCATAAACCAATTTGGTGCGACAATCCCTAAAGCCGTCTCATTCAGGCCAATTGAGAAATTGCCGCCAGTCATAACTCTGTATTCACAAGACATAGCCAGAAGGCAACCACCTGCTGGAGCATGACCCTGAAAATATTCAATAATATTTCATGTTAATTCCAAATTTAAAATTATTTCATTTAAAGAGGTTTTAATCAGCTTACTTGTTGTTTGAAATAGTCTCAGATTAGAATAATTTTTGTATTAATATCTGAACATAGATTATATATATTTTTATCATAAAATAAATTATCATGTTATATAAATAAATATTTTATTTCTATATTCTAGCCCATAGCAACAAATTTAGATCATCTGTATTATTGAATTACTTACATTGATTGCAGCAGCAGTTATAAAGTTTGAACCGAACAATTTAAACCAAACTTCTTGAAGTGTTGTCCAGAACTCCTCTACCCGTTTAAGGTCTGGTTTATACATCTCCATTATATCAAGACCTGCTGAAAATACTTTTGGCGACGCCTGTAAATAATATCTCTTTCATAAAACATCAACAAATTTAACTATAAATATAACAGCGATCTAATAAACGTACTGATGTTAAAATCATGGCTTTACTTTTATTCTTTGCAATTTCGTCTAATGATTTGCTCATTTCTTTGAGCAAGTCCAGGTTAAGACTGTTTACGGGTGGTCTCTGTAAAGTCATTATAGCCACACCGCCATCGTCCACTTTGAGATCCACTAAGGGTCCTTGTGTTGAAAGTGCTCTGGTTTGTGGTAACCACCTGTTCTGGCACAGTACACGTCGTAAAACAGACATAGTGCCTATAAAAATAAGTTAGGTTTATAATAAGTTTACTAGATTAAGTAAATTCATACAATTTTATTATAATAATAAAGTTTTTGTTTACGAACTAAAAAGATAGAAATTTATTAGTAAAAATTAGTATCATTTCAAAACTTACAAACTAACTAACAGCTTACAATAATCACCACTTTAAACGTGCAAACTTTCGTGAACGTAACAAAGTGTTTGTCAGTTGAAAACAAAATAAAATTTTATTACGAAACTTTTAAAATAGTCCAAAAGCGGACTTTGACTTGTCGTTTTCGGGTTTTAGACTGTTAGACTCGCTCTAAATCTCAATATTAGAAGATAGGGTTGCCATTATAAATAAAATATATAACTATTTATATCTTTTTAAGATTGAAAAAAGCACCAAAATTTTAAAATTTAAGGATATGAAATGTTATAAACTAGTCTTATTATTAAAACACAATGTTTTATCAATACCCGTTTGTTACTTTTTGGGTGATGAGTTACAAACAATTACTATATTTTTTGTAAATAATTCCATTTCTATTTATGGTAGACAATAGACTTATAAATTTTTATTACTCTTCGCATTACCCGTCAATAACAAGATAACATCATAATTAATGTATCTGAACAATTCAATTATGAAATGAGATTTTTTTTTAATTAATTAACTAATGGAAGCGATACCTTTCATATTTCGATTGGTAATGGATTTTTTAAAATTATTCCTATAAAAATTATATTCGTCAATCACAGTTAACATGAAAATGCAAAGCAGTTATAAGTTATTAATGAAATGAAAAATAATACTATTAGGATAATCGTCCTTACAGTAATATGAAAAATTCACTGGCTCACCATTACAGTCGTAGCACCACACATTCCCTCTCGGTCAAAGCCACTGACAGACTGCACTTTATGTTTATGGTTTACCTCGATAACTAGTTTACATAACACAATGTCGAGTATTATATAGCTGCAGGGGCGTGCACAGATATATGGGATAGGGTAAGCAGAATATGTTTAAAAAAAAAATATGCAAATTTTCATCATAATTTCCTCCTATAAAACATTGATAATAATGAGATCTTTCTCGACTATTCATTTAAATGACACTAATATTTTCGGATTACGCGTAATTTATTTTTTTTAAACAGAGAGACGAGATGTCTGCCTTGATAACGGTTGCTGTAAAGTAACCAAAACATCGGGAGTATGTAGTTTTTAAACAATAAGATACGCGAAGTAAGCCTAAAATATTAGTTTCATTTAAACATTGGTAATATTGGTAATTTACGAATACGATTTGTTAAGCAACGCTTTATAAAAGTTATTTAAATCGGATTATCTAGTGGAGATCCAAACATTCTTATTATTATTATTTGAAAACAAGAATCAATCAAAACAAAGCTGCTAGCTAATTAATAAAACTGTTATAATAATTTTTATTAAAACGAGTAACATTACTGTTTTTTTAATACGATCCCAACTGGTCACACACCTTACCTTTGTAATTATTTTATTAGTATCACCAAGCAATAACAAACGACAATCACAAATTCAAAATACAAACAGCAATTGAAAATGTACTCGTAATTAATTTCGTTAAACACACATCACCAGTCATTATTTTCCATAATTCGTTTATAAATTAATTCACTACTAACTAATAAGCTACTTAAAGATTATTCACTTGCGCCTAGAAAGACAAGTGACGATATTCAATGACAGCAAAATGGCGAAAAATGTATGAACAGTTTACCGACCAATCATCCCGTTTCAGTTGTCAATTAGCGCACTTTATATGACATTTTAAAAGAAAAAATCTGAGCAGTGCCTCTCGAACACAACACATACATAAGTTTTGCACATACACATGCAAATATTTTATGCATTCAACACGAGATTTGTAGATCGTCCTTGAGATTATTTGTATGAAAAATAAGAACCCAGTAGTTGTGCATACCGCCGCTCTGGCTTCATAGCGGCGCTAGCAGTTACCAACGACAGATCGAAAATGTTTCGTTTTCTGTTTATAGATGGCACCTATACCAAATCGTGAATCAAATGTCTTTTTAAATGTCGGCAAACGTTCATATTTAGAATTAATTCAGAATTAAACAATATTGGTTTAGTTGTTGAATGGGAAGGGTAAGTTGTGCCTATTCGCATTTATGGTGTGCATTCCACTCCATAGCAGATATACTAGTGTCCACCCTGTGACACATGCAGTGTGACCTAACCGCGATCTTTGTAGAATGGATTCAATACGATTTTGGTTGGTAAATTCTGAGAAGATAATGGATATTTCATTAAAACTAATCGCTTCATTTATTACTAACGATTTTATGGAAAATTATTACTACTAATAGTTACCAGTGATTTCGTGTAGCGACTAGTCGAAAAAGGTTCTGCTCACTTTTGATAGATGGCACTTTTATCAATCATAAATCGAATGAAAATAAAAATCTCTATGAAAATTTGGGTTGAGGAATATAATATAAGTTAAAGTATGTATTTGAGTATAAATAAGATCTAGCAATGTAGTTTAAGATGTCTTAAGTGTAGATTATGCAGTACTTATTTGAAAGCGTGGAGTGCACGTCATCTGAAAATAAATTTATAAGCTTATTTTAAAACGTTGTCTTAAAGTAATTGGTAAAATTAGTAATAATGGCTAAAATTTATTAAATTATTCTATGATTAGTGAGGGACCGGTTTTTAGACTCTTGTTTTTTTAATGAGATTTTGACTTAAGCAAAGGACAATAAACACATCTTTTTTAGTAACTAAAACAATAAACAATAGGCAAAGTAGAATTAGACAATAACGTTTATAACCTGTTTGACTTTAATCATTAGCAATATCACCATTCTTTTAATCCAAAAAATAAGATCTGATTAATCTTTATTGCAATAGATCGTGTATTATATCAACTGGGGAAACAACGTTAAACACAAAAAGCGAAGTGCATTACCTCAAAGGTGTTGTGGGAATATATGCATATTATAATTCAATGAAGTATTGATCTTATAATTGTTAAAATTACGACATCTAGCGAATGGTGAATGTTATGAGAAAACTGAAAAAGATTCTTGACAATTTTTGTACAGAATTGTGTGATGTACAACTTCAGCTTGACTATTTTCAGAACAAAATTTACTATTTTAGAGAAAAATTAAAAATCTTATTTTTTATTTACGATCTTCTATATTTTGGAAGAAGTAGGATCGGGGAGATTTTCGACATTCTATTTATAATTACGTAGATATTTGACTTCTCTAGTAATTTTCAGCTCTATTATAATTTTCTGCTTAATTATGATTTATTTTTATCTATTTTGACTGGAACTTAAGGGCACATTGGTAACTGCTAATGTGATATATCTTTAATGAAACTATTTTGTGCAAAATAATACATAACACATTTAAAAAATGATTTCTGCAATACGTACATTCATTAAAGAGGTCGTTTTGATTAAAGGAAACAAGTGTTAATATTAAGGTGGATTTTTGAAACAATTTTTTGGAAGGTTTGATGAAATACTTTAAACAATAATTGTTACAGATAATTTATTATTACACTTTATTATGTGGTCATTTATAATGAAACATGTTGTTTGATATAAATCTAAATTGTAGAATATTGGAACGTAGGATAATTTTTCGTATTTATTCAAAGTTTGTTAAGAAATGGTGAAATGGAAGCGTAGTTTTCACAGTCCGGGATCATCTTTCCTCTGTATTTAATACATGATTCCGCACAGAGCTGTCCTTCGAACCATGCTCCCAACATTTTCTTACACTGGGCGCAGTTCTCAATGCACACTTCCATGGGGTCGTATCCAGTGATGATGGCGGGATTGGCTGACACTGGAGACGAGTACAACTGGAAGATGGCGACTACGAAAAGTACGAACATGAATTTTCCAACCATTTTGATGCTATGAAATGTTGTGTAGAAGATGGTAGTGTTAAGACTTGAGTGTGATGTTCAGTGAATTTACAAGCTTTTTATATCCAAATCCGGATTCTATTCTTCAATACAACAGTGTACACAAAACCCCAGGACGCCACTCTGTTTCCTATAATTGAATTGTCGAAGGAAATGAGAACTATTGATATTAATTCTAATTCAATACTTACATACATAGATTTTTTCCATGTGTTCGAAGATCTCACATTGTAAAAAGTATTCGTATTTTTTAACTAGGTACTTAATTAAATGCTGTATTTAAAAATAGTTACTAAATTAAACAAATGTTACCATGATCAATGTTTTATTTTTCTAAATAGTAGATCTCATTTTTAAAGAAAAAGTAATTTTTATTCTAAATTTCAAGAACAGTCAGTGTTGCCATCAAAAAATTAAAATAACATATCAATCTAAATTCTAATTCATTAATTTCATTTTTTGTATGTACGTTTCTAGACCTTTCTGTGTGTCAGGATGTATGACCAATTGATATATTTCTTCAGTATCTTCTTGCCTTGTATTTTGGAGTTTTTTAATGGCCGGTCCCCTCAGCTTCATCTTGGTGTTTATTCGAGCTGACGGTGTGATCTCATCGAACTTTTTTATGAATCTCTTACATTTAGCAATGGCGTCATCTTTGTCGGCGGCTATTTCATCTATAAGTCTTACCTGGTAATAAATTGTGTGATTATCCATTATTATAAGCTTATTTTAATAATTTTTCCTTTCTGTTAAACGTATATTACTGATAATAATATCCTTTAATATGAATAAAAACAATAATAGGTGCTACTGGAACAATATTTTACTAATGTTGTAAGGAGATAGACTTAAATATATACTCATTATGCATTTAATTGTTTCAGTAAGAAGGAAAAGCTATTTATTTTTACTTGTATTTATAAATATTTGATTTCAGGCATGATTATTTTTAGTATGATCGCATTTAAATACATCTTTGAAACCCTCTTTCTCGTAATTTAGTATGTTTTAATTTCTAAATAGATTTTAATAATGACTTTTCTGATACATAGAGTAGATCATGTATTGCATTCTTTCGCATTTATAGCAGTACTACAATACCTTTAACGCCTCTTCAGGTGTGAACATCCTTGACGTAGTAAACGCGTATTCAGCGTCTCTCACATTGATGGTATTTTTTACGAGTTCCATAAACCAGGTCGGAGCGATAAGTCCCAGGCTGGTTTCATTCATCCCAATAGTGAAAGTACCTTTAATCATTACTCTGTACTCACAACTCATTGCCATGAGACAACCACCTGCCGGAGATTGACCCTGGAATTGATGAGGTGGTTATAAGGATTTTAACGTAAACAATATAATGTTCAGTTTTAGTTTAGAGTCATTTTCTTTAGAAATATTATATATTATTACATACGAATTCTGTTTTGAAAACAAAAACAATGATTAGAAGAAATTGAAATATAGATTCTTTATCTGATATTATTTTATATATGCATGAATAGTAATCGGTTCATTAGTTTTTTGGTGTGAATGAGCAACAAAAATTCGTCCATCATTACTCAATTCTCCTTATATATTATTAGTAGAATAATTCATAACTAGACTTACATTGATAGCAGCGGCTGTTATAAATCTTGCACCGAACAATTTCATCCAGACTTCTTGAAGTGTTGTCCAGAATTCCTTAAACCTGACAGCATCAGGCTTGTAAACTTCGTTTATATCCAAACCAGCTGAAAATACTCTTGGAAATGCCTACGAAATCTTCCAAATTACCAAAAACAATAATGTTATACATAAATAAGGGTATTAGAATTCAAATAAACTTACTGATGTCAATATCATGGCTGTGATTTTATTATTCTCAACAAAGTCTAATGATTTGCTTAGTTCTTTGAGGAAGTCCATGCTGAAACTGTTTACTGGAGGTCTTTGTAAATTAAGTATAGCGATTCCATCATTGTCAACTTTTATGTCTATAGAGGATTTCTGTGTTGATAGGAACTTCACATGTGATGCTAACCATCTATGCTGCTTATACACACGTCGAAGTAACATGACTCCTAAAATATAGTAATTTCTTGCTTAGTCTTCTTCTTCTACCTGGTAATTTTCCCAGCTTTAGCCAGGAATTGCCTTACATGTTGTGAATAGTTTTGGCTAATTGTTTTTACGACCGGCCGCTTGCCTGACATCAACCCTCTTTGGGAATGTCTTAAACAGTGATGTCTAAATACTCTTAGAAAGTACATATGACTCGGACAAATCACATTGGTACTTGCCAGGATCGATCCCGCGCCCTCATGCATGAGAGGCGGGCCTGTTAACCACTAGGCCACCACTGACTTTAGTATCTATTAGTAATCTATGCAAAATATGTTTTTGTGTTAAAAATTTGTTTATACCTTGACTTTACAATATTTTAAAGATCTATAATTGAAATAGCAAATGTAAAGTAGGTAATAACTTAAATTAAGCTACAAAATTATTATTTTCTTTTTTAATAAAGACTTGAAATAATTAAATGAATGTACCTATAACTTTTCAAAATGTAGATCATTGTGATAATTGTAATTTTTTTATGCTGTCTTCATTCGCACATTGTTAAATTTATTATAAATATCTTTATTTTATTTTGATATGAGCATGTGATGTTAGAGATAAAATAACACGATCAAATAGTATATATCTTTTTCTTTATATCAAACTGTTTAGAACAAGTACAAATATGTATTGTTAAATTATTTTAGTTTCGTTTTGACTTTTGTTAACTCTATATTGGCTTTGACAGTGTTACTTATGCGTTTTTGTACGTAAGCCGACCACAGACGTTACAGTGTAGTTGCGAAAATCCTAACTTGTATCGTGTGTCGCCCGCATTATTTTTGTTCCTCGTTATATTTTGAACATACGAATAGAAGATGAATGAAATGAATCTAAATGTATGGTTATTTTTGAATTTACCTGGAGAACTTATACATATTTTGTAAAAAAAAAACATAACCGGACGATGGATATTGGATAGATAACTTTGCAGTAACCGTATTCTTTTTAAAACGAGAATATAGAGAACGAGAAAATGGAAAGGAAAATCAAAGGATTCAGTTTTAATTAATATAGTGTAATATTAATGAAAATCCTAGAAATTCCTAGAAATTTAAAACAAGATGTGACTGCGACTTCGTCCACGTGACGTTGTTATTTTTTTCATAATAAAAATCTTAAATCAACATCCTCTTTCTTTTGATAAAAGTCCCGACTAAATCAGTCTAACTGTTTCAGAAATAAGCCAAAACAAACAAACAGAATTTCTTTTTACATATTTTTCTGACTGTTTAAATGAAACTAATTTTTTTATTACGCGATATAATTAAATGAACCAATATGGACTGGAGATGGTTTAAAAAAATATGCCAGGCAACCTTTTATCTGCCTGTTCGCATGGTTGTTGAAAAGTAATCGAAACGTCAGGAAAATGTAAATATTAAAATAAAAAAATTTAGTATTTATCTTAAACACATTGTTTTATTTAAAGAGACGGACAAATAAAATTTGTAAAAAGGATAATATTTTAGTATACGGACCATAGGGATTAAATGAAAAGGGGTTACGCTATTTTCACATTACACGATTTCGCTCGTGCGGGAAAAAATTGCCCGATTTTTAATCGTGGTTTTGCTACTTTCACATTGAACGATAAAAATCGTACATTTTTATCAGTTCATTGGAACATTTGGTCTGGTCTGGATGAAAACTATGGATCGCGAACAAGTTATTGCGTTATGGATACTGTATCGGCGTCGGAAAAGACAAAGGCGCAATCGCCTTCACTGGATTCACCCAATTAATCAGAGACGAGAGGAAATCGGGATGTTCCACACATTATTTGAATATCTTAGAAACGATGACCGAAAGTTTTTCAACTACTTTCGTATGTCAGTTCGCTCCTTTGATGAGTTACATGGGAAACTGAAGACTGGGGACAATTCCCGTACGACTAAAGACCGTCTAGTGTGAAAGCGTGCATTTGGTCTCGTAGGCCACTAGGCTAGAGGACGATACGGTAGCCGTGCGGTTCTAGTAGCACTGGACGGCTGCAACACGATTACAAAACGTGCCCGTGTTCAAATCGTGCAATGTGAAAGGTCTCTTACTCTTCAATAGTCGATCAAGAAAAATTGCCCGGGCGATTTTTTCCCGCACGAGCGAAATCGTGTAATGTGAAAATAGCGTTACTCTAATACACAAATTTAATTTATTTAGAAATACAATGTACGTTTTTAATATTTCAACGATTAAAATATGTATATATTATCCATTTAGTCTTTTTTTAAACTTTATTATGCTACATTATGAAAGGACAGAGTATTTATAGTAAAAAATCTTTACAATGCATAAGGTTACAGCTGACATTTTCTTCGCATGTTATTAAGAACATGGAAATATTTATTGCTTTATGGCTTCCATTTACATAACTTTGCGTGTTATAAACTATTCAATTTTAACCTTACATAAAAAGTTTCATTAGTTGAAGGGCTTTGTCTGTTAAAAAAACTGTAATGTTAACTTAAGATTTTAATAACTAAGGATTGAACTCGCACGAAATGGCGGGCAATTTAGTTTTGTCCAAATGCATCGTTATTCGGGTCAATAGTTTCATTAAATCTGCAGAGACTTATACGGTTGCAGAATAATAATGAGAACTGAGATTAGACTTGAGTCTGAACAATTTAGGTAGATTTTTTCTCAAAAATTTGTTTTGATCTTGTTGGATTATGTTTATTTAGAAATGAAAATATTTCCGAACTATGATATGTATATTGTTATTAAAGTGTATATCTGTTTACAAACATATTTTACGGAAATTTTTGTACTATCAAAAATAATCTTCAGTTCAAAGATTTATTTATTTATCAACGATTATAAAGGTTACAAAATAATGCTTAGTAATGCTGATAAGAGTTATAATTGAGTATAATAATAATAAAAAAATATTATGTACAGTACTGGCTGGTTTGTTTATTCGAAAAATAAATCTAACATTTTAAAAATCTTAATACTTTCTAATAAAACTTCCATAGCATACTGTTTTTTTCTTAATGAGCTAATATAGATAGCAAAAAATTTTATCGATAAAACATTTCCATGATTATTATGTAAATTTGCAAAGTAAAACTTTTAGCATACATTAAAATTCAAATTAAACTTCCAATTATAGTGCCAACATTATCAGACAAATGTCTTTTACGTCTTGAAATTACACAGAGTTTTTTAAATATAGATTTGTAAATCAATTTTGTATTGTCATAAATTCATAGATATAGGTATTTCTACACCGCTCACCCAAATTTTACTAAAGAATACTATATAGAACAATTATAATACAAATATATATTTTTTATAATTTTAAATTGTTGAGTCTATAAATGCAAAATAAAGCTTATAATTAAAAAAAATATTACACTCACCAGTCACGTTTAATTAAATTTTTTTTATTAATTTTAAATTCTTGACTTTATAAAGTAACGTCCATTCGCTTAAACAGATAAATTGATATGCCATTTTTACAGTAGCAATAAATTTCTTACTTTTAGGTTTATAACGTTGGTGTGACAGTTAAAACAATGTTGCCAACATCAAAGATTTGAGTTCCTTATTTGTTTATTTTGAAGTGTTTTCATTAGATGCTTTCATTTCATAAAAATGACAATCGAATATTTTATCACTTCACTCCTATTATTATTTTAATTAAACTATTTTTATCTGATAATGATTTTTACTAAAAGTTTTGTTAATGTTAAAACGAAATAAATGTTACGAAGTACGCTAATTCTCGTTTATTTTACAATAATAAACAATTTTGAAGTAATTTTGTAGTTGTATCGTCTGTCTGTAAAAACTGATAAAATCAAGAAATAGGGTTGCTGACTTCTATTATTTACTAATCAGAATTATTTATATGTGAATCGATGCTTCTGTCCCATTGTACTATGTATTTATATACATACATACAATGTAGGTGAGCATAATTTCCATTATCTTGTAGTTTCTGTTCATTGAATATTATTTCACTATACAGGGTTGCAGGTTAAGTCGACCGAAATGATTTAAGAGAGGATAGATTCCATCATTCTTAACCGATTTGACTATGAGACCCTACATACAAAACCTAACCTAACTAACCTAATTTCTCAAGTTATTGGCCTTTGAATTTATTTTACAAAAATTACAGATGTTTTGTCGATTGCCCCTTTATTTACTAGTATTAATATTTAAAATAATTTATCAATCATATAACAATAAATAAAGACTACAAATATTTTATGCCTTTCTAGCCTAATCGCGTGCTTTTATTACGATTTTTTAAATTATACCACACTTCGATCAAACCATACAAAAAAGACAATATAGAGACGAAGCCTCTCAGCACTCAATGGATTCACCGTGCGGGTGCCGGGTCCATCGCGTTTCAGGGAGAGGAGCTTCAACAGTGAATGGGACTTGCGACCCAGGTGTAAGGGGCCCCTATCTAACTCGCGTTATACGCTCACCTCCACTGTCCAAACTCCTCTCTCTACCTAACCAAATTTGAAAAGAACCTGTGCTGCCTTCGACGTATGCTCTAAGAAGGAATTAGTGTGAGTTCTGGACAGGGCCAAGTCTTTTAGTAGGTTGTAGAGAGATTTCGCTGTTATACCTGTCGATCCCACCTCTACCACGTACAAATCAACGACGAACCTATTTCGAGTTAGTTCGTTAGTGAGTTCGTAATATTTATTGACCTTGATGGCATGGTCTTTGAGGATGTTGGTTTCCTAAGTCACCGTAAGCTCTATCATCACAATTTAATATTCGCGAATATAAAAATATGTCTGGTCTGGAGGCCGACGCACAAATATCCTCGGGGATTTTGTATTGTTTATCATACGTATCCATCATGATAGTCCAATCCGAAGCCGCTTTAAGGATAGAGTAAGGCTTGACGTTTGATTTTGGTAATAGTAAAATACGGTAATTTTACAAAAAACTCAAAGCATATTGAAGTGCAGTATCACTATATGAATGAGAACTATGAAAATAAAATAATTGATATTGTTAAAATTGATAGTACAAGTAACCTGGCAGACATGTTAACTAAAAGTTTAGATAAGAAAACGTTTTTGAAAAACAGGTTACACTTAAAATTAATTTAGTAAAGTAAAAGATAAAATATTAGTTTGGTATAAGATTTTATGGATAGCAATGTAAAAGTTTATAAGTTAAGTCATGACTGAATGTTGTATTATTTAAGCTATATTTTGTAAGATTATAAATTTAAGGAGGCGTGTTGAATATAAGTTAATTGTATAATCTATTTTAACGTGCAATATATTGTTAATCTATGTGTGAATAGTGGTATCATAGTTATGTCGGTTGAAGGTTGATAAAATATACGGAGGTCATTAAAAAAGGGTTTTATTTCATCTAAGTATTTTAACAATACCCCTGATGCCCTCTCTCACAAAACCTACTGATCGCTCGTTTGTGGTTATTTCCCTTACCGCTTCACGTATGATTTCTAGAACCCTAACGTGGAAACGCGAGTATTGACCGCTGTCCAGGAGTACCTTACATCCCACCAGCAGTTGCTTAGCAGTTCCAACTGCCTCTCCACAGATGTAGTAAGTTTTTTAGGTACCTTTACCCCATCTTACTAAATTATTCTGATCTGGGAATGCATTGAGATAAAATTTTGCCAATACTGGCGACCAGTCATGCATTAGGGTTGTCATTTTTATTATACGTATTATTTTTATTATATTTATTATACGTACGTTATTTTATTATACGTAATTAATTCATAAAGAAGTCTTATTTCTGGTACGAATAACAAGCATTAGGAAATAAATAATGGAACTAAAACCTTATGTAATTTCATTTCGGTAAAAGAGAATGATCGTAAGGGTATTATCTTAAAGGAATTAGATTATATCATCTAATGTAGTGTCCTGCTGTTTGTTTCATGATTAATTTAATTTGTACCATCATTTTGATATATAAAGTTCGAAGAGCCGCTTGTTATGACACTCGAGTTTCAATAGTACTTCCTTCAACACTTTCATTTTACTCAGCATTACATAATGGTTGGAAAATTCATGTTCGTACTTTTCGTAGTCGCCATCTTCCAGTTGTACTCGTCTCCAGTGTCAGCCAATCCCGCCATCATCACTGGATACGACCCCATGGAAGTGTGCATTGAGAACTGCGCCCAGTGTAAGAAAATGTTGGGAGCATGGTTCGAAGGACAGCTCTGTGCGGAATCATGTATTAAATACAGAGGAAAGATGATCCCTGACTGTGAAAACTACGCTTCCATTTCACCATTTCTTAACAAACTATAAATAACGATATATAGAAAAAAAGCAAGAGACAGGAAAATTTATAAATAATATTAAATAAAAATTACCCTCCTATTAAAATTAAATGATTAATAAAGCATAAATATATGATATTATTTTCTGTTTATCCCTTATTGATAGATATTCAATCGCAATCTTTATTTTCTGTTTATTTACTTATAAGATCATTTTTAATAAGAGTATGAACATGTGTTCAAGAAAAAATAAGTGAATGTACCTACAAACGAAATTTTTTTTCTGATATTTTCTTTCTCCAAACGTAGGAGTAGAAAGGATTTCAATAAATTATATTAATTCATAACCGTACTGAACTAAAGACATTTACTAATTGTGCAGGTTTTATATATAATTCTAATTATTATTTAAAACTCATCTAATACTTAACTGGAGACAACCTAATCTATGTATATATATAAAAGAAAGTCGTGTTAGTGACTGCACTTATAACTCAAGAACGGCTGAACCGATTTAGCTGAAAATTGGCAGGGAGGTATTTTAGAACCAGGAAATCGCAATAGGATACTTTTTATCCCGTTCTACAGCATTCCCGTGGGACTTGACATGAAACGTCAGTCACTATAAAACGTGGAATAACGAAACACAATTGACAGCTATGCAATTGACGTATAATGGCATATATGTAATTTAGTATTTGCGGGATAAATTTAGAAAATCATTGTTTTTCACATGGGCAGTTATAGTTTGTGTGTTCACGAGTTAGGAAACCATCCGCTTTATTTGTGTTAACGTTAGAACAAAAAACAAAAAATGTGGTTTACAAAGGAGCACTTCAATGAAACGGATAATTTGCGGACACGTATAACGCTTCGATTCGGTATCTATTTTGGATTCACTTTCATTTAGTTAGAGAAGTTCAACTAAATAACACTTCATTTTTGTAATCGAAATGAATTCATTACTGTTGTGAAATGAAATAAAAATTTTCCTTCTCAAATATAAAACAAAAGAAAAATTTCTTCAATCTTTTAATCACCAAACGAAATGTTACACATAAAACAAAGCCTTCTGGAGGCGAAACGGAGTTCGCCAGGTTTACTAGTTACTGTATATATGACACATTTTAAGGCATCGCAACTTTATTTTAACTAACTTCACTTGGTTTTACACTTTTATCAAAAAATAGGAACAGTTTTCTTTTAAGTAATAATTTAATATAAAAATTCTTATCTTAAAAATACTTTAAAAGGTACCTATCAGTTTATTAAAAACCAAAAATAAATTTACTGATTAATAACTTATGATCGAAAATATTTTCAAACATTTTACTTTATATATTCTACTTTATTTTAAGACGATTTGTACTTATAACTAGTTTTAATATTCGTTTTCAAACTGTTATAAAATTTATAATAGTAAAACAGGTTTAGTAACAACAATGTACTTTTCAAAAGTTTTTTATTATTTGAAACGTTAAAGAACTTAATAAATTAAAGAATTTTTTTGTAGCTTACAACTCAATTATATATTAGTATTCCCGATAAGTTTTCAAGACAGTAGTAGCATTTTTATTATTAATAGAAAATATTGTGAAAATGGACAGTCAACGGTTCTTTCTACAATATTGTGCAACTAATAAAGAAATTGTGAGTTTTCACTGATTCCAGACGTGAATTTCAATGTCTCTGTAAAAAAGATGAAATAAATCTTTCAGTGACATTTGTGATGTAATTCATATATTTTTACTTGAGTTATATGCAGACAAAAGAAAGCCGAACCGTACATTGGTTATTAAAAATGTTCTTAAGTAAGTAATAAAATACGAAAATTTCAGATATTAAAGAAAAGTGCCACTCACCTTACAATAGTAGAATTGAGGTTTAATTTGAATTATAAGCTACAAACATAAAAATGTATTCAGAGCTTAAATCGAATTTTGAGAAGAAAAATATTCTACAATTTTAAGGAAATGATCAGTGTGACAAACAGTTTAGTAACAATTTTGTGAGAACTGAAAATGTTGAAATGCTCGTCACGTGGAAAGTATCATAAAGACAACTATATTTTCAATATAGTTGTTTATATATATACTATTCGGTGTCCAATGACTGTCTGTTTACCCTATGTTTTTTTCTAAAATATGATGTGATCTGAAATACAATTTCTCTATAAATTTCGCCACGAATTTGCAAACACACATCACAAAAATTGATTGTTATCCTTAAACAAATCTTTTTGCCAAAAAAAGTTATTTTTAAAAAAGTTTTTAACTTTGCTTTTGAAACAGTGATGCAATATAACAAAATATCGATTATTATGAAAATATACATATACGGTCATGTACCTTTAGCAACAGTAAATAAGCAATAATTTTGTGAATGATTTTTAACAGTATTTATTTTATAATGACCAGTTAAATATCTTTTTCAATAATACAACATTAATATTATAATACATATGATAGCTTCTTTTTATAATTATTATAATATGTTAACATCATTGTCTGTGAATTGTTTAAAAAAAATATCAAATGTGCTTTAGTCCACACTATTGAAGTAAAACTTCATTCGCTCCATCTATATGTAATATGTATATGCTTATTATGTGTATAAAACAGTCATGTATATATTTACACACACATTAATTTTGTGTAAATATTAAATTCATGATGGGTTATTATCGATAAATTAATATTTTTAAATAGATATTTTTTTAATTCATTATTTTCATTACATGCATCATAGGATACATAAGTAATTACTGTGGTTGATTGTAAGACTTAAACAATAGCCTTATTATATGAGAAATAAGATGAATATGTTTTCGAATGAAGGTTAGAAAGATGTCTAGAGAGAAAATAAAAATCACTACTGACTGAGATATATTTCAGAAAGAAAATGTACACGCAGTGCTCTCACCCTTGCCCCTACAGTAATATACGAACCGTAACACTCTCTCTACCTATCTTCCTTCGTTAGTTCGCATCGCCCGATCACACTTTTCGTAACGTTTTCGTCACGAATTCTCCAGCTTACTCCCAAGTCGAGCTTGCGTAAAGAAGTTTTACTTCAATAGATATTGTTACCCTGAGAAAAGCTAGTTCTGCATATAGATTAATAAATTATTTTATTAAGTCGTTTCCTTATGGATAAGTTATTTTTAATTTATAATGTTTATAAAGAAACGTTTGGCTTTTATGTAACGGAAGCTTTTAGCATCCAATGGATTCTCCGTGCGGTTGTCGGATCCATCGGGTTTCAGGGAGAAGAGTTTCAAAGTGCCTTGGATTTGCGACCAAGGTGTAGGTTTAAGCCGCCCATATTTAATGCTGGTTAACTGCTACTACCTACTACTATTTAACCTACTAGGGCCGCCATTGATGTACCTTCCCAGAATGAATTGATCTTAGTTCTGGACAGGCTAAGTTTCTAGGGTGCTATAGAAAGTTTTAGCTATTTCTAAAAGTATGCAAAATGTAGAGAAAAAAATAGTAACTTTGGCTTATGCTTTATTTTTTTCATTACTAACAATATTTTTTATAAGATAAAAGATACTGGTATTTAGTAAATATTATTTTTAAAGTTTGTTAAGAAATGGAGAGATAGAAGCGTAGTTTTCACAGTCCGGGATCATCTTTCCTCTGTATTTAATACATGATTCCGCACAGAGCTGTCCTTCGAACCATGCTCCCAACATTTTCTTACACTGAGCGCAGTTCTCAATGCACACTTCCATGGGGTCGTATCCAGTGATGATGGCGGGGTTGGCTGACACTGGAGACGAGTACAACTGGAAGATGGCGACTACGAAAAGTACTAACATGAATTTTCCCACCATTTTAGAGTAATAAAGTGTTATGTTGATGGAAGTAATATTGGGAAGTGAGTGTGAAAATAATCGGGTTTCCAAGCTTTTTATATCAAAATGTCACTACTTTGCTAATGAACCATGAGAGAAACACACCAGGACTTCACATTTTCTGATATAATCTAATTCCAGGAACAATAGTAGATTACTTTATTCTTTTAAAACCTAATATAGGACGACGTTTCAATTATAGTATGTACTATAAGCCTAAAGCAATGATTCTTAAATTTTTTTTTCTCGCTCTTAAAAATTTAATAGAGGTTATGCTATTCTTATCAAATAATCAATTGACGAAAACATTGTATTACTTAAACATCTAGTTGGAAAATGAAAAATTGACTTATGATATAAACCACAACTATGTATATGGAGATCTAAATCTAAATATAAGATAAAGAAGTAAATTTTTCATTGGCCAGAAATGGTTTCGACAAAAAAATTAAGAAATTAGATGTTTTATTATATTTTACACTAAGAAATACTTTCATATTTATCAAAATCCAAAAGTTTATTGGAAATTTTATGTTAAAAAACTATATTGGAAAATGTTTTCCAGTTAAATTTATTTGAAGAAGTAGAGTGTATAAGATTCTTTACAATAAAATTTAGAAAATTCTCATCTCAGAATGAGATAATACAATTCAATTCGTTGTCCTGTCGTGTATCAGTCATGGTTCATTAGTAAGATTGTAACATTTTATATAAAAAGCTCATCAATCCGACTTGACATCACACTCAAGTCTTAACACTACTATCTTCTACACATTTCATAGCATCAAAATGATCGGAAAATTCATGTTCGTACTTTTCGTAGTGGCCATCTTCCAGTTGTACTCGTCTCCAGTGTCAGCCAATCCCGCCATCATCACTGGGTACGACCCCATGGAAGTGTGCATTGAGAACTGCGCTCAGTGTAAGAAAATGTTGGGAGCATGGTTCGAAGGACAGCTCTGTGCGGAATCATGTATTAAATACAGAGGAAAGATGATCCCGGACTGTGAAAACTACGCTTCCATTTCACCATTTCTTAACAAACTGTAGAAGATTTCATATTACAGAAGACAGGATTATCTTTACAAATTATTTATATCTAATTAACATTGTTTCCTTATTTAGATTTTTAGGTCATTAACAAAATATAAAAACAAAGCCAAAGT